TGCTCGTCACCAGTTGCAGCACAAATTCTGGGGAGCGAGCAATAATTAGCACAAATTTCGTAGAACACGATAGCGGGTTTAGATTTGTAATTTCTCAAAACAAAATTCCGGGGGAGGGGGGCTGGCGTCACGGAGCTTGAAAAATGTAGAATTCAATTCAGTCATCCGATTCTTGATGATTTAACTATTTATTCATGTATTTTCATCTCTTTGAAACAAACGTTATGGCGATAATAATTTACATTAAATCGATTTTTCTTTTTTCCATATATATTTTTGGCATCGTCGTCGTTCCTCTGAAGAGCTGCTGGATTCCTAGCATACTATGAAGTAAATTTTTCATAATTCTTTGAAATATTATTTTAAGATTCATATAATTGTTATTTAAAAAAATAGATATGTGATCGAGTCAACAACAAAGGATGGACCGTTGTTCAAGATCCAAAACGTCGTATGGGACCATATGCTTACAAAGGAAATCAATGGGTATCCTACGATGACAAAGCTATGATTCGTCAGAAAGCTGAATTTATGCGACGACTTGGTTTAGGCGGAGGAATGATTTGGGCTTTGGATTTGGACGATTTTAAGGATCATTGTGGTGAAGGTGTACATCCACTATTAACTGAATTGCAATCTGTGCTAGCTGAACCGCCAAATGCATTAGATCAACGTCCGGATTCAGCTGCTTCTGCACCACAACAGGAACCGACAACAGCAGCAGTACCACCACAAAGTGAACTAGAGAGCGATGCGGAAATAATCGAAGAAATTCCAAACGAAGGTTCAGTTGGTGGAGAAAGCACAAACACTGATCTTAGCTCAATCTCACAGGGTTCGGATTACAAAGTCGTTTGCTACTTCACCAATTGGGCTTGGTATCGGCAAGGAGGTGGAAAGTATCTTCCAGAAGATATTGACGCTAAATTATGTACGCATATTGTTTATGGTTTTGCTGTACTTGATCGTGACTCATTGACGATTAAGCCACATGACACTTGGGCCGACTTCGATAATCGCTTCTATGAACGAGTCGTTGCTTACAAAAAGAAGGGTGTAAAAGTGACTGTTGCAATTGGAGGATGGAACGATTCAGCTGGTGATAAATATTCACGCTTGGTCCGTGATGCTGCAGCTCGTTCCAGATTTATCATGCGTGTTATTGAATTCATTGAAAAACATAACTTTGATGGATTGGATCTCGATTGGGAATATCCTGTGTGCTGGCAAGTGGAATGCAACAAGGGCCACGCTGATGAAAAACAATACTTCGCACAATTCGTCAAAGAATTGGCGGAAGCATTCAAACCAAGAGGTTGGCTCTTGTCGTCGGCTGTATCACCTAGCAAAACAGTTATTGATGCTGGCTACGAAGTACCAACATTATCAAGATATTTCGATTGGATTGCAGTCATGGCCTACGATTACCATGGCCAATGGGACAAGCAAACAGGTAAGTTCATTATTCATATTCATTCAGTTAAATGATTCTAATGTCTTCTTTTTTTTATTGGATCAGGACATGTCGCTCCAATGTACGCCCATCCGTTGGATACTACTCCAGTTTTTAACACAAATTTCACAATTAATTATTGGATTGAAAAGGGGGCTGATCCAAGGAAATTGATCTTGGGAATGCCAATGTATGGTCAATCATTTTCGTTGGCTGAGAATAAACGGCATGGCTTAAACTCACCAACATATGGTGGTGGTGAGGCTGGTGAAGCAACACGTGCTCGCGGTTTCTTGTCTTACTATGAAATTTGTGAACGAATCCAAAAGCAAGGTTGGAACGTCGTCCGTGATAGAAGAGGAAGAATGGGGCCATATGCATACAAAAAAGATCAATGGGTATCATTCGATGATGCCTTAATGATTCGACATAAAAGCGAATTTGTTAAGGCAATGAATCTGGGCGGTGCCATGATTTGGGCTTTGGAGTAATTTTTACTTTAAATTTTCCATTTATGAAGATTTATTAAATTTTTATTAATTCAATAATGTTTTTCCATTAATTTTAGTTTGGATGATTTCAAAAACTACTGTGGTTGTGAAGAATATCCACTTTTGAGAACAATCAATCGTGTATTGAGAAATTATCCAGGACCACATCCAAAATGTCAACTAGAAAAAACACCAGAAGGTTTGTATTGCAATAAATCCTTTTTTCGTGTTGTTTTTCATTTAAATTTTTTTTTCCATGATTTTCTATTTGATTTTTTATTTCAGTCGAAGATAACATACCTTCAAGTGATAACGATGTTGTGATTGTTGGTGAAACATCCACAACCACAGTTGAACCAACGTCCACAACCAGAAGACCTACAACCACTACAACCACATCGCAGACAATCACAAATGAATACATTCCAGTTGATGTCGAAGAGCCAACTACGTGTTCTCAGCAATTCACAGCTCATCCATCAGACTGTAACAAATATTATTTGTGTAATAATGGCCACCCACTTCCGCAAGCATGTCCAAGTGGCTTGTACTGGAACGCTGAATCTAACAATTGTGATTGGCCACGAAATGTAAATTGCCAAACAACACCATTTGATCCAAATAGACCTACTACATCGCCAAGACCTACAACTACAACAACACGTAAACCAAGACCACCACGTCCAACGGATTCACCGATCGAAAACATTCAAGACGATGGAAAATTCAAAATGGTATAAATTTGGCAAAGATGTCATGCTAATTTTGTAAAAATTTAATTTAAATCTTCTTCCGTAACTTATTTGGAAAATCTTCTCATAGGTTTGTTACTTCACAAACTGGGCTTGGTACAGACCTGGTGAAGGAAAATTCCTACCAGGTAAAACAACTACTAGACTGATCTAAAAAAAGTAAATTTTTGAACGAACGAACGAACAAAAAAAAATTATTTCAAATTTTCGGACGAACGAACGAACAAAACAATATTATATAATTTTTTATGTTTTCCAACGGACAAATATACCCAAAAAATAGGTTTGACGCAAAAAACGCATATGGGTAAATTTTTTTAAAAAAATTGTGTTCGTTTGTTCGTTCGGAATTACGGCTTGTTCGACCGTTCAGTTTTTTTACATTTAAAATACATAGGAAGCAAATTGAATTTTTAATTCTTTGGGTAAGACTGAAAGTTGAGTGTGTTTCACTGACTTTGTCATGAAAGAAGACATTTCTTTCGAATGCAAAATGATCAAAGATGAGAACGTCAATTTTTGGCGGTTTATCGCATTTTTTCGCAATTTTTTTGGGTTTTTCACGAAACTGATAGAAAATAATAAGGAATAGTTGTCTGAAGCAACTTTGCCGAAGACACTAAGTCATTATCTCCTACCAGTTTTCAGAAAATGCAAAAAATTGTGATAAACCGCCAAACATGATTTTGACCATTTCGATGTCAAAAGAAGTCTCCACTTTCATTACAAAGTCCGTAAAACTCACTCTACTTTCATTATTGCCCAAAGAATTCAAAATAAAATTTCCTTCCTATGTATTTTAAATGTAAAAAAAACCAAGCGGTCGAACAAGCCATAATTTCCGAACGAACGAACACAATTTTTTTTTTCTGAATTTTCGAACGAACAAAAAAGTTTTTTTTCTGAATTTTCGAACGAACGAACGAACAAAATGAATTTTTTTCGAAGCCAAGACTACTAACAACTACCTTCTTTTTATTTAATATGACTTTATTTTAAATCTTACCGGTTTTTCCTAAATGAAGAGAACATCGATGAAAATCTGTGTACGCATATCATCTACGGATTCGCTGTTTTGGATGGCGCAACGCTTACTATCAAATCACACGACTCATGGGCCGATATTGATAACAATTTCTATGAACGTGTTACCGATTTTCGCAAGAAGGGAATAAAAGTCTTGATTGCCATTGGAGGGTGCGTTAATACAAATTTGAAAAAAATTTAAACGAAAGATTAACTATTGAAATTTAATTACAGATGGAATGATTCTGCCGGTGATAAATACAGTCGTCTCGTATTGAGTGAAAATGCACGTTACAATTTCATCACAAATGTTATCGAATTCATTGAAAAGTACAACTTTGATGGCTTAGATCTTGATTGGGAATATCCGGTTTGTTGGCAAGTATACAGTTGATACGAAGTATCAAAATATTATTAATATCATAATATTAGTACCGATATTAAGATGATATTAACATATCGCATTTTGTGCAACTCTAGGCAAGTGGAATGTTATAAAGGAAAAAAAGAAGAGAAACAGGCGTTCGCACAATTTGTCAAAGAACTATCTGAAGAATTCAAACCGCGTGGATGGTTGTTGTCAGCTGCTGTTAGTCCTAGCAAAATGGTAATTGATACTGGCTATGAAATCCCAAAATTGGCAAAATACTTAGACTGGATCGCCGTGATGACATACGATTTCCATGGTCAATGGGATCGTCAAACGGGCCATGTTGCACCACTTTATTATTATCCAGGTGACAAATGGGATTATTTCAATTCCAACTTCACAATCAATTATTGGATTTCTGAAGGGGCCCCATCCAGGTAGGTATCCAATTAAAATTTATTAATTTTTTTCTAGCCATATTCATACAATGCGTTTTATTTGCTTTGTCAAAAAAGGAAAATCGTAATGGGTGTGCCTTGCTATGGTCAATCATTTGTGTTGGGTACTCAAAATCATGACTTGAACGCGCCATCATATGGTGGAGGTGAAGCTGGAAAATACACCAGGTGAGGGTAAAAGTGTTAAAATATTATGATGATATATTTAAATATAGTATTATATAATCTAATACAGAGCCAACGGTTTCTTGTCATACTATGAAATTTGCGAAAAAACCAATCGCGACGGATTCACTGTTGTACGTGATAATCAAAATCGAATCGGACCGTACGCTTTCAAAGGAAACCAATGGGTGTCATATGATGACGTGGAGAATGTTCGTGTTAAAGCGAAATTCATGCGTGATCTGAATCTTGGTGGCGGCATGATCTGGGCCTTGGATGTATGTATCAAAAGATCTTTCCATTCTATTGTATTCCTGTTCATTCAGATTGGAATTTTCCATGATATTTTATTCACATTTAATTTTTAGCTTGATGACTTCACGGGTAGCTGTGGCTGTGGTAAATACCCATTGTTGACCACTTTGAACCAAGTACTACGTAATACAGGTGGTCCAAAAATTGATAACTGCACATAATAAACTATCGACATTTCGATGTGAACCAAACGAAAATAATTTTAATTGCTTGAGTTTGAAAAAGAAATATATGTAATTTTTCTGAAATGGAACTCATTCGATTCCAAAAAATACTCTCAGCCTTAGTTTAAGATTTAAATCGAATAAACATTAGAGGTATTTCTGTGTAATTTCTTTTTTGTAATGAATAATACTTGTATTTTTTTAAAAAGAATCAATAAATTTCCGAAAAAATTCTATTCTCAAACATACAAACGAATTATCATTGAAATTATTCTCTTTTTTCGAGCTGCATAATTTGATTGGAATCATTTCATTGTTGAAATGGTCAAAGGACACATTATTTCAAACATTTACAAATCAGCAGGAGATGATGGTAGATAAGAAGGTTCAGAAAAAAACGACAATTACCTGAATGGGATATTTGGTTAGGTATTGGTTAGGTTAATTTGTGTTAAATTTTATAGACCAAATTCTTATTCCAATCGAGAAAGACTACAATAACTAACTATTGTACGAAAATACCCTATATTGTACAAACACGAAAAGATCAGGTTCTTCACGACTCTTGGAGTCGTTTTCTTGCAAATCAAAATAAATAAATAAATAAATAAATAAATTCTTATTTATTTTTATTTTCATTCTCTGCTTTACTTTAAAATATTCTGAGTATTTGACATTCAATTGACACATTCTTTCATTCTGGTTTAGTAACCTTTCCGGTGAAGATCAAAGTACTGGTAGTTTCATCCTCAATCAAGAACAAAAACGGCCGATCGGCATTAAATTCAATGCTTGCGCCAAACTTATTTACTAAGCTAACAATGGTTGCTGCATACGCGGTGCTTCCTTTTTCATTTACTTCAATACCCGTTCTTTGTAGAACATTTGAAACCTGCAAGCGATCTTGAACCACATTTCCACGTACTAGTTGCGGGAATGAAGCTTGAAGAGTGAACATTTGCCGGATGCCGAGCTAAAATGAGATCAGAAGGGAATTTATAATGCCATATAAGTCATGCTGTTTGACTACTAATGAAAATATGCAAAAACTAGTTACAGCTTTCAAGATTTCGTTCAGTTTAACAGTGTTGGTGAACTTGAACTTGGGTATTGACACCTTGACCTCGACCTTTTCCATAAGAATTTGGGTGCGATGAAGATACGAACTGTCGACCCGGGAGATAAGTTCATCTAAACCATCTACTTTGTTCGGTAAAACTATGTACATGGCGAATTTGTAGCCCTATAAAATCAACAATGATGAATATAATGGCCAAAATAGTCCTAATACCAAATTGAATTTAATTACTTTGTATGGGAGTCGTAGAACTTTGGCATCTAATTCAGTTGATTCAGAGTAGTAGAAATCATCCGTTTTGGTCATAAAATTCGCAGGCAAAGATGCTTTGGAGTTTATGTTGAAATTTCGAGCAACAGTTTGATTTTCAGCGAATGGTTTGCTCCAATATCCATTGAAATAAATTGTGTTTATGAGCAAAATCACCGAACGTGCTACGTCATCTGTGTTTGAAAAAAATAAATAAACGTCATTCTATTTAAAAATGTACTTGAAAAAAGTGGTAAATCCCCAGTTGGCAATTTCGTTGAATGGACTTACCGGGAGTCACAATGTCATTAATGTGATTTTTTGTTGCATTTGCGCACCAAGAATTAATTATATTAGCGGCTTCTTGTGAACGCGCAAAGTCTACGGATTCAACATCTGTAAATAACAACGATAACAATAACAAGAATCTATACATATTCAAATATTATTGCGTGAAAGTTACCAGAATAATAGAAAGATTTAATAATTGCGGCGAACTTTTGTCGTGGTTGAATAAATCTGTCTACGAACAACTTTGCTCCTAAATTTAACTCATAGTCCGAACTTTCTTTCTGTTGGATGCATAGAGATTTTTATTCTATAAGTTAAACACAGAAAACATGTTTTTTGCCAGATTACACTGCTTGTGAACTTACTAAAAGAGAGCCGAATGTTCTTCCATATAATTCACGAATCTCTTCTTCAGTACGAATGCTTGGCAGAATAGTTAACAATTCTCGATGTGTACTAGTGTCTTGTCCAGCTGCTTCGGCCAATATCGATAGAAGCAATTTCACAAGGAATGGTGAAACCACAGTATTTTCTTGCTCATTGGTATCCAAAACTTTCTAGAAGTATTCAAAGGTGACATCATTAGTATTGTTTGTGAAAAATGTCTGAAATTGATTTAAATACTTTTGTTAGTGCCCAATCAAATTCATCGTGTCGTGATCCTCTGTATGGTTTTAATTCATCATCGGACTCAAATATGGGATTGGTTGAATCAATGCTTTGAGCTTGTGCTTGTAGTGGCCTTTGGACATTTGGAGGTCTATTTGGTGATAATGATGGTGGATTGGCATGAAACAACTTGTCTACGTCCACTTGTGACTGTGCATCGCAAAAAATCACAATCGAACACACTAAAGAAAAAACATATTGATTAATAGTTTTAACAATAATTACAGCTATCCGATTTTGTCACATACCGAACAAAAAAAGTATTTTGCTCATCTTGCGGAGCTGACAAGCTAAATATCAAATGAAAAAAAAAACAAAACTAAATGTTATTGAAATTATTTTTAAAGCTACATACAGAATTTTGTTCGTTTGTTATCACTAGATGTTTGGGTTTACTGGTTGTGTCAAGGTCACATTAATTTTTAATGATTTGGTTTCATGTATTTTGTTGTTGTTGCTAAAACCAGAATGCACAGAGATTTGAAATATTGAAATACAAGTTTTTGGTCTAACGCCCAATCAAAAACTTATTAGAGTTGGATACAATGAAAGCGTGAATATAACTTATATTTGCATTGATTGATTTTTTGTTTGTTTGTTGGTTTGATAAGTGGAAGAATTCTATTCACTTTGAGTTGGGTGCTCGTAATATTTATTTCAAATAACAAGATTCTTATCTGTTGCGAGCAATAATTTTTCTTCTAAAATAACTAAATAACTTGCAACTAAATTTCTCAATTTTTAACTAAATAAAAAAATCGAATTCCTGGAATTAAATAAGAAAAAAAGAGTTGATCACTGAGCTCACTTTGTTGAAAAAAAATTTCTGTTGCGCTGAATAAAAACCGGTAATATTTTGTTTTTCGTGACGATTTTCTGACGAATATTGTTCACCTTCTCAACACTGAACGACAACTAAATCAACAAAGACTATCTTGCCAACCATGAGCCAGCCAACCAATTAAAATAGAATGACCAGAGCAATACAAAGACAAAGACAAAGACAAAGACAAAGACAAAGACAAAGGCAAAGTCAATCAGTGACGGACTTATGAATGTATAATTTACATGTCAATGATGCAGTGCCGTTTGACAAGCAATGCCAGATAATACTTTGTCAACAGTTAACGCAATACACATAAATACGACTGTATGAATTTATAAAAATCGAATCGTCTAATAGCTTTATAAATACACTGTCATTTAGCACCAAGCCGCTGTAACAAATATTTGTGTGTGTAAGGTATAATAGTGTCTGAGGTGGGGATCAAGTTCGATGGGAAAAACCAGACAGCGATAACAACAGAAGACACATTCAGAAAACATGTTCTGAATTTTAATATGCCGCATCAGAAGTCGCCATATACTCAATATTTACATAGATCAATGAAATTAATCAGCGAAAAAGAACATTTTTCTTTTTTTTTCGAATCTTTTGGTATGTGCAAAAAATTCTATTCATTCATATGTAGCAAATATTTTTCGACCGGGTTCGTATTTTTGGATTTTTATACTAGGTGTACCACCGTTTGTCTATTTAACCGTTCGTTTCAAAGAATAACCGGAAATATGTTGAAAAAACGGAATAGAATAAAACCAAAATAATTAATTTTTTATGGCCCAGATTCGAGCATGTTATGTGCATCATGATGTAGTACACCAAATCAACCGTTGAAATTCGAGTGCTATTCAAAATGTAAAGTTGAACAAGTCATCCCGAAATTGGTGTGTACGAAAGAAAATTAAATGCCAACAAAAACTTGACACATGCAAAATACTATGCCAAAGCATTGTTCTAAATAAATCATATGTTCTTTAGGTTGTTTTTTACAACTTTTTTTTGTTGAATTTGAAGCAAAACACAAGCCCATCATTTGAGGTAAGGAAAGACTTTCGAAAATAACGTAAATATAATGTGGTTGTAATTTTCGAATAAAAAAGAGTACGATCAGGCGGGAGAGAGTGCGGAACGGAGAGAGAGAGAGACAGCAATGATTGTTTTTTTCTTCTGCTTCTTCGGCTGTTTATTCGATTTATTCTTTTTTCCTCTCTTCTTCTTGAATTTCTCAATTTCTGGTTTTCTAAAATAGCTGTGCTTTTTTTATATATACATATATATCTATATATACCGTATGCCGTAAAGGTATTGTAAACAATTTACATGGTTGTTTCTCTATTCATCATTCGTCTCGTCATCAATTTTCAATATAATATCTATTTCTGACATTGACAATTACCTAGCAAATTGTTGTATAGATTGGCGGCAGCACACACTGTCTTTCAGACTTTCAGATAACTGCAAACATGAATGGGAAGTTGGTTTTTGACACTGACAATGATCTTCTATGCTTCGTGATGCCATACGCAGTGTACTTATGCAAAATTGCATGCTAAGAACCTGATTCTGATAGATTTTAACAAAACAAATTCTGTCTACAGTGAATTGTTCATATTCTGTAGCATATATAAATAAAATAGCTTCACATAAATAAAATAGCTTGAACCAATTGCATGCTCAGTACCAAGATATTTAAATATAGAAATGCAAATTGTTTTAAAACCAATGAAAAATAAACATGCAAAAAGTGCAGTTATGATAATTTCATTTTCTGAAACATAATTTAAAGTTCAAAATACCGCAAAACATTAATGTAATGGTTGTATTAACGTACTTGGTGAAACTTACTTCATTAAATACTTTCCAAAATTCTAAGATTACAAATGAAACTGAAAAGACTTCTTACTGAAGGAGGAAAGAGCAACATACATCCATTATTACATATTTTTAGAACAAATATGCGACAAGCAAAGGGATATTGCAACTTTTTTGACCAGAAAAAACGCCATCTTACGTCGTGCCCGTAAATTATTTTACTGTACATTTAGATGGTAGAGCTTGAACAAAAGTTCGACACTATGCATAAACTTGAAAGAGCTTGATAAACTTGATGCAATACATATATTTTATGGTCGCTGCAATACCCCTATGGCGACAAGAATCGAAATCGAATCTGTGCTTCGAGCATTTATCATGACACACGGTCACGATCATAAAATGACCGAAATCTCGTTGGTTTGCCCTACTTTTATTGGTACACATTTTGCAGTTTGCTTTCTTCGAATTCACACGTATATTCGTGCATCCTTTTATTGGGTCAATCGTCAAGTAATGTGTAACAAAAATGAAAAAACCGTTGCAAAAATATGTAACACATATGATATACACGCATTGTATCAACCGAAATATTCTGAATGCTTTACATACATCGAAATAAGAACAATTTCATAATATATGATTCTTTACCTTATTTCAATTTTCAATGGTATTGCGAGTTTTGTCTCCGTTTCAATTGTGTTATGAAACACAGAAACTTTTCATTAGAATGAACATCAATTGTTTATGTGATAATCCAGTTTAGATAGAACTAAGTGTAAAAAAAGATAGACTTAGTTTCTTTCACACGCATAGCAAGGCCTTCAACAGGCGTTTTTTTTATATCGTAATGATTATATAATAATTTGAAGTAAACCAACTTCATGAATTCTTAGGTTTTCAATTTCTTTGGCCCATGCGACATCTTACAGCCGAAGGCATAGTTCAAAGATGCTATCAACGTGTGTGAAGCGAAGTAGGAATAGCTATAGCAAGAGTGCAATTTGGTGATGTGGTCATCTCACGCCACAAAGATCACATATTCATCTCATCAGAATCGGTAGTTTTTTTTAACCGATTTTCACTCGCCTCATAGCTTAGAAATATATTTCTTCTTCCAGCCCAGCCATACTACAAATAATATGTATGTGGTGGCACATATTCCACATTCTCTCTTGACGTTTCTTTCTCATTTTTATTCTTTCACTTGGTGGGACGGAAAGAGTGAAAAGTACGGAGCAGTAACAGCAAAGCCAACAGCTATACCACTTGTGCCGCAGCACATTCTTATATCCAATCCGTTAAAGAAGTTAAGTTGTGCTCACTGTCGATGATGATGATCTGACCAACTCTTCTTCAGTTTTCGTCTTCAGTTATCGTCTAACCATCAACCAGATAAGTTGTGTTACAGGAGAAGAACTGAGAAAAACCTTAAGACTTGCGACGACAAACATATTAAATGCGTATTCAAATCAAGATATCAGAACAAACAAAACATTGTGTAGTGAAATAAAGGAAACATAGTTGAACATAGCGGTAATTACTTCGAACGGAGAAAATATAAAGAATATAGAAATAAAATATAAATAAGAATAATCATAGTTGGTGGTTCTGTGTCATCTTGTTTTTTCCAACATAGTTCTCGCTGGTCGTTTTTATTTCCATTATTTTAACGACTGAAAAGAGCAGAAAAAAATCAGGAGAAAGAATAAAATATATATATTCTCGAACAGATCGATAAGCAGACAAACCTTTTAGTAGCATACGAATGAATTTAGAAAAGTTTACATAGAATCATGTGACAGCATTAAAAGTTCCGATAATCATCCAGAGAATTTCACCGTTAATATCATTTGAATAAAAAAGCAGTGAGTATTCATTCCACTCAAAAGTGATAAAAAGTTCTTGAATTCAGATTAAATTCTTAGCGCGAATACTTTTATAACCCAATCTTATTTTTTCAATGAAAAATATTGTATGCATAAAAAACATGAATGTGGCTAAAATAATTTCGCTCACAATAAATGTAAAAGTTGATATTTTTTATGTTTTTGAAATGATTGCCTCGAGACACTTTATCTCGATTTACATTCTTTTCTGTACTTCTGCATTTTTCTGCAAACAGATTTTCGTATGCTCCTCCACATCATTTCTCCAAACTGGCAAAAAAAATGTATGTATAACAAAACAAAATGAAACTAAAGACAAAGGAAAATGGAATCAAAGTCACTGATTTCATTCATTTGTAAAGCACGCATGTATGGTTCATATGATAATTAATTTGTTAGCAGTTGATGCATTGTTACAATCAGAGAGAGATTGTCAGCGACGAAAATCAGCTTACTTACGTATGGCACTTGAATCTTGGATTATGTTAATTTCTTTTTCTTTTTCTTTTTGAAGCTCATTTTTATTAATTTCCTTGTGATGGTTGCTATTCATTTCATGTATATAGCGCTTAGCGTCTTGCATCTGGGCCAAAGGTCATGAATTAAGGTTACAGATATGTATTGTATTCCATCATGTTCACGTGCGAATAATTTCTAACTTTATAATGTATGTTTACATTTTGTTTCATTTTTCCATAAAAAAATTTTCCATGCATTTTCTGTGCTTAGTTTCCACTATCTGAACTGGTGATCTTTCAATAACAAAATCGTTCACTGTGCAACGCGTCTAATTTCAACATTCAAAATTTCGTTTAGTTTTTATAACATTAAATTTCATCGTACACGCAGTTTTTTTTCATTAAAAAAGGGTTTTTGGCATAAATTTCTGTCTATTATTTAATGGTTTATACTAAGAACGATCTTGGAATAGGTCAGTTATATCCATTAGTTACGATATAATAGAAAATTGGAATTCTTTTCCTAACCAAAGCATTCGCGAATGTCTCTTATCGTCAGCACCAATTACTTACACAGGTGCCCAGAATATTCTGTAACATTCTCGGTGGTTTTATAAATGTGTGTTGCGCAAATCGACCTCATTGAGATTCGAATGACGACATGATCGCAATTTTATGGCGTACGTTCACCGATACAAACATCAATCTGTCACTTAAATACCATAACATGTATTACATAGAGAAGCAAGAAAGAAGATCGTGAAAAGAAAATTCACGAGTTTTTCGTTCGGCTAGAATTAATACTATGAATTTCATCACATAAGAACAAAAGCAAATCGATTTTTAAACGAAAACCTTATATTGCCCATAAATCACTGTTGCTGGTTACGCATGCTAAATATTACTTGCGTTCTCGTCTGTACAAAATGATATATGCTTTTTGCAAATCAGACAATAAATGTACGAGCCGCAATGATCTCTCTCCTCTCTCTAGAATAAGTGGAAGATATTATACAGATTATGAATAAGATTATTGAGAGAGAGAGAGAGAGAGCAGCATCCGATAATAAAAAAAAATCTATTCAATCGTATAGAGAAATAATACAATAAATAATGAGTGTAGAATAGAAGTAACAAAGAAAACAAAGGAAGAGAGAAAAAAAAACAAATGGATGAAGCTACTTTGCCATTTCTGTTATTTTTGTTACGTATAACCAGTTTATGTTTCTCTACCGACAGCTATGTTTAGAATTTTCCACTTGACTTTTATACATAGAGCGATCATTGGCGTGCTCTTGCATCAGCGACTTCTATTAAGCGACGGAAGCGACAGCAAGTTTTTCATCGCACTTCCATTTATCACACACACAAATAGCAAAGTATGCATGACAAAACTAATCCATCGTCTTTTTAATTTTGTGATCATCAGCGTAATAGATGTCTTACCTATTTCAAGTAGCATATATTTTCTGTTTGCATTTGTCTACATGCCCGACGGTTAAGAAAACATCATCAGTTATTAAATCGTCATAAAGAAGAGAGTGATCATTATTGGCAATTTTCAGAAGTTGTTGGGAGGCATGTTGCTTTTGTTTTTCATCGCGGTTGTTATTTCTTCTGTGAAGTTCATCGTATCATTCACCTGTTATAAAATCTTAATTGTAAATTTCTACCATAATAATTCTCATTATGTTTTCTCATGCATGGCTATTGGTCACTAGATGAACATTTCTTTCGTAAATAATCTTAATAATAATGATAAAAACAATAATAATAGATGCACTCATTCAAATTTCTGTGAAATAAAACAAAAAATAGAAATAATTTTTACATTACATGAAGAAAATAATTCACAAAAGTAATTCTTTCAGAATTCAAAATTACCAATTTTCATACTTTCGATTGCTTCTTCAATTCTAAGCCTATTCACAAATTTCAGAAAACCAATTTCTTAGTGACGAATCAAAAATGCGAGCAACTCTTATTTTGATGATAGCAGTTGGGACTTTTTGGCCAGCTTTAGCAAAGGAGAATACAGCAACATCAATACCACAAATCGAAAGTGGCTCTAATGATGATGAATACGACAGTGAATCAGCTAGAAAGATCATTGGATCGAGGTAAATTGTTGAAAAAGAAAATTTGATTTAGATGTTATTACTATAAATTAAACTCTAATTTTATAGAACGAATGTCACCATAAGTGATGAAAAAACATTTTACCGCTTCATTTAAATTATTTGATACTTCTTTGCTTCTAACACTCCATTCGAATCATTTTGTGTATAGAGTATTAAAATAGACCAAACAATGTGTTATTTGCGATCTGTATTCTCTTAGTAATTAACCTCTCTGAACTCTTTGCTATCTTTCTGAAATACGGTATTCGCCTTGTACGAATCATGAATATCGCATGTTTATTGTGTTTTTTTTTCTTTGTAAGAAACATGATTTTCCGTTCTTTTGTGTTTTTATTTTACCAGAAAGAATTAATGGTTTTCTCTTTTCTTTTTGTATCTTCTAATAATGAACACAACAGAGTAGTGACTTCAGTTTCGGTCGTGATGAATGGAAAAGAGCCACAATTTGCGGATGCAGTCGGCAATTATATACCGAGACCTTTGGTTCCGCCACGTGTTGCGAGTCCCGTAAGTTTGCTGGATCCTGATCGTTATGAATTTTACACGTTCAACGATGACGGCGAACTGGTCAAGCGACTAATGACAATGGAAGAGATCCAAAGCATAGTCGCCAATGGGGACAGTGAACAACAAGTTCTGGCCAAAAATCCAACAGGAATCACGGTTGATAATGAGGCCAGTATTCGTGACATAGTTAATAATGTGCAAAAAGTTTTACACTCTGAAATGGCGAACAACAATTTCACGGCCAGTTTGATGCATAATAAATTGGATACGCCTGACACTTCTTCATCGTGGAGCTCAATATTGCCCGCAATTTTCGGCAATACTGGCGAATCAATATTGGCAAATAAACTGCCAGTGACAACAGGAAGCACGGCTGATTCAATCATCATGCATACAACCAATAAAAAACCAGTAACACACAAAACGCCGAGTACGTCATCGATTTTGAAAACCACCCTGCCACCGAAAACTACAGTCAATAAGTTGACGAAGCAAAAGCCGAAACCGACCCGACCTGCTTCATCATCAATTACAGCAACGCCTAAGCCAAGCACTGTGGTAACGCAAAAAATTAAAAATTCATCAACTTCTCAAACAACACAAAATATAAAAAATACCATACCACCGACAAATAAAATTCAATATTTGCAACAAAGCTCATCTTCCACATTAAAGCCCACAAAAATTTTCACCGCTGGAAAACCATCCAGTAGTTCTTCAAAACCTTCTACGGCATATGTACAAAAAATCACACAGACTACACATAAAGTGACTCAACATCCAAGCAAAACTACGGCTCATCTAGTAGATACTACTTTCACAAAAAAAACAACATCAAAACGTCCAACCACACAAAGTAAATATCCGACGAGTACTTTGAAAACATCACCCACATCCATTTCAAGCAGTATTCATACAACTAAATTGCCTTTGACCGTGCAAACAACATCGACGAAAAAAAATAGAATTCCAGAAGGGGAAACCACTTCATCCGCATATCATACCTACATAACAACCATTCCAAATAAAAAGAAAATCAGTTCAACCACACCCAGTTATAAGACCACAAAGATCGTTACGGAGACATTTACGCCAAAAGAAAATGTAATTACAACAGGCGAACAACACAAATACACAACAACAAGTCCCTTGCCAGTCACTACACGTAGAGCAGTTACGAGCACAATTCAGCCAACAACACGATCGCCACCTCAAACATTGAATCCAGATGCAGCTGCAATCATTGAGCCTGAACCAGATAATATTTTCGATTCCGAATTGAGTTTGAATCAGATCATTGAAAGTTTGAAAGATCTTGAAGGAACAACAATGCCATATGCATCAAATTATATGGATTTCGTAGATTTGACAACATCTGAACCAAATTCAATGCCACCATTTGATAAAATCAACTCTGAGTCTGTAACTATTATGAACAATGGACAGAATATGAACGCACCAATGAATTCAGAAAAGGACGATGCCGAATTCAAGCAATCGGTTAACAGCGTTTCATATATTCCACAAACTACAATGGAATTCTTAGAACTTTCCCCAATTACCGAAAGCTACAATAAGAATAATAAAAATCGCACGAACGCTATTCTAACTGCTCAGAAACATCATTATACGATACCTAGCATAGAGCACAAAGAAAGTGATGATGAAATGGAAATGGTATTGGATTTAGATGGTGAAAAGACAACCACTATTACTGCAACAACGAAGTTAGATATTACAACTCCAGACGGATTAAGTAAACAGTCAACAAACAGCATGGATACATTAATGAGAGAATCTTTCGATAGTGTGCTCTCGCAAGTACAAAGTGATGGTTATTCGACAACATTTGATTATAACGATGTTGAAACGACTACATTTTCACAAATGCAACAAGAATCGATAACAATAAAATCAAATGACAAGAAAAAAATTATTGTCAAACCGACACCATACATCCCAATCGATGAAGGCGCAACTGAACCCATGAAATACTTTGAAGCAGTCATTAAACACTATGAATTAGAGAAAAATAAAAACGAATCGGCCAATAGGACCTCTGCCGATTTAACAACTGAAAAGCTAATAGAAGAAGTTCTTATGAAAACTACCGAAAAATCTTCCTCAATTGAAACGACAACAGCAGATTCAGACGCTATAGACCTGACCACGGAAAGCGTTTCAGAGGAAAATCTGGGTGACCAGACTCAAGCACCAATTAGATCATCAGAAACTGTTTCCGAAGGTGATCCGACGACAACCGAGTATTCAACTGAAGATATTCCCTCCGATATGTTGAGAACTGAGCATTTAGATGGTGATGAAACGACACAAGCAATTACGGCGGAACCCGAAGAGATTTCAATCATTCAATTTATCAGAGATTCAACAGAAAAACATGAAATTATATCATTAAAATCATCTACTGAAAAGAATGAAAATGAGTTTTCCACTCGTGCTAATGAAGATATTACTACAACCGAAAAAATCACCGAAAGTGATGATATCACCACTAATTCGGACATTTTAGATCAATCAACAAATATCAATCATGAGATTCAAGAGCATCATCAAACACAATATGAAATGATTCAGTTGATCGAAAATATCATGAAGAATATCACAAGTGAAAAGGCGAATAGTAGTTTACAAAATGCAACTAATACCTCAATTGAGCGCAAGGAAGATGGTAATCAATTGTCAAATAGAACTAAAGTAGATAATGATGAGGTAATCGAAAGTGAAACTACAAAAAGAGATGAAATTGAATTTTTAGATTTGGGTGAGGCCACAACTACACCAGTAAGCATGCCGTTGATGGAAAAGATTCAAAACGAAGTTAAATCGAATCGCACGGCTTCTGTGAAGAAACCGTTAAATAAATTGAAAATACCAACATTGGCTCCGATACTGAACAATCTAAAAATGAAAGTTGTGAACGCTCTTAAAAACACAAACACAATTAATTTAGAACCGGCGCCAAAACAAGCACTCGGTCTCGAAGAAAGTACGACCCACGCTAGCGAAGATATTTTGGAATTTACAAAATTCTGCAATGAGGTCGCTTTCAACTTCTGGACCGCACTGAATAATGATGGTATTAGCTCGGCTCGAAGTTTGACACTGTCACCATTTGCATTAACTTCAATGTTGGCTATGCTATTTTTGGGAGCAAGAGGACGTACATCAGGCGAAATAAATGACATGCTTCACTTGGATGACATTGTCACTTTTAATCCACATGCAATGCTACAGAACATCAGCGACTCTGTTAATGAGAAGAAAGACGGATATGTATACAGTAATGCGTTCGTACGAGAATTGTTGAGTGAACGAAGCAGGGGAAAGATTCTTCCGTTTTTCAAAGAGAAAGTTAATCAGTTCTATTCCGGTTATGTTGAAGAGATAAACTTCAATACGGTTAACGATGTCATCAGGCGTCGAACTAATTTACTGATAAAACGTCATACAACGGGCAAAGTGAATGAATATTTAAAATCTAGTAATGTTTGGGTGAGACCACCGTTGTCCGGAATCAGTGCAAACATCTTTGAAACGGATTGTTCCAAAGCATCCAAAGTTGAACGAGATGGTGAAATGTTCTTCCAAGTATTGCCCGCAATACGGCAGCGTCGCTTAGTTCCAATTCCAGCTGTCGTTTGGAAAAGTGGATTTACTGCCGGCTACGATCCAGAGTTAGACGCAACAGCTGTTGCAATTGGTTTAAGCAAAGACACTGTAAGCACGATCTTTGTTATGCCAGGCCAACAAGGGCATTCAGCATTGGGTGATAACTTGGAACGACTTGAATCAGTATTAATGGTGAATGCCGTGTCACAGAATGCTTGGCGACGTTTGTTGGCTACATTGATGGAAAGACCAGGTTTAGAGGTTCAAATACCTCGTTTCACACATCGTTCATTCGTCAACACAACGAATTCGTTACGAAAACTAGGTCTTGATACACTTTTTGACCAAAATTTGGCTGACCTGCGTGGTATAACTGGTTCTATTGCTCGTGACATGTATGTTTCAGATTTGGTGCAAATCAACACATTTAGCACATGCGGTGAGGATAAATTGCCGGAAGAACATCATGTTGAAATGTATCCAGCTCCACCGAATAAGCATCGTACGATGGAATACACATCAACAAAAACAACGCCGACAGCAAAACCAACTCCAGTGCATGTTGATTATGAGAATGAACGTGCTTTTGCTTCAGATCCCATTTATGATTTGAGATATTTAAGTTTACCTCTTCCATTGCGACCACGGCAAGCAAGAGTCCCAGAAATACCACGATTGAGGTTCGACAAACCATTCATTTATTTTGTTCGTCACAATCCCACAGGAGCCGTTTTATTTATGGGGCGTTTTAACCCACGTTTACTTCCGTAGTTTTTTAGACTTTGATATAATATTTAAATTATTAATTATTTAAGATTCGTCAATTTCTGGCGTAGTAGAAGTAGAAGTAGAAGTAGTACTAGCAGTAATGAACCAAGAAATTTTATGAAATCAAATTTCAATAAAAACATTATTCATAGTTAATTGGAAGAGAATGTTCACATGTGACAAAACAAATGCTAAAACATTTCATTTATATTTCATTTTACCTAATCAATTGATTGACATGATTGTTTGAAATTGAAATTGCAAGAAGAGATAAGGGAAAACAAGCCGAACATATGTAATAAATTAGAATATGATTATTTCTCCATTTTAACAATAATAATAGAAATTAATTAGTTATTGATATTTTTCATAAATAGGATAGATCCATCAATTGCTGATATCGTGTTTTTTCTTCTTTGCTTTCACTCTTGCTTTTGCTTCTTTTTTTTACCTTGTGAAATTGATGAATAGGAAAATGGAAATAAACATTTTTTCTTTAAATTTATAAAATTCCTCGTTTTTCTCAGACCTATAAATATGTAGGGCATAGAAATTGTTTCTAATACAATAGAGCTCATCAACATTCTATAATTTTACAATTATTCAAAAAATAATTTCAATATAAGGAATCGTCATCATTGGCATAAAACACTATCATTTGTGATTTGTGTGTCACATGAAGTTTTTGTAAATATTTTTCTTTCGATTTTTTTTAACGTCGGTTTGCTTTCTGGGAAGCACGTCGAAAACCCGACGGTAAGCTGAATGGAGCTGAGGCAAAAGGATCCTCAGATGCTTCTCCATCTTCTAATTTCTCCTCTTGAGAAAGTTGTGGAGGTAATGGGGGTGGCGCTTCTGACGGCGGTCCATTCAACGATATGGATGAGGACGATGTTTGAGAGGCCTGTGATATTGGTGATGATAAATCTTGTACATTGCCAGTATTTCGGATGGGTGAATTGATGTCATTCCCTTTTGGTGCTGAAAAAAGTACATGCATCAGTAGAGCAATGCTTTAGTGAAAGAAACCAAAAATTCATCCTACCACTAGGTCGGTCTCTTAAAGCATCAAATTCGGCTTCATAGATAAGATCTTCTGTCATTTGATTGAACGGCGTAGGATCTTCATCCTCAAATGGGTTCCACTGCGACATTGATACCCCACCACGATTTGGTTTATTGCTAATTTTGTCATTTATTATTGCTGTTGTTGTTGTAATTGGTAATTCAGCGCTCGAGATTGATGATCTCATCTGAACAACATTTGAAAATTGATCCGTAATCTCAACCGTTTCTGAAGGAACAAAAATGAACAAGTTTTTTAAAATTTATTTCATTGCTACCGAATTGAACTAAATGGAAATGCACCATCTTTAGTATATTTTCTACCTAGAGTATGAGGAATAGAAGCTGGTCCGAATGACAAGTTAACTCTTGTTTTATGGGATGCTTCATATGGTGCTAAAAACTCATTAGTTTCGTTTGCGAATGTTCTGCGAAATGATAAGGATTATGCATTCAGTAAAAAAAAAATCATAAATCACCAACAAGAAAGCAAAGCAAAATAAAATTTTAGGTACTTGTTAAATGCAGATGTATCACTCATATTTCGACGATGTCCACTGGCCACAGCTTTTGGAGCGTTTAGCAGTTGCTGATGCATTGGTGAAGTAGGTGAATGAATATCTTTTTTTGAGCCGCTTGATGGTACTGGAGGCGGTGGTGGCATTTGTGGCGAATGCGTTGTATCACTGAAACTGTCGGCAAATTTGGCCTCGAAAATATTTTCGTTTACGCCAGGTTTTGTTGGTGTTTTTAAGTCATTGCTCTGCATGACATTTGCTTTCTGTTTTATTGCATACGGCGACACGGGCGTTGTGGTTTGGGAAATACTGCTTGATTTGTCGCATGTATCGAAATTTGGATCGCCACTTTGCAACACTTGTGGTGAAGGTGAAGCAATAGTGTTTCTTGGCGAAGGACTTTGGGGTAGAACCAGCGGTAAGTTTTGAGAAGACACATTGCCTTTCGGTCGTTGTCTAGGAGCAACACTTGTGCCGAGCTCGCTCAGAATTTGTTGCTTGGGAGCAACCGTTGCTTTTTGAGCAGATGCACGTTTCTCACTTTCAAATTGTGGATTCGGTAAGTTCTCTAATACAGGAGCTTCAGATTTCTATTTATTTGGGAAATAAAAATGGTATGAAAAAGTGAAAACTGAATTATGATATCGATAGATGCAATAGTTTATATAACCATCGATCGATCACCACTCACTTGGATGTTTGTAACAGGATTTTCCTTTGATTGTAGTTTGAATGCCACCTCACAAACTTGCCAAATATTCGGTCTTAATTCTTGATTTGGTTCTAGCATATACTTTACAAGCTTGTGTAGGCCACCCGAGTATTGTGAATTGTCTGGAATGGAGAATGTCCCGTTTTGGATGGCCAAGATGCTTTCGCCGAAAGGTAATGTGAAGAACATCAGTTTATAGAGTAAGCAACCCATTGCCCAAACATCTGCTTTTGTTGTAATATTTTTTTCAGCATACAGATCGACCATTTCTGGGGCTCGGTACGAGAGAGTCGTGAATTTCCTAATCTCCTCTTCAACATTTGAAATGCCATGCGTCTTTGGGTTCAAGATACGTGCAGTGGCGGAGCCAAAGTCACAGAGCACAAAGTCTCCGTTATCGTTTTGTAGAATGTTTTCAATTTTCAAATCACGGTGAATTATGGGTGTTTGACAGTGATGCAGTCGAGACACAGCTTCACTAATATCACAAAATATATGTAACACTTCCTGTTCGGAAAAGCCTACTCCTATTTTAGCGTTCATCATAGACAATACGTTCATTTTGCAGTACGACATTAGCATTAGCACTTCAAACACACCACCTGGGTGTGTCGTTATGCTACTGTCAATGTAACCGATTATATTTTTGTGCCCTGATAAATTACTCTGCAAATAAAAAAGAAAACAATTGTTTTATTTTGAAATGCTACAGTTCAGAAAAAAAAATTATATCGTTATCGGATCATCGAACAGTTGTTGTAAATCATTGATAAGGCCATATCAAACACTCACAGCGATTTGAATTTCCCTTTTGGCCGCATTCAAATCTACTTGATTGTTAACATAGAGTCGTTTCAGTGCGTATCGAACATTATTGCCACTACTGCTATTTCCATTTGGTTTTGTCAAAAACACCACAGCAAAACCACCTATTTCGTTGGAATAATATAGATAGAGATGAGAAAAAACATTGCCCGATAAAAAAAATACGGCTTTGATAAGCTCACACAATGTCGATTAAAACTCCAAATTCTGTCATTTTGGAGTGAGAGAATAATGATGTAGAACAAACATTTGAAACATGTAATTGGAACAAATTGACTGACCTTCAGCTAAAACGTCCTCGACCGTAACTACTGTTCGACCCACAGTGAAAACTTTTCCAATAAAACAACTCGCCTCACGCTGGAGTGATCCAGTGGTGTTGTTCTCCATTCGTTCATTTTTGTCAAATTTTGATAGAATCTTTTTCATATTTTTCTGATTCACAAGACGATTAGTACAATTCGATTAAAATCGAAGTTTCTACGCGAAAACCACCACTAATGAATCAACTACAAATCGAACAGCAATCCAATTAAATCACTTTGTTGCAGTCTTAAGCGCAAATCAATAACAAAAGTAATAAATTTTGGTTGAGGCTTTCAATTTTCAATTTACTAATGAACAATGTAACAACAGCTCCCGTGAGCTTCCACGATGATGTAGTATTACGCTCTTTTGTGCAAATATCTACAGTTTTATTTTTGCTTATTTATCAAATGCATCTGTAGTTGTTCAACAGCGCATTGACAGTTCACGTCATGCCTTTGTACACTTGTATCTTGTTCAAAATTCTTTCTCTTTCATTTGTTATTCTCTATTGTCTAGAACTACTATACCTCGTCAATTCTTCAACTCAACCAAGAAAAATACTATTCTCTCGTCTACAGACTGAGTGAAAAATTTTGCAGATCAAAAATAATAAAAAGAGTCACATCCACTCTATGTTCAGCGTGAAATTCTTGATTGATTTTTCTTCGAAATAAAAACAAATTCACGTAGAAAACTGTTTATAGTTTTCTCCGACTTTAGATCGCTTACTGAAAATGTAACATTGAAAACTTTTGACAGCTCAAAATTTCTCTTTTCATTTATGTTTGTTGAATACAGTAAAACCAGATCAATTCAAAACCTCAACATGAAGAATTTGCCATCACAATACAAGTGCCCCACGTATGATTAAGGCATTTCATGTTTAAAAAAAATTCACATGAGTTTTTGTTTAAAGTTTCATAAACAAGGGAATTTAATTCAATACTTACAAAAAAACATATATATATTCAATTTATATATATATTGAAAATATAACCATGTCAATTTATTCCATTCATTTATCTTTTACTGTATTCAGCGTATCAATGTTGCCCGATGCTATATTTCGTATGAATCAACATCTGTCATATAAGAGTGTAGATCAGAATTTGAAAGAATAAGTGTCATTTGATAACGGTTTATCGGCGGTCAATTGAGCAATTTGTACACTACAAATAGATGCACTTATACAGTCATTAGACTATATACATTTTACAATTTTACTAATAATGAAACAAAGCGTCGTTGTTTGAAAATATTCATTTATTTTTTTCCATAGGAAAATTGATTTTAACAATTAAACAACTCGATTTTTGGCAACTAAATCTTAAAAATATACCGCAGTCAATAAATGGTACGTCAACGGATGCTAATTTTCATATGAGACTGGAAAATGATAAATGGAAAATGAATCGAATGAAATAAAAAACTATGATTGGCTTAAACACTGGACCATCGGATTTGTTCAATTGATATGTATAATGAAAGAAAACTTTGTCACAAGCATTTGGTGTGTATGTCATTTGTCTTTTAATGGAGTATTTTTCGGAATCTACCAGAAATGTTGTTCCTTGCCAATAATGTCAGCTAACGATTTCTTAATTTGAATAAAGCGTCGTTTGAATTCGATGCCATCGCCTTTCGATAAGCGAAAATCAACCAGAACATTTTCGCTCATTTCGATGAGATTAATTTTGAAAACTAATTGGATCTTTCGTCGGTCAACTGTTGATATGGTTAAAATATTTGTATCGGTGGTTTTCCATACGTATCCCATTGAAGATACAGTGTCGATTATTCGTTTTATTGTATCATCTGAAGGTGTTGTAACGCTGAAGCGAGTCATACGCTTAACAAGGCGATGGAATGGATTTTGAGTGCTTTGGGTTGGATTCATTTGAGTACAAAGAATGAGATCTTCCATAAGTGTTGGCTGTGAGAAGCAGAAGTCGCTTCTTTGATCATTATTTGTGTTATCATTTGAATTATCATCTTTCTGTTGTACAATCTGTGGGGTGGGTTGCGTTAAATTAACGGGATTGTCACCACGCGAATAATCATTTGATCGGAAGCGTTTGGCTCGCGGCATTTCTACGTTATTTCGTTTATTTTCTAAATTTCAAATTGAAAGAGGAAAAAAAAGAAAAAGAAAATATTTTGTTCATGAAAATATAAATAATTAAAGAAAAAATATAATCAAATGATACAGAACTAAAATACATAAGAACTTTTTCGGTAAATAAATAAAAATGGAACAAATGCGAAAATAAGGGCCATAGGGATTTTGGTGGGAAAACTATATGATTTCACACATTTCACATACAGCTTAACCACCAAAGACACTATAGCCAATAAACAAAAGCAAATTAAAATCAATAAGCAAACGTTTTTCAATCAAAGCGGTCCCCTGTGGAATAACTGGAAAAGATAAATAGATTTTTTTATTGGAGATACCATAAATGTTTACGAATTTGCGTTGACATTATCCAGCGCTTTAATGCTTTGGTAATCTAGCTTTATGAAATATTGTTACTCTATCATACAGCTAAAGCGCCAAAGCATGCAAATGCCTTCATGTAGTCAATCGACTTTGAGCATTTAAACTTTTATGTCATACTCGTTTTGAGTATCAGAACTACTTCGGTGCTCCATAAATCTCTAAATCGTTGAAGGTGGTAGTAATCTTCTCGACCAGCTACAAAAGTGCTCTCTGAATTCTTCAATTTTCTGAGCAGCGAGTCACTTGATTGTACCTGAGCAAGCAGAGCATTCGTCGTATGGTTCCATTGTCTTATATAGACGGGGGTAGAGTAAATTACATCAAAATTCAGCAGAAATGTATAGCACATACCGCTCAATTTGGCTCGACACCACTTATGTTCAATAATATCTTTTACAGTTATCCGTTTTCTTGAATCCGGCTCAAGTATTTTCCGCAACAACGATAGGGCTAGCGTTTCGACCTTACTCCATGGCGTTATTGTCATCCAAGAGATATCACTTTTCCATTTTACAAATTCAGCACATCCCAGACTTGGTTCATCCCATGGTAATTCTGTGAATCGATTCAATCAAAATAGTTTAAATGTAGCGAAAAAGCGTCATGACGTGTATTTAATAAACGTTTCTTAGAATGAAGAAAAATGAAATTGACGTCAAATTAGACGAGCCGAAATGTGAATGCAGGATAAGTTTATCAATGTCAATGGACGTATGTTTGGACATGTTTCGCTTAAACGCTATTTCAACACATATTTTATATTGTTATTATTTTTATTATTTAGTAGGTAAAAAACAGTTGTAATGAGCGGCAAACATATGATAATTACAAATTTAAGGTTTTTACAAACATAAAATCGATCGAAAGGTATTTTTTTTCTGGTTTCAATCGGTAGACTTGAAATAGTTACGCATATATTCCATAATGTACATAGTCAATATTTACATGTATTGGTAGGTATGTATGGTGATGTGCAGCAAGCAATTTTCGTAAGACCTCTGGTATTAAAGCTTTAGATACAAAAATTGAAAAACAATCTACAGCTAGAATACCAAAGAGCTCAGCAAAAAATATTTATACATATAAAACATGTGGGTGTTTGCGTGTTGTACGAATACATAGGATGATATTCACCAATTCTCAAATTCATTCTTTTTTTTTAATGGTGGCAGCAGAGTAGCTGGCTGTGGTGATAGTGATTTTAATTCTCTATGTGTGTGTAGTGTAGTGTAAATAATAATAATAATAATAATAATGTATGTGTGTATCATATTTGCTATTTAATATTGTTAAATTGTTATTTAGCAGTGCCAGTGTGAGGTACCGAGTAAATGAATCAAGTTAATGCATATACAGTTTTTGATTACAATTTCCATATGCAGCACTTTGTTTTGAGAACTGTGATTTGATATCTGTTTTTTTCTGTTTCATCACTTTTCAAATGAAATATGTTAACCAATATGAAAGCGGGACACAAACGAGGTGAAGACACAATAGAATAAATAGAATTGACAAAGCGACAGTAAAAATAATCTTACCGCCAGATAACATGGCTACCAGAATAACGCCACAGGACCAAATATCTGCCGCTGTAGCGCTGTAGGGTCGAATCAAAATCTCTGGAGCAACATATGGGAGAGTACCGCATCGTTTATCAAGTAGTCTCTCTCTGCCTTTGATTCTACAAATAGAATTCATGAATCCAAATTTTTCAGCATTGGATTAGCATCAACTATCCAACGATCCAACACAATCCACCAGTAATGTTGATGTGAAAGCAATTAATTAATATACCTATTAATACCTGAACATAGTAGCCATGCCGAAATCGGATATTTTTAAATTGTCGTGTTCATCAAGCAATAAATTTTCGGGCTTTAAATCACGATGAGCGACTCCTTTATTATGCAAATAGTTTACACCATCCATTAACTGATTGAAAAAGCATTTTGCATCGTCTACTGACATTCCAACATCGGGTTCTAGTGAAGTAATAAAATCATAATGTAAGAACTCATTTTAGTCAAAAACAACCATTATGACAACGCACAATCGAAAAATCACATACCAATACGATCAAATAGCTCGCCACCCGCAGCATATTCCAAAAATATGTACTCTATTTCGTTTTGGCGTCGTGTTCCAAAATAACGTAAAATGTGTGGATGCTGCAAAAACTTCTGTATGCATACTTCTTTTTTTACTGATGCCGATGCATCAGGGTGTTTTCTTGTATCGACCATTTTCATTGCGACTGCTTCGCCGGTTTGTCGATTCAACAACAATTTAACTCTAGCAAAAAAAATAAGAACGAACGAAAAAACATTGTTGAAACATCATTATATCATATGAAACGACAAAAGTGCTGTTATGACTATTTGATTTCTTTGAAAGTATATATATTATTATTGGCACACCCCAAAATTGATTATACATCACTTTGGAACGGTTTATAATCAGAAGAAAATTTAAAATTAATTACCATGCCGACCAAATCATACAATGAATGAATTGCGGACAATACTAAATATTTGTTTTACAAATACACTATAAACAATTTTATTTATAATGGTCGAACCATTGGAAATATAATATAATATTTTTGTGTTCTTTCGAATGTCAATAAAATGCATCTATTCACGAAAAAAATGAAAAAAAAACTTGAGCATAAGCATTTTTTATGCACAAAACGGTGTTAAATTCATACGCCATCTATTGAAACGATATGCTTTTATATGATATTTGCTATTTACTGAACGATAAAGGTTGATATGCGACCGGTGGGACTAACGATTTGTGTACGGTATAACACATAACGGGGTGAATGGTACCACCGTCACAGCAGTGATTTATGTTGTATGTTATAACAAACAAGAAAAATGAAATATTTCAAATGTTTTATATTTCCAATAACTTTGTAAACTAACTATTTGAAGATTTCTTTCATCAAATTGGTGGCCATTAAAAAGCCAGTAAGTGATTTTATATTTACACATTAAATGACTTTTGCTATGCTAAACACAAGTGTGAAAAAAAGGTTCGAGCATCCTAGAGATGAACGTGTAGAGGAAAAATGAACGAAATCGTATGGATCGAAATTTGATGTGGTTACTTACTCGCCATATGCACCCTCTCCAAGAGTCTGCGCAAGAGTCCAACCTTCGACGAATTCTTCTCGATTACCATTTTGGGATGCCATTTTGACTGAGAGATGAGACGTTTGATGTCTGTGTTACGATTCTTGCACCGTTCGTTGGACACTGAAATCAACATCGTGCAGCCAAATGGAAAATTTATATATCACACGCATATTATAATACACGCAAGCGGGAAAGAAAGGGACAAGAAACAAAGACCATGATTTACGTTCATTCATTATTTATAGTTTCAAATGATAATGAATTGGATATTATTTGATTACGCAAAAACTTCATAGTTGATGGAAAAAAAATAGAATGAAAAAATGCACTGCAAAATTCTTTGATTCTCTATACAAATGTTTGGATCAAATTTCAATCTTCATTATGTTTATTAAGCAAAATTTAAGCGATAAAAATACATGTTTTTCTGGAGAAATAATGAATCTCAATCCAATATTGTGATGATGAAATTCATTTAATGCGAATATAAGTTTTTATATTTCTTTGCGCGCTGAATGAGTTTGAGTTTGAAACGCGGCCGATCGAATATACGAATATACACGCTCACCAACACATGGACAAATCGGTTTGATGACAATTTTTATTGATTTTTGCAGAAACAACGTAAGTAAGCAAGTACGCGATTTTTTTTTAACAACACTCTACAAACTGCCAAATGGTAAACAAAATTTGTCCAATGCAAATTTTTCATTCAATAAATTATATTTGGGTTTGTTTAATTTATATCACATTTAAATATGTACGATATCAAGTAATTTACCGTTTTGTGATATTCGGTTTGCAAATAAAATGGAATTGCAAATTTCACATTTTTCTATTGAATGTTCTGAAACAAATTTAGTTGTGCGACCACATTCACAGGAATCGATTTTGATTTAACTTTTGCAATGATTGTCATGATGACTTTGTGATGCCGTTGCGAAATTGGAATTCTGACCGACAGAGCCTGCATGCGACCGGCAAGTTAGTCTTGGTTTCAAGAACTGACATTGATATTGTGTGTTATGCATATACAAACACAGTCGAAGAGGAAAATAAAGCAAAGCCAAGCAAAAATTCAGCATGCTAATGCTATTCTACGAACCGAATAACCGAATCGAATGCACAGTCGTAGAGAGTAGTCGATAACTTGTTCGAGATGAACCACTTTCTTGATATATAGACGAAGCTGATACCAACAACCAAGCATCAGTGCGTTAATAAGGCTTTCATTGTGATGATACGTTTGTTGGAAGTTGTATGCGAATTTAGATGTGGTCGTAAGGGTATGCGTATAATGAAGCGCACTATGAATACATGTATTTGTGAATGTATTGTATGTGTATGTATGAACAAATACACCAATGTGCAGAAAACGTATTTTGTGAGGTAAGGAGCGCGCAAGCACATTTTCGATTGGAGGTCTTCAATGTATGCATGAAATAGGAGAATCAACCGACTCTAAAGACACAAAATCCACGAAAATGCACAGATGAAAAGCAAAAATTTCATTGGCTGAATCCAAATGGAGAAGAAAAGAAGCATGAAAAAAGGCTTGCAAAAATGAACGACGAAATATATACTCAAAGAAACGAGTGAGCGGAAAGAGGTAGACGAAAAATAGGAAGATAAAACTGAACCGAACCTTTTTTTTGCTCAAGAGCAACAAAAGCGGCACTTGCCAATCGATTGGCATAGCAACATAGCGATATTCTGTGCGCTTTCAATCCAAGTCATGTTGCAGCCTCCATTGTATGTATGTTTCGCAGATGTAGCTAAATGTGGTGGTAATGTTACCTACTAATTTATTGCATTTTGAAATTTTAAACTTAACAGTATCTTTGAACCTTCAAATGTGAAGAAATCGTGATGTAAAAAATATAACAATTAGTTTGAAATTAACAAAAATCAAAACCTCAGCCAGGCAGAACCTACCGGCTTTTTGAAAATTATTAACTAATCAAATTGCGTTATATCAATACAATAATGAAACATCTACGAGTTTATTGTTTGTGTGGCGACGCAATTTAAATTTTGTTTCGACAAAAACAGATTGAAAATTGTATTTAGTAGAAAATGTAACAAGTAACGAACACATTTTGTGTTGAGATAGTTTTGTTTAAATTTATTTATTTGGTAGCTTAATGCGTCTCTTTTCGTTTTATTCATATATACATACACACGAAATTGGGTGTATAAGAAACGAAAAGCAGAATAGAGATAGACAGAGAGAGAGGAAGAAGGAAAAATGAAATGATCCGGTTTCGAAGAAGGCAGAAGATTCAGAAAAAAACTTCAATCTACCACTTATGAACACTATATTCTGATTCTGATTCTCGTGAAACTTATTTCCCTCACATGGTGAATTCAATGAAATGGCGAGAAAAAGGTTGATAGAAAAATTATATTTGTACATATTACTCACGTTTTTTATGATCAGTTGTTAGGCAAATTTTTTTTCTCCAAGAGTTTGACACACAAAAACGAATTGATTATCGTTCTTTTCGACGATAGTAAAACATCGTTCATTTATTTCACATTACCTATTCAATATTAAATGATGGCTAAAAAATTTTGGACCATAATGAATAATTTAAACGTTTTTATCGCTGTGGACATGCACACGCGCGTTGCACATATATAATTCGAGTGCCAAATATGATACACATGCTCATTCGAACGAGAGCAAACAATCACTGGTGAACGATGACACACGGCATTTTAATTCTTGACTTGCTGCTGTATTGTGAAGCTTTATTCCGTATGCATACCGCATGTTCAAAGAGTCGGTAAGTTTGCGCTTGTCTGGAATTCGTACAAATGATATGATGCTGTTGTGGAGAACTTGCAAATTTTGTAGAGTTTATTTTCGGTTTGGAACGCAAACAAAGACGTATTACAGGTGAACACAGTGTATTTTTATCCCATTGAAATAATTATGATGTTGCAACGTATTGACTCATCTAGTAATCGTAAAAAACAATTATTCATAAAATATTTTATTCGAAAGTTGAACAAGTTGAGAATTCACCAATTTATGATATTCAACATGAAAAAGGCAAATGTCACTGACGTAAATGTCAAGTTGATAGGCGCTAAAATATAAACGTCAACGCTCAAAACCTTTGTATGTATTCGTATATGTCACAATTTCTACGTGAAATGATTTTTCTCAACAAAAAGAATAATTAATTTGATAAAACAAAAGCCGGTTGAATATTTTGGAATATAAATTTTGATAAAACTCATAAACCGCATTCTGCTGTTTACCGCTAAAGTATTTGTTTTATTTTAAACCTAAATGAAAATTTGCTGAATCACTGAAGGAAGACGAGTTAACCTAATAATTTATGGTTTTATTTTAGGTCAGTGCTTATTGATTACTGCTTTTTTTTGTTGGAAAGTTGTGAACATTTGGTTCAACGAGTATGAGTCTGGACGACTATAAATTAAGTGCAGAGCTGCTGGGCCACTCATTGGATGTCCGAGCAGTTGCAGCGGCCGATACTTATATTCTCTCTGGTTCACGCGATAAAACCGCTAAAATTTGGGAATATAATGGGTAAGACGCTGTCGATGATTGATGAAAGAGATGTTGAGATTTCAGTTATATTCTTTGTAGAACTGCATACACCGAACGACTTACGTTGACCAACCACAAAAATTTTGTGAGCAGTGTGTGTGTTTTAGATGGAGGCGAATGGATTTGTACGGGGAGCAATGATGCTACAATTTGTGTTTATGTTGCCGGTAATGTAGAACCTTTCACCACTCTTAGAGGACACACTTCAACAGGTATGTGGCATTGTAATTAGTAATTATTGTATATTTCATCAATAACTTATCTTTGATCATTTGTTAGTCAGCACAATGGCGCCCGGCACTGAGAGTGGAATGCTGTTGAGCGGCAGCTGGGACAAAACAGCTATTATATGGAAAATTGCTGGTTTTGGAGAAACCCAACCAATCAAGTTGGAGGGTCATGAGGCAGCAGGTATAAGACCGTCGTATTTTCACCAGAGCGTGTTATGAGCTGATGTAAGCAGCACTAACTAACGTCAGCTGCTGATATCAGCTACTGACGAGTATGCGTTGCATTTGTTGTTGTTTTAACGCATTTGCAGTATAAAAACGAGATATTCTCCAAACATACCAATGAAATGTTTGCTTGCCTCTTCGTTTTTATACTGCAAATGCGTTCAAAGGCCACAACGCATACTCGTCAGCAGATGATATCAGCAGCTGACGTTAGTTAGTGCTGCTAACGTCAGCTCAAAACACGCTCTGGATTTCACCAAGCGATTATATTTTTGTCATTTTTTTATTTTATTCTATGGTCATCGCCCAAAAATTTGTAGTATGGTCAGTTTGTGCTTTAAAATCAGGAAAAATTGTAACTGGTTCAGCAGACAAAAGTATCATTTATTGGACCAGCAGTGGTGAGAAGCTCAAAGTACTGAAAGGTCACAAAGATTGCGTGCGGGCTCTGTTGAGTTTGCCGAATGATTCAATAATTAGTGCCTCCAATGATGCGGTCATTAAATTTTGGAATGAGGATGGAGAATGTGTCAAAGAGCTGATGGGACACACAAATTATATATATACTATGGCATTCAACTATCAATTAGGTGAAAATATTATCGTATCTGGTGGTGAAGACAGTACATTGCGTATGTGGAATTTCGATGGTGAGCTTGGCAAGCCAATTACCTTGCCTGCTCAATCCGTCTGGTCCGTGGCATGCTTGAAAAATGGTGATATAGTGGCAGGCACAAGTGATGGTGTTGTTCGCATATTCACGAAAGAGTCAAGTCGCTACGCAGATGAACAGACATTGGCACAATTTTCCGCAGCAGTCGATACTCGTATTCGTGAATCAAATCTCCAATTGGGAGGAGTAAAAGTCAATGAGTTGCCAGGACCGGAAGCGTTGTTGCAAAAAGGACGGGACGATCAAACAAAAATGATTCGTCATCCCGATGGAAAAGTCATTTGTTATCAGTGGTCAAACGGCAAATGGAATTCAATGGGTGATGTTGTTGGTGCGGTGGACAACGATCGTGGTATACAAGAATCATCGGGTAAAACTCTATTTGAGGGAAAGGAGTACGATTTTGTATTCAGGTGAGCTCCGCAGAGATGAAGATTGGGCTTAGATGGAAATAGATGATATTGAAATGTTGGCAAAGACGTTCTTAAATCATTACTTTTCATCAATTTTATTCCAATATTGCGATTTTTCTTCATGAAAACTCTTTAGTGTCGACATATCCGATGGGGTACCACCATTGAAGCTGCCATACAACCGGGGGGATGACCCATGGATGGCAGCTCAAAACTTTATTCATGAGAATGAATTACCACAAGCATACCTCGATCAGGTGGCAAATTTCATTGTAACCAATTCTGGTAATGCTCCCGTTATAGAAAATGCGTCAAGCGGTTTTGAAGATCCTTTTACGGGCGGTGGACGTTATATCCCAGGTATCATTTAGAAACACATATTTTCATATGTTAAATCCCACCAAAACATTCCACGAGAATGTAAAATTAAATGTAATTGATGTTCAATACCCAGGTTCAGGTTCTGATTTCAATTCGAGCGCTGGAAATGTCGATCCATTCACCGGAGCATCGAGTTATTCCACTCAACAGCCATCCGTTCCGGTTAATTTCGTTCCAAAATCCTCTTCTGGACCAACATCATCTTCTTCAAAGTCACCTTCTTCTAAGCATTTCCCATACAATCAATACACTACAATTGTTACATGCGATCCCGCTAAAGTTTTATCCAAGCTACGGTGAGATGAAAAAATTGGAAAAAAAATATAGATAAATTTCCCCCAACTCATTAGCGAACTGATTTTCTTTACAGGGAATTCAACAATAGCCTTGTGGATGATACATTGAAAGTTACTGAAACAGAATTGGAACATGTAATAAAACTTGCCTCTGGTGTACGTAAAAATTTACATATTTTCTTCCGCATGCGTTTCACAACGAATGATTTCTGTGACATTTTTCTTTCATTTTAGGATTATTCATCCATTGAATCAATCGACGCAATGAAAAAACTTCTTTCGTGGCCAATAGGTAAGCTGAAAATTTTCTTCGGTGTTTCATTCTAGTGATTTTCATCTAACCAGATTACGTTTGAATTCTTGTCTATCCCAAGAAAACCTCTTTCCCGTTTTGGATGTGCTACGTTTGGCAGTCTGCGATTCAAATGTTTGTTCAAAGTTGATAACACAAGATGTTCTAAATCTCATCATTCAAAATATCAGCGTACCACCAGCTAATCAATTAATGTCGATTCGCATATTATTGAATATGCTTGGCCATGGATATGGCCGTGGTCTCATTGAAACTTGTTTGGCTAATGTATTGGTAGCGATCAGTACAACGAAGAAGGGCAGTGCTAATTTGCAAATAGCTATTGCAACACTTTTGCTCAACTTGACTGTTGTTCAACTTGGCTATGCGGACGAGACACAATGCCAACATATAACCGAATCGATTATTGACTTTTTACTCTGGAATGCTGATCCAGAAGCTGTGTATCGCAGTTATCGTGCAGTTGGCAACCTCTTAAATACACCTCATGCACCAACAGTAAGTGCACAACTGATATCTACTGATTCCGTAATGGATGCAATTCGTAACAATATGAGTGTGCAACAGCAATATGGATTTGAACAAATCAATGAAATTGCTCGTGATGTCGTAAATGCACTGTGAAAAAAATAATCAAACATTTCATACCCATTGTCAAATTTAAAAAAAAATATCTATTCGAAAACATTTAAATAAAAATTATCACATTTCAAGATTTCGATTTTTTATTTAAATTTTATTCAACTTTAAATTTCAAGCAATTTTTTTAATACTTATTAAAAATAAATTTGTGTGTGAGTGTGTCGGTTTCCGCTATAATCGGACCAAAAGCTTGTTCAAATAGCGTTTCGCTCATTATTATTTGGCTCATCAAACAATTAGAATAAAATATAGTTTGTGCAAAGTTAGAAATGTAACGAGCGACTTTCGGTTGGTTTACGTCAAAATTCAACATGCATTTTCTTTTATATTTTACTGAATCTACCCCACTTGCGCTGGTTTATTGTATGATTCTGAAAACTATTTTTTTTAAACGGCTATCAGCAAGAGGTGGAATTGACTAAATTGTTTCGAAGGAAATTGACTCGCCCAAAATAAATTACAATTCGTAGTTTTTTTGGTCTCCGAATCATGTATGTGACTGGAAGTACACACAAAAATATCTAACAATTTAAATGATTGGCATAGTTCATCTTTAACAAGAAGAAATTTGAAATTTCCGCCAACATCTCTTTAGGTTGCATCGTAAAATTCATTATTAAAGTGTCTAGTTAATATGTACACGACAGCCTCGTAAGTTGACATCATTATGGCTGTGTTAGGTATTTGACGAACTAGTTGCGTGGCAAGACCTCTGCAATGCAATAAGGACAATGATAGAAAATTGCTAGCTTTATATCATTTATATGCTTTAAACTTGAAAAATACTCACCGATATAGGCCAGCCTTGCCTTCTTCGCGCCAAACCAAAAACAGCGTCTGCCAAAAAGAACGGTATTTATTGCCTTCTTCACGTAGTCGGGTTCGTGCAACCTCATGCGGATAGGCAATGCACGAAGCTACAGTTTTTGACACAGCACCGGCTCCCATAAATTCTATAAAATCTCTAGAGGTTTTGCCATCGGCCGGGTGTGTTCGTCGCAAATCATTCTAGGGAAGTCGACAAATTATTTACACCATTTCAGATCGTCATCTCTTTTTTTAAAATCTCATTTGTTACTTACTATTTTTGCTTTAATTGCTTCATAAATTACAAAATGAATTACAGTTTCTGATATGCCGACATAGCTAGCTGTGATACCTGAAAAACAGTAAGTAATAGTATAGTAGTGTTTATAAATGAAAAGTAGATATAAGACTGGAGGTTAATACTACAAGATACATTCTTCACATTAGTTGATATCTATCTAATCAAGTATTCCTTTATCGTACATACCCTTGTAAAATCCAATGATGCCTGAAGTTTGGTATATCTTTTTCACGCATTCTGTGACAGTCATTTTTACTTTCGAACTGTGATCGAGCTGAAGTCGAGTTTTTACAAACCATATTGGATTCGTTGCAGTTGAGGCAGCAAAACCAGCACAAGAAGCACTCAAAATATGGACGATTGGAGAATCGACTGATAGATTTCTAAAAATTAACATTTTCAAGGTGGTTTGAATTTGTTTTGTTCAAGATAAAATTTGCGATCAAATGATAGAAAAAAATGTGTTGTTTACTGTATTGTGCTGAGTGAAGTTTTCGTTTGTGAATAGGCACAAAAGTAAATCGCTCGCGATGGGGCTACCCCAACAATATTTGGTCCTAGTCCTTTGAATAAGGCCCGAGAACCTTCTGTATTAACGATATATCTATAAAGTATATGAAAATAAATTTAGAAAATTGCTGGGATTTTGATATTAGTATTGCAATCGTATCATCAAAATAGACTGCCCAAATTGTTCTAATTACTTCAAACATTGCCAAATACTAATCGACTGTGAACTGGAAGAAATTCCGCAATGTGATATGGTTAAAATCTGTGATATATTGAGCAGAAAGAAAATATACTCGAATTAGTGAATATTGAACAGAAGAAATCATGTCAAGAGATTACATCATACACTTACTTGTGAACGCTTTCGTAGGATGGATGTGCATATGTCTCGATTTTGAGTTGTCCCTTTAAGTTGCGCACCGTTCGTATTCACTTTATTGGCAGCATCTAATACGGGCGACGGATAGAATGGTGACGAAGAGCTTTGTAATCGTGTCTTTACTACTTCCAAAGGACAAGTAACTATGGCTCCAATCGTACCAGCAAATCTTTGAAAGCCGAATAAACAAATATATCATTTATGTAATCGAAGTGATTGTTGCGATAACCGGTACATGAACAATCATATTTAAGGTTAGCCGCACCAAATCTAACACACAGCACAACACATTACAATGCATACAGTCATATTTACAAATGAACTTTACCAATATCACTGTAAAACTTACCCGCCCGCAATTAAATGTATTATGGTGTCACGTTCACGCTGTGTCATAGTTTGTTTTCTCTGAACCAACCAGTACAATCATTTAAATTGTTCTGTTACTTGGTTTAATTCGGTACACTAAAACGCAATCACAGTCAGTATTTATTTGCTGTTGTTTTTATTATTGTTGTTGTTGTCAACGCTATTCCTGTGCCCTCTTATTTGCCCGAATTGATGTGTAATTTTTTTTTCTTCAACTTTCTTCTTACTCTTGAAGTTTTTTCTTCGTCATGTTGTTTTTGTAGCTTATTTTTTTTAGTTACGTTTATGAAATGTCAACAAATCACTTTCAATTGTTTTTCATATTTTGATTTGCACTTTTCTGCAGTGCTTTCGTCGACTATGCACTTAGCACACGGAATAGGACTGTTAATTGATAGATATCAAGCGATGAGAAAAATTATTATGAATTATAAAATTTTTCAAATCTACATCTCAGCGCTTCAATCACTTTGCCTTTGGCGAAATAGAAAGAAACATCTAAAAACAAAACCACGACGAAAGGACAAATGGAATATATTGAAATTTTCGACTGCACACACACACATGCCAAAACGAATATTTCGCTCTTTCTGTCAATCGAGATGAAAAATAAGAAGGTTGCAATTAAGAATGAACGAATAATTTTATTTACGTAATATGATGTGCTTTGAATTCAGCACGATTGATCAAAATCATTTTTAATCAATTTTTGAATGTCACTTAGCACTTTTTTGTGGCCGTCTCATTATGAGTTTGGAAAAAAACACACACCCGTTCCGAAAAGATTGAAAAATATCCTATTTTTGTGGTTAGTAAACAGTTGCGGGCTGAAGAATATTCTATAAGACCTGCACTAATATTGCGTTTATGCGTTGTAAAAAAATGATTGAATCGTAATCAAAAACTTGCGATACAATCAACACAAATTATACACATGCATTACGTACACAAGACAAACAACAAACTTTTTAGCAACAAATTTGAACATTTGTCCGACGTTCCTTTTGCGATTTGCGAAAATTTCGTTGCGAATGAACTATCACACGATTATGGTCGCATGTATTTGTATATTTTGCTTATTTTCTTTTTATCATCACGTCCACAGATCACTTGAATACGAGTACTCACGTATATTCAAAATCGAAATAACACATACCATTACACTGCCACTTGTCATCCGTCTGTCAAGATTACTGCGATGTTTACAAATTCTATACGTCTGAAGCAGCAGCAGCAGCAGCAGCAACAGCAACGACAGAAACAGCGACCCTGTCATTTGTTACAATACAAGCGCGCTCATTCTTAATGACTGATTTATCTCACGTAGACCAATTCAAAATTATTTTCAGTTTAATTTTTCTCTGTACTAATATCATTTGAAATGAAAAGTTCTAATAAGTTCTGAAGCCAAAAGAGATAGTTTCCTTTGAGAAAAACAAATAAATAACAATGAGTTTTTATAGGTTTTGATGAAATTTTACTCTTATTTATTTATTACGGTTCATTATTCTTAAACATTGAATCTCAAGAACAAAAGATATAACAATATTTAAATGTAAATCAAATGATATAAAAAAAATATTGGATTTTCACTCAGATCTATCCTCCGAAAATATACGAATATATTTGTAGTACTTTCAACATTGTACGCGCCGAATATGGGCAGTAAGGGTAGTGTTTATAACACCGCTCGAACGATTTTTCTGATTGTTTGCCACGGCTATGTGCCAGTTCGATTTCTTCTGGAACTCCTCCACCAGTCATTGCATATCTACAATGATAGTCATAATAGAAACAGTTGAAAAACACTGTATATGTTATACCAAAAGCAACTTACTCGAGCAAATGACTTATTATTAAAGCATCTTCATTATCCTTTTCAGTGCCAGCTGTAATTTGACATATCAAAGATTGTGCACATTTAAAAGGCGCATCATGTTTCAATATTCGATCCCAGTCAATTTCAAATCTTTCTACCTAAACAAAATAAAAACCATTCCTTTATCAACTTCAAACGAAAGTAAAATCCACGTCTTATTTGTGAGTTAATTGAGTTTACATACAGAGTAATATAATGTATCATTATTATATGTTATCTTGTTATATCACACATAAAAATGTAAACCACAAAAATAATAGGACCTGTGTTCAATTTTAGTTTGTATTCGCGCCCAAGCGAAACAGTTATGTCGTGCAATTCATGAACATGAAAATGCTGTTTACAATTATTATATACTTGATTAGGCTAATGTTACGAGGTAAAGAAAATGTAAGTATCACGTCGTAATCACTTGCATTATAGCTTAAGAGAAAAAAAACTTGAGTCGCCGACGGCTTGGCTCCAATGGACAATAACACTGCACACTTTTTCAACTAACTGAAAATTACTATTATTATGCTAATCAAAGTTGGCAGTTTGATATTGAACTTCAACTATTAAATATCACTGTATTATAGTACTTTGAATCCATCGACAGCTTCAGAAGACCTTTTTGTCGTTTCAAGTGTGGAAAAAAATAAGCAGAAAAAAGTCTTACCGCATCCAAGTCCCTTTTTGATAGAAGAAATTTTGCGAGTTTGGCTGCAGGCTTTCGAATTTTCATGTAGTCTTGGGCCAACAAATGCAACAAATACAATGCACCCAATCCCATAGCAGCTAACAACACAAGTCTATTTTAAATGAAGTAAAAAAATGGAAATAATCATAACATATTCTACTTGAAATATCCTACTTGAAATGACCCATCTGGAACAGTCAATGGAAGTTGATTTGAAGAGACACAAAATTGAGTGGACTTGCTTCAAACGCTCTAATAATTACAATAATCATGGTTGGTACATTGTTTACCTTTATCGCATCGACGTTTTCACATCTAATGCTGATTTCGGGGGAGCCAATGCACGAATGCATTGAGCGCCAATAAGCATTTCAACTAATGTTTTTTTTTACTTTCTGTTATATCATTTGATTTGACTTTTTCTCTTACCTTCACAGTTTCAAATGAAATGCATCCATTCCATACCATAAAAACCATTTGAGATTTCACTAGGAACTGACGCAAATGGTCAATATTATCTATTTCCATGCAAGAGCAAGCTGAATCTACACGCAATGAATGTTGCCGTAGCAACTTTACATTTCAGGAAAGTAACAATTTCAGCCTCGGCATTCAATTTTTTTTCCTAATATGACAACGATTGGGACAAGAGGTGCAGTGCTAACAAGATGCAGCAGTCAATGCATTTTTGTCAGTGAAAATGCCATAAATTATTGAATATACCTCAATAAAACTGGTTACAATCGACCGCACAGCAGACTGTAGTAGTAATACATGCAGTTCATTCAATTTCTTCTTTCGTTTATTGCATTCTCTTTCGCAGTTTGTGGTCAAATGAATTGGATGGATTTTGTCGCGAGTGTTACATAACAGACGGAGTGGGGCTATCTTCAGTCTGCTTGCATTTTATATTCTTTACCTTAAATTGTGTTTTATGCTCAAACAATATTGATTGTTATTTTAGCTATCGTCACGACGTTATGGATTTCGACATCATTCGGCATGCTTTTGTATAGCACAATGAAATTTTTTTCTTCGAAAAATAAACTACCTGTTATTTGATAATTTCCAAAACAAAAGCTTTATTTTCCAACAAATTTCGCATAGAACCAAATTAATTTAAATTTTAACAACCGATTCTTAAAAATTATTTTCGGCTGGCTTATAGATATTCTATTTGGATTGAAAATTGCAATTGCTGTAATCGGCTCCGTTCTTTGACTTTTGCATCAAGCTACGGCTATTGAAGTTACTCAAACATTCATAATGAGAATTTTGGTGGCAACAAGTACCCATATTGGTATCGACAAAATGTTCACCGCGTTCAATTGTACCACCAATTTGCGAATAATGATGATCCGGAAATGCTGGCAACGGATATCTATTTACCATTGTATATGTTTCCTGTACCCAAGAAACAATTGTTAACGCAAATACATCCATTACCAAGCGTATGTAAACGGTCGAATTAAGGCCCGCATTTGTGTGTAGTTTCAGTCATTTTTAACGTCACGATGGAAGTAGAAAAAAACGGTAAAAACAAATCAATTAGAAGGATATAAAAACGATTATGAATCAATTGATAACAAAATAACAAATCACGTGTGAAACAAGGTCATAAATGGACCCACCTCGAGTATCATCCAACTGTACGCTTCACTTGAACTAGGTCCATTTATGACTTTGGTAAATATTGGTGTGGATATTGAAATTGACCAACTGACTGAGAAAATCTTACATACAACAACTTACCTACGGGCTTAAGCCGTATTACATCGTGTATTTGCACACACATTTTAATGTACAAAGCCACAAAAATCAAGCTTTGATAATAACTAATCGTTAATGTTTTATTTTATTCTCTTGATCTACGCTCTACTTATCATCGACAGCATTTGATTGGCCATCTCGATTGGCCATCTCGACATTTTGGCCGTATCCTTTCTGGTGGTAACAAAAATGATTCGTGCACATTCAAGTCGAAAACCATACAACGGCCTAGAATGAACGAATTGAACTCGAAATTGAAATACAATAAAACATGAATGTGATTGTATTGTGTAGATCACATACCTCTGTACAAGATGCACTTCGCCGCACAGATGTCACGATGCCAAGTAGCAGTAAAAGCGTTCTGATCATTCATTGGGCTTGAGTGCCAGTTTTTCTGGAAGGCTATTTTCTTTGACCCCAATAACCCAATTCCTTTATCAGTTGCATCGTAATGTATTCGCTGCCATAATTGTGGTTTGGCCTTACGATTTTTGACACGAATCTTGCAAATACTTGTGTCACCAATTTTACCAAAACCTGGCAAATCGGATTCCGCTTCCGGTTGTTTGGTTACTTTACGACTGCGATGGCCTGCAACTCGACGTCGTTGACGTAGTTCACGCCGTCGTATGCGTCGATTGTACCGTCTCACTGCCTGTTCGGTATCCAATTGCTCTGGATTGTGGCTTTCGCGCTCACTTCGACGCTTTTCCCGGTGCTTCTCAGCTTTTTCGGCTCTAGTTACATTTGCTGTTGGCTTTTGGCTGGCATTTTGTTTTCGATCACGTTGCTTGCGCCGTCTGCTTCGATCAGTCACAATAACCGGTGGGAGTCTCACATCCTTGTGTGGGCGACAATCTTTGCACACTTTGAATCGGTCACTTTTTGTGCTTCTCGGAAATCGCCGCAAGCAATTGGCACAGGTTTGTGATGTATACGGCTCTGGGGTAAGCACAACATCCGTTTTGCCGTTCTTTTTTAGGCTAACTATGAACTTTCGCTGATCCGGTGATCGTTTTGTTCTTTTCACACCGATTTTCGAATTTGATGGGAACGCCGCATCACCAAGGAATACAACTCCTGTCTCATTGTTTGTTATGTGTTTAGCCATCAAATCCATTTCGCGATTAGACTCGATGTACTTGTGCAACGATAGCTGTGCGTATTTTCTTCTGGCGTATGTAGCCAATGAATCTGTCAGCATTTTGATTTTGTGCTTAATGAATGATTTCCATTGTGATCCTCGCGGCGATACGGATGTGATCGGATAGCTTTTCAAGTCGCGCTGTTCTTTGTGCACGTACTTTCTGGTCATTTTCGTGGCCTGTTTGTCGCGCATTCCTTGTCGCGCACCCCAGTGATATTGAATACTCGATAATTTGATGTTGGTCTGTGAAATGAACAACAACAATGCAAATCTATGTTAATTTTCATATGATATTTCAACTTACTTCAATTCCAGTAGCGAGAGTCCGACGCACGCAGGCCATTTTTGTTTTCTGGCCGAGATCAATTCCTGACTCATACTTGTAACCGCCTTTGCTGACTGGCTTTTCGTACTTTGCTTTGATTTCAGACAGAGTCACGCCGGCTCCTTTGCGTTTGGGTCTGCTAAACAACACCGACACGGCACTACTGTTGGTTTGAATTTTGTGGTAAAACTCTTTCGAACCGGTTCTGAGCTGTCTGATTTTGTCCATATCGAACACAATTCCCCATGCCTCGTCTTTGTTCTCGCCTTGCTTGTAGTATGTACGATAATCAGCACGGATATCCCATCCCCGTTCATTTCTCAACTGGCCAATGAAATCAATCAAATCTTTATGGTCGAATGGTATGTGCTTCAGTTTTGTATCACAGAGTGGAATAGCGGCGAAATTCTTCACTTTTGGTATCTTCGGTACCGACGGCTCTCGATTGTTCACTGGATCACGATCGTATGCTTTCCACTGTTCACGAAGGTGAGCCGTATCGATCAAAAATTTCTCTACAATTCGTTGCATGCCTATCCACATCCACAAAGACTCGAACCAGTCCTTTTGAATGTATTCGTACATTGTGAAGTATTTTACGAATGATGGGCCACAAAGCGGAGACACTTCCTTAAACAGTATTTCCATCTTCGACTTTCGACTTTCATCATCATCATAAGTCCAATCTTCATTGTACATCAAATTTTTCATCGTATTTCGAATGTCAATGTCATCGAAAGGCAAGTATGATGCATCATAAATAACGCCAAGTGGGCTTCCTTTGTGATTGAATTCATGGCACTTTACACGTAGAAAGTGGGTCAATCTCACCCAACAGTGCGTCTCCAAATTTGTCTTCACATTGGCCACATACTGGTCCTTGAGAGCATAAACTTGGCGAGTCATTTGATGGCGGCGTGGCCATTCAAAGTTGGGGCTACCTTGGGTCACCATCGCGAGAAATGCGTCTGGCATTTGGGCTGTGAGTGGATCGTTGATGTTGTTCGATGTGACACAGTTGAAACAGTCTGTAATCAAATTTGCTCCGTTTTGATTCACGAAGAAGTCCAAATTGCCATCATCAAATGCTTCGTTAATTGTGTAGAGCATTAACATCGATGCAAGATGCATGACTTTCGTAGCATTCAAACATTTCTCGAAGAACTTATGGATCAGAAATCCTCTTTCTGTTTCTGTTAACTTCGGATTAATTATCGAATTAAATGCCAATTTGATCGCGCCGATTTCGATTGTTCCATTTTCTGTCGACTGTTTTTCTGGATCTTCTTTCCGATTGACACGTTTTTTCTTCACAATTGAGTGCTTTTTCATCTGGACTTTATTCTCCCTTGGCTTACCAAACGTCTTATTGTGCCGCTTACGCCTCGCCATCGCGATGGATCTAAACGAGAGAAAATAAATTGAAGAACGAATGAAATGTTTGTTGCAAGCGATTGTGAAATTGGCTAACGCTACGGAAATCGAAAACAATGCACTGATTGATCGCTTCAAACGAATACGATAACAATGTGATGATATTCATCAGTCCGTCGCCATAAATCATGTCGAAACATGTACACCACACGCAAAAACATGATTTTACGCTAATTTGTTGCAATTTTCTACGTTCACTAAACTCACCTCGGTCACAATAAGTCCACTTCGTATGAATCCAAACGATTTGAATAGATCAGGCTTCGTTTGCTCTCTGTCTCCCTGTCTCAATGCGGATCTCGCCTCAAAATTGCGAAATAATCTTTGGAAAAAAAACCACAATCCATTAATTGTAATTGGTAACAAAAAAAAATGGGAAAACTTGTTGTGATCGAATTAATTTATATTGTTTTATTCGCGTCAATCAATGCAATCGGTCTAGAATATTGCGATTTTTCCCGCTTTGAACATGTCATTGAACATGAAAATGTGAACCGGTATGACGAAATAACAATTTCACAACAATTTCCAAAATAATCCACAATTTAATTTGTGCAAAAACTCTATTCTTAGCCGTACATACCTTTAAAAGGGTTTTGGTCTCGCAATTAAAGCAACTATTTCGCAAAAAAAATTGCCTTTTTTCGTTGAATGTTCACTCAAAAAAATGTGCGCCAATTTCTTGTCAATGTTCCTACACCAATGAGCCGCTGTGCTGAGTGACATTTGCAAAACGAATCGTTCGGCGCCAATGTTTCATCCTTTGAACACCACATTTGAATGGCGTGACGGTTTCTGCGTCAAAACTGCTGTTTTACGAATTGGAGACAGAAAGGGAAATCCCCAAAGAGAAGCAAAATGTTTTTGCTTCGACAGTTTTTTATACTGAAAATGATTATTATATCGTGCATATTTCTAGAGCTAATGAATAGTTTGAAGATTTCAAGTGACATTTACAATTGAAAATGTTGCACAACGGTTCTGATTTCTCAATTGATTCAAAGATGAAAACGATCAAATCTGTTGTACATATATAATTCTCAGTCAGTCAGTCAGTTTTCACACACATTATAACCGTCACAAATGGATGTGATTCGAGTGTAGCGTACAGTTGGATGATAACCGAATTTCATCCGATTCGGACGGGATTGTATGTGAATTAATGGTCAAATGCACCACTGAAGTGGGCAAAAGCATTACTTAATTTAACGGTAAAAAGCATTACATAAATGTTTCCTGTATTTTGTAAACTACAACTTGGTTGATGGTAAACGCCCATGCCACTCGAATGACTGCTGCGATCAGCTGCCACAGCAGCAGCATGAATTCCATCTGTACAATCATAATTTTTATAATTTGATGAGAACGGTTGATCGAATGAATGGCGTGAGACATTGTGGTGTTCCATCAATTTCGTCGGCTCGTTATTATAATGATCAAGTGATTTTGAATGCGGGATCGATGAATGGTGCGCCAATTGATTACTATAAATCGATTTCAGAGCACCACAATTATTTGAGCAACTTGAATTTGAAGACGGTGTATAGAATGCACTACAAGCGCCTTTTGATATAGTTGATTGAGATGGTAATAAATGACGCTGATTGTTACAAAGTGCAATTTGATTATGTGACGATGATGTGGCATAAATTGGAGGTGGTGGTGGTGGTGTTGGCGCTAAATTTGAATACGAACTCTCTAACATATGATGCAATCATAAATGATTAGAATAAAAAAAGAAGAAAATTCAAACAATGAGATGTGTAAAACAAAACAAAAAATGAAATGAGACAACTACTACACATGAAACTTTATCTTTCTTGTGGAATCCATACCATATTGTCTTTCTTTTCGTTGACGTCGTTTTTCAATTGCATATGCCATGGATTTAATAGCTTGGCTTGCAGATCCTACAAAAGAATGCGTTTGAAAATGACATATGTATAAAGAAGCAAAAACATATCTTTTTTTACCAATATGTGTTTCACGGAACTCAAAAATTTCTTGCCAAGTCGTTTGTAATTGCATCGCAATCAAACCTTGAAATATCTGCTTCATTATCTAAAAAGAGAATTAAAAATTTGTTTGTTGTTAACAAAAAGGTAAAGATAATTACTTTTATGGAAAATTTCAATTTTACACTTATGGGATTACAATTTGAAATCAAATCAAAAGGTGAAGATGATAGATATCAATTAATGTTTTCTTTATCATGTTGATCACTTGATTAGATTTATAGAGGATCAATCATTGGTCGATTAGCTTATTATTTGTACAAGTCCCAGAGTTTATAAAAGCCCAGCCCTTAAAGACTTAAATACTGGGAATTTAAAATATCGTGGTCTGACAATAGCTAGTCGTACTCATAATACAATTTACCTGACATTCACAATAAGCTATGACAGCATCCCTGCTAACATTTGTCACTTGATCTGGACAAATTGGACCTTCTAAAATTAAAGTGTGGTTTGGCAATAAAGTATATCCCATAGCTTCAAACATTTTCTCTGCGTCTATCAAGTTCGCCTTTACTTCATGTTGATAGTATCCTGAATACAACTGTTGGAAAAGAACTCTGATTGTTATATAGAATTCGTTAAAACCTTGTATCGATTTTTCTCACTTTGATGCAACGGTATTCTTTTCTCCATGGCTTTCGAAATAAGTTGTTTGCATATTGACTTATCGCTTCAAATCCCATCAGAGCTTTATATGCGGAGAATTGGTCTAATCTTAGAACCGATTGCTTAAACACGTGGGCAGTTTCGGTGAGAAAAAACTTTCGATCATGTTGAACTATGCTTAAAAAGTCTTTTAATTCATCTTTAAAAAGAAATAAAATATTTGATTTAGTTTAAAATGATCGCCAAGAAAATTCTTTTCTAACCTTCAAGTTTGCGCCTCATTTTCAGCTTTTCCATATTTTCTTCTGTATCAAGATAATCCCAATGAAGCCGTAGCAGATCGTCCCAGATTTCCTCCATTGTTTTGAACTCGTTTGAAATAATGTAGTCGGCCATTTCTGTAGGTATTATTTTTTTTGGTCTATTTGGTTTTACATTGATTTAATTGAACTTTTTCTGTGTACTAGCTAGGCGTAGAAATTATTGCAGCCCGGGCAAAGTTTCAAATACTGATTAATAGTTTGGCATGTACCTTTTATTTTCTTGTTGTTTTCTTTTTTTTTATTTGTGTTGTTGACCTTATTGCAATTCTCTAAAAGGCATCACACCATTGCAGTACACCAGATTTGCAAACGATTGGAAAGCGAGCAAACAAAAACAAAAACACTGCACTGCTGTTTTGACACATTTATGGACTATTTTTAGTACGTCAGGATTCTATGATTTAGTGTAACATTGTAGTGCACTAAACTACCAATTGTTGTCGAAGTACACGAATTTCTAATATCATTGGAATTGTTAAATGTGGATTCGATTTCTTGGTGAATTCAATAATATTAATCTTATAAGGGATTTTTCTTCTACAAACATTGACTAGAAAAAGATGAGCAATTCAATGTATACGTAAATTATGACACAAATGTCATCCATTTCGTATCGCTCTCCGTTTCGTTTTACGAAATTTCTCTGTAGTTTGCATTGAGCGTCAAATTTCAAAGTGCTTTCATCCAACCTTTTTTCGTTACACGTACCGGCATTGACCTTGAGTGTCTATCAGATTCAAACAAAGAGATAACGCAACTGAATCAATTTTTTTTGTATAAAAATCAACATTTGTTGACAATTCTTTTCATATTTTATTCAGCCAATATAAGAAAGACATTATTCAACTGACTTTTTTTAAAATGACAATACATGTTTATTTGCAAGTGTGTCATATGTATGTACATTTGTATGAGCATTGGGCATTTTTTAGAAATACAGCACATTGAATCAATACAAAAAAGGAGCTATTGACAATTATACAAAAGATAAAGACAATTTTCTGAACGAATACTTATAAATATATATATAATGCAGTTGCGATTTATGATGCAGTTACAAAGTTATTTGGAATAACTCTAGTTCTTGATCGATTTCGGCTCAACTGTGCGCGCCGCTCAGCTCCTGCAGGCCGTTGTCCACGTTTTCTACGATCCCTGTTTCCAAAAGCCGAACCATTTTGCAGAGCATCTAGTAAACTGTCCATGACACCTTCCTGTGTTTGTACAGCATCCATATCGACGAGCGCAAGTTTCCTTTGCTGACGATCCTGTAAATGACGTTGGGCTTGTTCGCGAGCCTCACGGATTCTTCGTGTTTTTTCTTCTTCTTCACGGACCTTTACATTGTCTCTATATGCTTGTGTGAATAACTCCTTAAATGTTTTTATATCGGAGAAAAATTCTTCCATGGGATATTTATTTGTATCGAATGCGAAGTATTCGCCTACATCCTTGTAGTAACTCTCCATTTTATCTTTCATTTTTATTAACACTTTTACTTGATCATTGCAAGATGATGCGAAGTCACCCATCACTTCAATGAACTTATCATCGGGCGACTGAGGTACTTTACTGTTTTCCAAATCGGACTTCAAGTTTTTCAATGAGGTAGTCATTTGATTCAATGTTTTCTGAATATTCTCCAAACTAACGCGTGCCGCTCGTTCTACATGTGATAATTCCTCGCCAAAATTGAGTAGCTCAGGGAACTTACTTTCGATCGTATCGACCATATAGTGTAGTAGTGTCTGCTTGTTGTCTAAGTCTTTTGTGTTTGTCAATTTGGTGAGGAAGGAAATTTCAAAACCGAACGCTTGACCATTTTTCGATCCGGAATTCATATAGTTGCCGAACAATAAAATAAGTTCTAGAATCTTCGCAAATTTTTTGCTGGTTTTGACCTCTTCGCAAGCCGCGGTCCCTGCGACAATATCAGGTTTAACATCTTGTACCATATCGCCAACACATAACTTAAAATTGATGCTATGCAAACGAGGCACAAGTCTTTTGATCTCACCGAGTGTGGCTGCGAACTTTTCGGCGCCAGACAATTCGTCGCCAGTATTTTTTATTTCTTGTAATCGTTTCAATTGATCTGGTGGCGGCAAATACTGAATGAGTTGTTGAATTATGTTCGAGTTTAGTACTGATGTATCACAACGTAGAATACATTGTTTGATATGGTCGTGGCTCAAATGCTTCAGAGACCCGCCCAATAAAATTAGAATGTTTTGGGCTGATTTTCCATCGAGTACACGCAAATCGACCACGTTCTTCTTTGTATTCGCCGGCTTATCGACTGAATCTTTGTCGGACTTCTTTATAGGTTTTGATGAGAATTTGGCTGCCAAACCAGCGAATATATCTTCTGACGCTAACTTTTCCTCTTGGCACTTCACCCAAAACGCTTTCTCCGAAAGTTTTTGCGGTATAATTGCTTTCCAGTTGGCTCGCTTCATTGGTCCATCTGCGTCGAATTTCTTTTTGGGTTTTAAATAGTGCGGCAGTGTATTTGCTTGGGGCATAGGAGCATTTGGCATCTGGAACATTGGTGGCGGCGGTGGTCCAGTTCCCTATACGCAATACAATGAAATGTAGAAATGTGAGAACATAATTTAAAAAAGAGGTGCCTTGAACAAAATTGTGAACTTACAGGCATTGGCGGCGGAGGAGGAGCATTTCCAGTTGGTGGTCTCATAGGACCCATACCCTATTTTGGAAGAAGCAATAACATATTTTTGAAATATGAACTCGCACAATTGGTTAGTTTCCATTTTACGTACCGGCATCGGTGGTGGTGGCGGTGGAGTCGGGCCTCCTGGCATCGGCGGTGGTGGTGGAGGAACCGCGGCTCCTATGAATTAAAAAAATGATATTTATGTATTAGTAGGTGCTAAATATAACTCGATTTTTTTTGTAAGTACCGGGCATCGATTTCATTCCAGGCATCGGTGGCGGAGGTGGTATATTGACTTTTGGCAATTTGGATGTTTTCCCAGGCATGACTCCGGTGGCTTCGTACTCTCGTATCTTTTCTTCGAGGTGTTGTGCCCGGGCTTCTGCTTCTTCTATAAAATTAAACAGAATTTTTTATTACCTCTGCTATTGTGTATAATCAATTTTCTGATTTGCTTACGCCGTGCGGTTTCCAGCATCTCCAACTTTTTATCGTACTCTTCGATTTTCATTGTCTCTTTTGCTCGTGATCTTTCCACAAGCTCGTCCAACAACATTGATGTATCAATGTGAAAATCGCGACTCTCAAAATTTGGATCACATCCAGCCTTGTGCAGAACAATTTGCGAAACACACTCTTCGATCAATTGAAAATAGGCCGGACGAAATAGATGATCATCTCTTATGTATAGCAAATGCTGCAAAATTGAAATGAAAAATGGCTCCGCACTGTAAAAATAAAAGACTTTTTTTTTATCAATTCATTACTACAACTACGCATTTGCAAAATTAATTGCAATCTTTTTTTACCTGGTTTCAACAACCAAATTTTTAAGAACTTCAAAACAATCGTTCATATCATCCATTTCTAGACGTACGTTGTCAAAACGCTGGCTAAATTCTTCGAAATCATCTTCTCTTATCTCATTGAATATCTTGAAATGTTTCGTCAAATTTTCATTGTTGCTGGTGTTCACAATTTCGGTTAGCAAATCAAGTCGCTCATATAATCCCATTCTCATTATTTCACATCTTAGATGCAGACGAAAGTTCAGGTCACTTGGTGTGTTTGTAAGCGTATTGATGAAAATAAGCGTGTGACAGCACAGCTCACGTTTGGGATCGGAGTTTTCGTACTCGGCAAAAAGTCCATCGACAATTGACTTGAACCGCGTACCATTTTTAAATGCTCCATCGTGTGCCATTGAAATGGCTCGTAATACTTTTTCGTATCCATTACGTTCCGAAATCAAGCAAAAACCGGCAAGCAAACGAACTGCTTCGCACATTGTTTGGGGTTTCTTGGGATCGATACATTTTGCCAATAAAAATATGGCTGCATGAGACTCTGGCTTCAATATCAAATTCAATCCCCATGTATTGTTTACTATTGCCTTAAGGCATCTAATGCACTCGTACTCAATTTTGTCATGATATCGATTCTGTTTACTGTTCTGCAATTGTATTACAATCTCATTTATTCCGTCCTCACCAAATTCCTTCATCCAACTCAACGGATTACTCGTCAGTGCCACACGCAGACTCTCCAAACAGGCATGAATTTTGGTAGGACTATGGTCTTTATCACGCATATAGTCGATGTAGTCTTGTGGTTTTTCAAACCGTGAATTACCTCGATGTTCCAGTGATGATTTGCCTATGGATTGGAATGAAAACCAAAAAATGTATTCTAATTTGATTTATCAATAAATAACGTGTTGCACTAGAAGTGTTAATCACAAATTTTCACAATCTTTCGATCGTTTATTCTCTATTTCATATATTATAATATGAAGATCATTGTTCCAGATTTATTGCAGTTACCGTATGCTACCTACATACATATATATTTGTGTATTTGTTACAATTAAATTCAATTCAATTCAGTTCAGCAAAACTTTGAATTATATCATACAATACACGTAAGGTATGAATGAATTCATTTGCAAATAGCAACCGTTTGTGTTTTCGCAGGTGTATTTTACGTATCACAATCTGTATCGCATAACATTTAATAAACTTCTGCTATATTATTACACATCTTTATCCGTTGCATTCACTTTCGCTATTGAATTACAAATGTACTTAATGATTTAACATTTGCATTTGCATTTCTCTGTTAATTAAAATCAATAAGAATTATTTAAAGAAATTCTTCGGTCAACCATTGATAAAAGAGAAGAAAAGCAGAAAAATACAAAAGAATAATTTAAATTGATAGTAAATATTCTACCATACTGCCAATAACAAATTTTTTTGACTTTTTTTTAATGGAAAAATATGCAAAAGTTTACATCATCTTAAAATATGTGGTGACTAATTAGATGCAGAATGCCAAAACGTTGATTCTATTTTTAGTTAAATTCTTTCCAAAGAAATCAGAAATTTGACGCAGAAAAATAAGAGCACAATTACATACAAAAACGTTATATTTTCTATACAGTTATGGAATGTGTTTCGTTATGCCAGTATTATTTGTATATTGTGCAAGTGTGATAAGTATTTTATTCGTTTGGCCATGCTAGCTCCGTAAAGCGATAATATTTTGTTTATTCGCGACGGGGACATTGAATTCTGGTTCGGAAATTGCACGTTTTTCACACAGACATACACATGCTCGTGATAACGAATTCACAACAGAATCATAATTGTAGCGTATTTAGCGCTTGTTTCGCACATTCCTCATAGAACTTGAATAAAAATGTTGTGACGAAGAATGGAAGCGTATCTACTCGACAAGCTATAATTATGAATTACATATTGTACTGTACAATGAAAAGTGACACGTACAGTCAATTGCCGTGAAGAAGTAAAAGAAATTTTACACAGTTGAGTGGACACTTAAAAAAATAATATTGCTATCACATCAAGAATTTTTTCCAAGCGTAAGCAAATGTCTATTGTCTTTCTTTTCGATTGGTGTCGTCTTTATAATTTTAGTTTTTCAGTACAACCAATACAAATGCACGAATTTCGTATTAAATACGCATGGAAATACGATGCCCATAAAAATTCATATCATTAGTCAATTGAATAAAATACGCAAAATGACTGGCATCATGCAGTCTATACCATACATATATACGTGTTGTATACTCTTTATATGGTATTAAGTCACACACAATAAGAAGCTTACGCAGATGCAAATATAAACCAACCACAAAAACTGAATTTAACATGAATCAGACACACAATAAAAGAAAATGACGTCATTAAACACATTTTCGACCTAAAAAAGGCGAAACACATCAAGTAGAGATCATCGTACACAATACATATCAAATGGTACATCTTCTATCATTCCAGTTTCCGAAAAAAAAGAATAAAAGAAATGTCGGAGTTAGTTAGGCGTATCACATTTTACGCGCTCGTTTACAAACACTCTTTTCGCGACCAATCAAATAGTTATATATTTAACTGCTTCCTCTTATACACACGCTAACATTGAACTAAGACATTACGAAATCTCCGTGACAAAAATGGAATTTTACCTTTGAAATGCATTAGAATCATATCACGTTTTTCGTCGAGCGACTTTTCTAAAAGCGGTTGACGTTTGTCCTTCGGAATGTTCATATCTTCGAGAATATCGACGAATTTCTCATCGACCTCCTCGTGCGTTAGTCTCATTATTTCATTGTGCAAGTCTTGTGGGTCAGCCAAAGATTCGGAATCTGCGGATATTGGACGCCCACCATTCGCTGTGTAACTTTTTCCTTTAGTTTTCGGTCGCCCGAACCACATATCGAGCAGTCCGCTACTAGTTTTCGTTTTATCGTGTTTCGACATTGTGATGTTCTTCTGTTTATTTTCTTTTGTTGTCTGATTTTATTGGACGCGTTCCGCACTGTTAATCACACACATTAATTTCTTTTCATTGATTTCAACTATTTGTATTTTGTATGGAAGAATATTTTTGTTTCTTTGTTTTGTTTTGTTTTCATAGAAAAAATCGCTGGCTAACACGCATGTAAAATTTACTTAACATGTACGTCTTGTCACACGAGCACAATCAACTTCAATATTCACGATCATCCTAAGTACTGCAGTTGAATTATTCTTTTTTTTAATTTGATGTATCATGTATTTTGTAGATTTTTGTCCAAAATTTATTTTCCACTTGTTTCACTATTAGAAATAATTTGACTAAAGTACTGCAAGCTTAATTTAGTTATCAATCCGGTTTCTTGATCGAAAATTATATATAATTTTGTTCTTGTAAATTTCAACACAGCTTAACTGGACGTGCAACAACAAAATAAGACACAGGCAAACTAAAAACTGTTTTCAAAACACTTGTTAGAGTTTCGAAATGTAGTTTGGTGTGAAGTTGTTTTCAAGTACGCTTCGGTTCACGTACAATCAACGTGAACTTGGTTCAACAACAACCGTTCATATGACATACATGCATACGCAAAACATGTGCTCAAAATAATACAAATAGACGAACTTTTAGAACTGATTCAACATTTGTTTTATTCCAGTTTATCCATGTATATGATATTAGAATTATGGTGGGTATAAGAAGTACAAACTATTAGCGAAAATGTACAATGAAAAATGGACATTTCTCCCGGCCTTTACTTTGGTTCCTGGAAATCATTGTATGCACTCTCAAACGTTGTTATTGTATGATCACAAACTTTTTCCAAATCAGCTAGACCTCTGCGGAGAACATCAACAGCACGAACATTCTTGGAAGCTTGTATCCGTAAATGCATCTTTGTATCAGCTGGATGAGGTACAGTGTAACCGCAAAAATTCACATCTGGACTGTGAATTAAGGAAAAATAAAATGAATTTTGCCTTGAATTTACTTGAAAAAACATGAAAAAGACACTCAAACTAACTATCGACATATGATTGATTTCAGAACATTGCCCAAAGTGTGGCCTTCATTTTCAAATACAAATGTGCATGATGACTCGTTATCGTCTACATTTTCCAACTAAAAAGAAGATCCAACGTTCAAATTTAATGTTTCCGATACATACATGCCTCATGGGCAATATTTGAAATGTTCATCTTTTTTTTATACTTACAACAGCAATCGATGGCATTTTGAGTTTAAATTTTCACAAAAATCTTCACTTTCCTTATTATCTGATGTTATTTCAGTGTGAGGGAATGCTTGAAATGTTTTTGTTTTGACAGCTTCAAACTTTATTACTTGTGGTCGGTCTAGCGGTTTACCGCTTTGCTACATTGTAATGTAGAAGAACAACAACAACAGTGCGATGACAGATTATAATTCCAGATTATAGTTCCTGACGCTAGAGTTCCAAACATAAGCGACAAAAGCAATTGACACCAGATAGACGTAACAAATTTAGTCGGAGTAAAGATTTTCGTACAATAGTATTTAATTTTTCACAATCCCTTTAAAATATACATAAATTTTCCAACGAAACGTGTAAATTTTTTTTACTGTGTTCTCATATCAGGAACATTTGATAGATGGGAATTTTCCAAGAAAAAATAATAAACACTAAAATATGACAGATGCAGATACAATGACAGTGAACGGTGTTTGGTGTAAAACGAGGCAATTTTATGCTTCAGAAAATTAAAAAAAATAGTAACTATTCAACACATTAGTTTCTCCAATTATATCTAAGGAAAGTGAATGAAATGTCAAAATAAAATTCAATAGATCTGAAAATTATACAACAGAAATAAAGTCAATAAAGAAAAAGGAACTCACGGTTGAAGTGGACGAACCTAAAGTGAAAAAAGAAATGTATGTTTTGGATTTTCCATCAAAGAGAAAATATCGAAGCGAACACTTAACCTCAAACAGGGAACTGTGAAATTTGTGAAAATGTTTTGTAAACAGAAATTGAAAAAAGACTTCATTTAATCGTCGATTGACACCGTTTTGATCGATTTTATTTCAATTTTGAGAGGAAATTAAATAGAACGAGATACAAATAATTGATTTTTTCAATATGACGACCGTACAGCATTTCGTCAATGGGCTGAAATCACGTAATCGTGATGAACAGAACAAAGCAGCCGCTGATTTGATACTTTATGTAAAGACCGAACTGCGGGAAATGCCCCAGGAGGAGCTGGCATTGTTCTTAGATGATTTCAACCACCATATTTTCGATATGGTTTCTAGTTCAGATGCCAGCGAAAAGAAGGGTGGTGTTCTTGCAATAAGTGAGTTTGTATTAAGTTTAACGATGATTTAAATAACGATGAAATCATTCATCATTATTGTTTACTTTATTCAATAGAATGTCTTATCAGCGGTGATGTAGTAAACACAGCGAGTCGTATCCCACGTTATTCAAATATATTACGAAATCTTCTGCCATCGAATGATGTATCAGTGATGGAAATTGCTGCAAAAACTTTGGTTAAATTAGCTTTACTGCCCGGTTCAAAGGGTGCCGAATCATTCGATTTTGATTTAAAGCGAGCCTTTGAATGGCTTTCGGAAGAACGAAATGAGGTAAAGAAGTTACTTAATCAATGGTTTGTTCTTAAAATTCAACATCTAATTTTATATTAAATAGGGAAAACGTCATGCTGCTGTGTTGATATTACGAGAGTTAGCCGTAGCTATGCCAACATATTTCTATCAGCAAGTATCTGGATTTTTTGAACATATTTTCACGGCAATGCGTGATCCAAAGCCAATTATAAGAGAAGGGGCTGGACAAGCGTTACGAGCAGCTCTAGTTGTAACTTCTCAGCGTGAGAGTTCCAAGCAAATGAACAAACCACAATGGTATAAATTGTGTTTTGACGAAGCAATGGTTTGTTTCGCCGAAGTCCCAATGAAGGAAAAGGGTGTCACAAAAGATGATCGGGTTCACAGTGCGCTAATTATTTTGGACGAATTACTACGGTGCTCAAATGCAAGCTGGGAGCGCAAATACAATTCATTACGATTTTTGGAACCTGAACGAAAGAAGCATCGAACAGATGATTATGGTACATTGCTACCACGTTTCAAGGCACCTTTTATTGATAAATTATCCCACTTCAATTCATCTCATACATCCTACTTGTATGACTTGGATTGTAACATGAAATACTGCGGTAATGTCCAAGAATCATCTGTATGTCGACAAATTATCATTGAAAACTACGATGATATTTGCCAACGGATCATGGAGCAACGTCCTGTAAAATCAGCATATGTACAACAATCATTGTTTTCAATTCTACCCCGCCTGGTGGCATTCAATCGGGAAATTTTCGTTCGTGAACACTTAAACTCTACGATAAACTATTTGTTAAACACTCTGCGAGGCAAAGAGAAGGATCGAAACCAGGCTTTTGTGACACTCGGCTATATTGCTGTTGCCGTCAAAGATGAGATCGAGCCGTATCTGCCGACTGTATTTGAAATCATTAAAGCAGCACTGCCATCGAAGGATGCTCATGTGAAAAGAAAACCAACTCCTGATCCCTCTGTGTTCTTGTGTATCACACTTTTCGGTCACGCAGTTAAAAATGAAACAATGATCACTGATTATATCAAAGAACTATTGGAACCTATGAAATCGACTGGCGTGAGTCCAGCGCTAACAATATGCTTCAGAGAGTTGGCGGAACAGGTCCCACGGCTACGAAACATAATATCCGATGGACTTTTGAATATGCTTTCACAGGTGCTGCTTATGAGCAAGACCTTGTCTCAGTTGGGAACTCCAAAACATCATATAACCGCACAGTTTGCTTCACTTACCACAGCTGATACCCAGCCTGATACGGCTACAATTGTTCTCGCTCTAAAAACACTGGGCACATTTAATTTCGGTGTATTTGATTTACTTGAATTTGTTCAAAGATGTGCTGATTACTTCTTGCAACATGATCAGCAAGAAATCCGTTTGGAAGCGGTTGAAACATGCAGTCGATTATTGAAGATTACGATTCATCAGGATGAATCAGATCAGTCAACCATTGATATGGTTAATCACTGTTTAAATCAGTTGCTCAATGTCGGCATAACTGATCTGGATGCAAATGTACGATTGAGAGTGCTTAAGTCACTGGATGAAACATTTGACAATCAACTGGCTCAGCCGGGTTCCCTGGGGGCTCTATTGATGACACTAAATGATGAGGTGTTCGAAATACGGGAATTAGCTATACAAACTATTGGTCGGCTGTCAGCAAAAAATCCCGCCTTTGTTATGCCTAGTCTACGTAAAACTTTGGTGCAGCTTTTAACTGAAATCCAACACTCAGGAATGAGTCGAAATAAAGAACAAAGTGCTCGCATGTTGGATCACCTGATTGTGAGTACACCTCGTCTGATATCTGCGTACATGAAACCGATTCTTACAAAGCTTGTACCAAAACTGAAAGAACCAGAATCGAATCCTGGTGTGATTTTGAACGTACTTCGTGCAATCGGTGATTTGGCAGAAGTGAATGGAGGTAGTAATGAGATGGAGCGATGGGCTGATGAACTTTTATCAATCTTGTTGGAAATGTTAGGCGATGCTGGCTCGCCTGAGAAGCGAGGTGTTGCTCTGTGGACGCTTGGCCAATTAATTGGTAAGATATTTTTATTTTATTTTATTTTATTGACACCGCCAAAGACCTGGCTGAATAACTGTAAAAAAAAATTTACGGTAAAAAATTCTTGTACACTTGCTTGATTTAGAAAACATCAATTTAATTGTCTCTTTCTTGCATTCCAGGTGCAACGGGCCGATGTGTAACACCATACTATAGATATCCATTTTTAATTGATATACTGATAAATTTCTTAAAAACAGAACAACAGCGCACAATACGTCGAGAAACGATTCGAGTTTTGGGATTGCTGGGTTAGTTAAATGTAGTATTTACATTATTCAACAAGTGGATGATGATTTTTTTTTGTTATTTTCAACCTCGAAAACCAAATTTCTAAAGTCTCTGTTTGCAATCGACAATTTTCCATCTCTTTTTAGGTGCAATGGACCCGTACAAACACAAAATGAATAAAGGACTGATCGACAGCCAGAATGATGCAATTCTAATTTCAATGTCGGACTTAAAATCAGACGAGCATCAGGATTTATCGACGGCTGAGACTCTTGTTAACATGGGAAATGTTTTAGAAGAATACTATCCAGCCATAGCAATTTCAACTTTGATGCGCATTTTACGAGATCCAACGTTATCACAACATCACACCAGTGTCGTTCAAGCAATAACATTTGTTTTTCAAAGCCTGGGTATCAAATGTGTTCCATATCTATCACAAGTGCTGCCAAGTTTGCTGGGCAACATCAGAACGGCCGATATGAATCTAAAGGACTTTTTATTCCAACAATTGTCAACGTTGATAGAAATTGTGAAACAACATGTAATTTCGTACATGAATGATATATTTAAATTGATTCGTGAGTTCTGGACGATAAACACTCCTCTGCATGGCACTTTGATAAACCTTATTGAGAAAATTGCCATAGCGCTCGGTTGTGAATTTAAAGTGTATTTATCACAACTTATGCCGCAAATGCTTCGTCTTTTGGCGCATGACAATTCAAAAGATCGTATCGTAACGATAAAATTATTGCAAGCATTGCAAAGTTTCGGTGCGAATCTCGACGATTATTTACATCTAGTGATTCCACCCGTGGTTAAGCTATTTGAACCATGTGATTTGCCACTGGCGGTTTGCGTGTGTGCTTTAGAGACAGTTCATCATTTAGCAGAAATATTGGATCTAACTGATTTCGCAACACGAATCATTCATCCAATCGTTCGTGTGCTTGACACTAGTCCTGACCTCCGAGTACCGGCCATGCAAACTCTATGCTCAATGGTGCTTCAGCTGAATAAGAAATATAAAGTGTTCATACCATTAGTCCAAAAAGTCATTGTAAAGCATCGCATTACGTGCATAGAATATGAAAAATTATTGCCACAAATTCAAAGTAATACAACGGTTGTATTGGATGATGAGTCAAGACGATCATTAAAAACGAAAAAGCGAGACGTTGCTTTATGTTCTGACATGAGTACCATGAAGAAAATGCAACCCGTTGAGTCGCAGCTACGCATGGCCTGTCAGGCATCACGGAGAGTCTCTAAAGACGATTGGGTGGAGTGGTTAAGAAGGCTAAGCGTCGGTTTGTTGAAAAACTCCCAATCGCCCGCATTGCGGTCATGTCAAGCATTGGCTCAAAATCCGACCCTGTTGCGAGATTTATTCAATGCTGCCTTTGTATCATGTTGGACTGAATTGAGTGATGAAATGAATGAAGAACTTGCGGCTAGCTTGAGACAAGCCCTCGAAGTGCAAGATATGCCTGAAATAACACAAACAATTCTAAATTTGGCCGAATTTATGGAGCATTGTGATAAAGATCAACTTCGAAAAAAAACGTTGAAAATTGACCCGAAAATCTTGGGGCGTCGTGCAATGGAGTGTAGAGCGTATGTTGACACAAAATCGTTCATACGAAATTACTTGTAGTTATGTTTCAATATCCAATTTTCCCCACAGTTATGCAAAGGCATTGCACTACAAAGAACACGAGTTTCACGAAGACAAAAGTCCACAAGTGCTGGAAGCATTGATCCTGATCAACAACAAGCTACAGCAAAAAGAAGCGGCCGAAGGATTACTGGAGTATGTTATGGGGTGTAGAAATGGAGAGGAAGAGCCAAAGGCAAGTTAATTGATTACACAATATTTATTATAATGGATTAAAATAAACAATGTCAACAACATATTTTCATAATATAGGTGCAAGTTAGATGGTATGAAAAACTTCATAGCTGGGACAAAGCATTACATTTATACAAGCATCGGCTGGACAATAATCAAAGCGATTTGGACTCAAAACTCGGTTATATGCGTTGTTTAGAAGCCCTTGGTGAATGGAATGAACTTGGTAGCTACGCTAAAGAGCAATGGCCTTCATTGGGAGATGGAAAAAGTCGTGCAGGACGATTGGCAGCTGTGGCTGCTTGGGGTTTACAGGACTTTGAACAGATGCGAGAATATGTGCGATGCATTCCAGAGGACACACAAGATAGTTCGTTCTATCGAGCAGTGTTGGCCATTCGTGATAGTGAATTTGAAATCGCACAAAGTTTAATCGATGAAACCCGTGACCTATTAGACACTGAACTAACCGCAATGGCAGGCGAATCGTATGAACGAGCATATGGTGCAATGGTTTGTGTTCAAATGTTATCCGAACTAGAAGAAGTCATTCAATATAAACTGATCCCCGAACGACGGGAAACTATTCGGAATATGTGGTGGAAACGTTTGCAAGGGGGACAACGTCTAGTCGAAGATTGGCAAAGAATCATTCAAGTTCACTCACTAGTCTTGTCGCCACACGAAGATGTGCACACATGGCTAAAATATGCATCTCTGTGTCGCAAGAGTGGTTCATTGAAATTATCACACAAAACACTGGCCATGTTAATGGGTGTTGATCCATCCGAGACTCCAGAGTCACAGTTACCCACAGATAAACCGCAAGTGACATTCGCTTATTGCAAACACTTATGGATGAGCAACGATCATGAGCGGGCCTACAATCAGCTCGATCGGTTTGTCAACACATTCAGCATGCAAAGTTTGACAAACCAAACTTTGCAAACCAATGCAGTTTCCGACGAGTTGAGAGATGAGAACAGACGGCTACTCTCACGATGCTATATGCGACTCGGACTTTGGCAAAACAAATTAGGGGGCATAACGGATGATTCCATCAATGGAATTCTGGGCTGCTATGAAAAGGCAACACAACACGATCCAAATTGGTACAAAGCATGGCATTCATGGGCGTATATGAATTTTAAAGTAGTCCAATCACAGAAGCAAACGCAAGAAAATAATACGAACAATGGAGATTTCGTACGCGACAAACGTTTCGAGAAAAATTTGATTACCCAATATGCCGTTCCAGCCGTTCATGGATTCTTCAGATCTATTAATCTTTTGCAAGGCAATTCCCTTCAGGACACACTGCGATTGTTAACACTTTGGTTTGAATACGGTCAATACACTGAAGTGTATGACGCTTTGGTTGAAGGCATGAAATTGATTGAGATAAACACCTGGCTACAGGTCATACCGCAGCTAATCGCCCGTATTGACACACATCGCAGCTTAGTTGGTCAATTAGTTCATCAACTCCTCATTGATATCGGAAAACAGCATCCTCAAGCATTGGTTTATCCATTGACGGTAGCATCAAAGTCCGCTTCACTGCCACGTAAAAATGCAGCACACAAAATTTTGGGTTCGATGAGTGACCACTCACCCACACTTGTACAACAGGCATTGATGTGCAGTGAAGAACTTATTCGTGTGGCAATTCTATGGCATGAACAGTGGCACGAGGGTCTCGAAGAAGCATCTAGATTGTATTTCGGCGAAATGAATGTTACCGGCATGTTTGATACGTTGGAACCGTTGCATGCAATGTTAGAACGGGGACCACAAACACTGAAAGAAACTAGTTTTTATCAGGCCTATGCTCGTGATTTGAATGAAGCTCTGGAATGGTGCCAACACTATAAGGTTGGTTGTTATTATTATGTCACTTTTGGAGAAACACAATTAACCGCTTTCTTTTTCATGATCTTGATAGGTATCCGGTAAAATTCGTGATTTGAACCAAGCATGGGATTTATACTATCACGTGTTCCGTAAAATATCACGCCAATTGCCACAGTTGACGTCATTAGAATTGCAATATGTCAGCCCGAAGTTATTAGCTTGTAAGGACTTAGAATTAGCTGTGCCTGGAAGTTACACGCCTGGCCAAGAGCTCATCAGAATAAGTAGCATTCACCAAAATCTGCAGGTAATAAATAGTAGATCTTGTTTAAAAAAAAACGATCCCTTCAACGTGATATTAACGCTGAGGTTACTCTCATTTTCTAGGTGATTACATCAAAACAACGACCAAGAAAGCTATGTATTCGTGGTTCGAATGGCAAAGATTACATGTTCTTATTGAAAGGGCATGAAGATTTGCGTCAAGATGAACGTGTTATGCAATTGTTCGGTCTCGTCAATACATTACTCCAGCATGAGCCCGACACGTTTAGACGTAATCTAACAATTCAAAGATACGCAGTAATTCCACTCAGCACCAATTCTGGCTTGATCGGATGGGTTCCGCATTGTGATACATTGCATACCCTTATTCGAGACTATCGTGACAAACGTGGAAAGCTTTTGAATTCGGAACATCGTGAAATGTTGAAAATGGCACCCGACTATGACCACCTTACTCTCCTTCAAAAAGTTGAAGTATTTGAATATGCATTGAAGCAAACCAAAGGGAATGATCTGGCCAAACTTCTCTGGTTGAAAAGTCCTTCGTCGGAGGTTTGGTTCGATCGAAGAACCAACTACACAAGATCACTGGCTGTTATGTCAATGGTTGGTTATATCCTTGGTTTAGGTGATAGGCATCCCTCGAATCTAATGTTAGATCGATTGAGTGGAAAAATTTTACACATCGATTTTGGTGATTGCTTCGAAGTGGCCATGACACGTGAAAAATTCCCCGAAAAAATTCCTTTCCGTTTAACTAGAATGTTGATAAATGCAATGGAAGTAACCGGCATCGAAGGAACTTATCGACGTACTTCTGAAAGTGTAATGCATGTACTACGTCGTAACAAAGACAGCCTAATGGCGGTTTTGGAAGCATTCGTCTATGACCCGCTTTTGAACTGGCGTCTGCTTGATACAACCACTGACAAGAATCATCGATCAAAAACGACAGATGGAAATGCTACAACCGGCGCTAGCTTAGCAAATAGCGTCGATGACTCAATGGATTTGTTAAGCATTCAACAACAAAATAGACTAAAGGGCCAACAATTCAATAATATAGACGGAAAAGGGGTGGCAGTTGGTGAAAGTGTTAATGCTGTACACAATCCAACCGAAGTCACCAATATGAAAGCCAGATTAATTGTCGATCGTGTCAAACAGAAGCTGACCGGTAATGACTTTAATACGACTGAAGAGATAAGTGTACAACGTCAAGTTGATTTGTTGATACAGCAGGCAACAAACAATGAGAATCTTTGCCAGTGTTATATTGGTTGGTGTCCATTCTGGTAAATGCCACCGAATATATTCAAAATAAAAATATTGTTTATTGTTGTCAACTGTTTGAAAGGAAACTATACTTCTATGTTTTGTGCCCTGGATTGTGTGACGGATTGAGAAGGAAAAAAATACATTTTATGCATTTAGATCGAAAATTGTGGGTCACCAATTTAATTTTTTTAAGTCAGACTACAAGGTCCACTCACATGCGTTATATTTTTTAACTGTGAAGTGAAGACGTTGCTATTAGTTACTATTTTTTTACACACACACACACATACACGCGTAACAAAAACCACAATATGTTTGTATTTAATTCCAATTATTTCTTCAAACTGTACATTACAAAAAAAAAACGCTAGATATAGTTTGTAAGTTGATTTCTTAGAATTACAATAATAAAGATCGACTTAAAATTTATACATGATTTACGTATCCCATCATTCTACTCATTTTGTTTGACTTTTGATTTTCGGTTGGATTTGTTCAATGCGTTTGCATACCGCCACATGGTCTGAAATAAATATTAATTTTAGATAAGAACAATAGGAAAAAGTCAGAAATAAATGAAAATATTAACCGCTTTTGGAATATTAAACAATTTCGCCGCTTGATACTGTGACATTCCGCTGCGACACTTTATCAAAGCCATCTCCAATCTTTGGCCATATTCAGAGTTCTCAGTCCGATCTTTAACGCGAAACGATTCCGGCAGTTTTCCTTCGACGGATAGCTTTTTCTTGTCGCGATGAAGTGTAGTTAATGGTATACCTGAAAAAATGGAACATTTTAAATTTTTTCTTAATTTAGATTTGTCAAAAACGAATGTATTCTCACCATATTTAGCACTAATACTGGTCAAACTTTTTCCGGACAAAATTTCACGCTGCGCATTTTGTCTTTCCACGGTGACTTCTTTATTCGATGGTTGATACTGTTCACACTTTCGTACCTCGCGCCAAATAGCCGTTTTTGGGACTTTGTATCTATCGGCAGCCATTTTCAAACTTAGTCGTTCGTGTAACACGGCTTGTACAGCACTGTCTAGTGCGGATTTTCGTTCGAGTCGATAGTTCTGTTTCAAATTTTCATTGTTGCGGAACCGATGGTACAAAGTCGAACGTGGTAAATTATATTCTACCGACAGTCGGTGAATGGTTTTGCCATTGTTTACTTCGTTCAAAGCCTTGTCAATTTGTGAGCTTGTACTGCGCGTACCTGGTCGACTTATATTTCGCTGACGTTTGCTGCTGCTCTCAGGAGTGTCTGTACCGTCTTTTGTAAACACACTCGGCATATCTTCAACTTCTTTTTCGATTTCAAATGATATGAATTCATTGTCTTCTTGCCTACCTTCATCGTATTCATTTTCCATAAACATTTGTTCCTCCTTAATTATTCCATCATCTTCTAGATACTCCTCTAAATAATCAGGCTCAATGCTCTCCTCTTCACTGTTTACACTCTCCGCTTGTGTAACCACCATATACTCTTCACATGACCAACTCTCGCTCGAACTATTGTATAGCTTATTGATTCCATTTTCATCTTTTGGATTGATATCACCTCCTACCTTCAAACCAGCTCCATTCAATGTAAAACCATTAGCGACACATCCTTTGATATCCAAGAAATTACAGAATTCGAGTAAGGTTGTCAAATAGCCTGAAGCGATATTGGTTTCGCCAGTGTAAATGAATTTAAGTATAGCTTCTAATACTGATCTATCAATATCTGGTATATGAATTGTTGGTGACTCGACCGATGATGGTAATTCGCTGAATATCTTCCGGAAAAAATCACTCGACGACGATAAAACAATCTGATGCGCTTGGATACGGACTCCTTTTGCAGTGATTAGCGTACAGTCCGTTTCCAAATTATTGTCAAACAAATACTGTTGCTCCTCAATAATCTCCTTCTTATGATCATTCCATTTGATGGTACGCAGTATTGTTGGCGAGTCCATTTTCCACTCTTTAAAGCACGCTTACCATAGATGTGGGGAAAAGGCAAATATTATTTGAAATTAGAAAAAATAATTTGTCACCGCGTCGTGTAGTTTGTTTTTTTAGATTCAAATAAATGACAGATGTCGATGAAAATGCGTCAATTATGGTTTTTCTAGCAGCTGTATGTTCTAGTAGTGTTGCCATTGCATGAACTACAAGTATTCACAATTTATCGTTCGGATTTTTTCAACGCGTCTATTCAATCATAATAAAAAGTGATTTGAAATTACAAATTTCATATTAAATTCTAATTTGTTTCTTTTTTATTTTATTTTTCAAAGCAAATCAAAAAAAGTATCATGTTGATTATTGGTGTTGCCATTTATGATTGGAAGTCCACGCATTGACATACGATTTTGACACACGTCAGATGTTTCTTTAATTTGATATTAAAAGTCTATTCTTATGTGTTTTTTCTTCACCAAATTAACAAGTAATTAATAACTTGCTTTTTTTAATCAAATTAAAACATTAGTTTAAATAAAACATTACACTGTAAAGAAATCAATAGGATCTGTTTGATTATTTTAGCACATAATTTCGATTATTAGGAAAATGTCGTCTCCACCAGTAGATCCGCGACGAGCAGATAAAGTCAGGTCATTCAAATCTTCTCCCAATAATGGGCAAACTGAAGATTTTTTACCAGATTATTTTAATATTCTGGGCATGATTTTTTCAATGTGCGGTCTTATGATGAAGCTTAAATGGTGTGGTAAGTCGGATTGGAAAAAAATATTAGACATTTTCGGTTTTTTTTTTCATAAATCCTTACATTTTTATCGATTTTGTTCCAGCGTGGCTTGCGTTGTACTGTTCCTGTATTTCGTTTGCAAATTCAAGAGCTAGTGATGATGCAAAACAGGTAATTTTCCGTTGTTCAATCAGACAGTACATTTCTATGAATGTGAAGAAAAATGCCATTTTTATAGGTTTTGTCATCCTTCATGTTGTCGGTCAGTGCAGTTGTTATGTCGTATATGCAAAATCCAGCACCAATGACACCACCATGGGCAGCCTAATTTAAAGTATTCGGCGTCATCGTATTAATTATATAAGTCTTGATGAAGAAATGATGGAAAGAGAAATAATACAATTTATACACTGGATATTCGTTAGTCGAAGATTGTTTCTTTATTGTGGAAAATACATTAAATTGATTTATAATAATGATTTAAATAAAAAGAATACGCGGATACTGGTAACACAGCAATACCTGAACGATCTATCTATTTTTGTTTTTCTTTGAATGTCACTCTGTCTCAGTCAGTGGGCAATGGTACGAAAGAGTGTGGAAGCAGAGATTTGATAGAAGTTACTAGAACTCTAACCGGTGATGGTTTAGCAACATAAATGGGGATATCCTCCTTAGCGAATTCGGATAGAACTTGACGACAGACACCACTAGAATAGTAAGATAGATTTTTTTATTACTGTTTAATAGTAGCTGTAGAATAGATACCATGGTGTGGTGAATGAATCCTGTTGAAATGCAACAACTGCGGCTGCCTTGAATTCACTATGGCCTGTACTTATTGCTTTACAAGCAGCAGTTCGCTCTGCACAAATAGAAGGACTGTATGCAGCATTCTCCACATTACACCCAGAGATAATCGAGCCATCGCCCACCCGAATGGCAGCTCCAACCTTGAATTTGCTATATGGGCTATTGTAAAGAAAGAAAAAAACGATTTCTCCCACTTATACACAGATACGGTTGGACTGATGTGCACAATCTGACATACCTGTACGAAAATTTTCTAGCTTCAATCGCTGCGTTTATAAGCTCTTGTGCATCTTTTCCTATTTCACGTAACATAAAATAACATCGTTTTTTTCTTCACTCTATTTATCACTACTAATATCAAAAAGTATTACCTAGTTCGCAAAAATTTTGTACACTTTCATGCTTTCCATTTACTTCGTGGATATTCATTATTAGTAGCCGTTCAAAATGTCCCTAATAGAGATAAGTTTGAGAGAAAAAAAACTGTTTAATATAGAATCAACATATTTAATGTTGTTTTAATCCTTGAGAATCAAACGTTCAAGAAATTCGTTTCAATGTTTACTTGATTTAGTTCCAGTTCAGTTTATTATAACTCATGCCAAATCGCCACAAAAAGCTTATCAAAAAAACTATCTCGAACAAATGTAAATCTCATCCACGTCACCATTTATTTTTTTATTTGAAATACGCAATAAATGAACTCATTTAGCCAATTTAGAAAAAGAAATATAGTTTGAATGCAAGGGAAAAATGGAACAAACAAATTCAAATGCTCACATACGAGATAAGGAAATTACGCAAATAGTGCACTGCGCGCTACACTCATACAAATTCAATTTGTAGATCTTCTCATAACAATTCCACTATCATAGTACTCTAGTGATATAGTGATTGTCAACATTGATGCATGTTTTTTTCGTCTATGAAAGTCATGTATCCACATATTTCTCTTGTAGCACAAACACTCTAATGATGTCTCAAACGACATCTTTCAAAATACTCTCTGTCCGCAAAAGTGTCAAAATCAGCTGATCTGTATCAATCGCACTCCAATGAATGAAAGAAAGATCGACATAACCATAAAACATAAAATCGACGTTTGAACGCTGATTGGAAAAAGAACGAATGAAAATTCACATTTTTCCCCATTTATTCGATGTAGATGTGGAGCTAGATGTGATTAATTCGGTGCGGCACACTATTGAATTGCAAGCAACCTGTGAGTGGGCTATTAGTTGCATGTGTGTGTCTGTGAACACATGGTTTGATGTGTGAGTGAGATATTGTATTAGTATGCGTTACAGTATGTGCGATTCCGAATAGAGCCTGACATGTCTTGCTTCTTATATTGCAGCATTTACCATTGACAATGACAGTCTCTACTGCCATCCACCATATTAGTTTCTAAAGAACAATCTGTCTATGAAGTTCAATCCGTACTATATGTAGAGGAGGAATAATATATACGAAAAAAAAGAGACTTTTCATTCAGTTCCATATATTATTCAGCGATTTATAACACATATACCACATATATTTTATAAAAAAAGTGTGAATCATGATTTCGTGGAGTAGATAAAAAGAGTCGATGACATCCATACGACGACGACAACGATGAGAAAAACTTATTCAAGTTGAACAGTTTTTATTATTTTCCATAATATTTACATAAAATCCATAAAATTACAAGTTGTTCAAAAGTTATAATCAAAATTAAACAAGGACGACATCAGTTTTACCTCTTCTTTAAAGGGAAAGAGCAAAAGTCAAATAAAAATTCGTGCCATAAATGACGAGCAATGAAAAAAAATTCCTTTGTGTTTGTGTGTATTGCTTCTTGTTGATTTGCAACTGCTGAAAATTCCATCGTGAAGCAACAAACTAAAACAAAAAGACGCCTCAAATAGGTGGGAAACCACTGGGAACAATATCATTGAGATACATTAAAACACGAATATGGAATACGAACAAAATAAATCTGACGACTAAATCTGAAATAAACAGCAAATATGCGAAATATTTTTGGCCTAAGTACTTTTTTTCCTTCACGTTTGCATTAATTACGAACTGTCGCAAATACTTCTATCAATATCAGTGTATTTGTATATGTGTGTAGCCGTGAGTTTCGTATGCCAATTGTATCATTTATTGAAGAAATCAAATCATAAAGACCACAATACAACTTAATAATTCCGCACACGATATACTTTTGCAAAAACAGAGGAACAATAAGGCATCGACGACGGCAGCGGCAGCAGCAGAAGCAGTAATAATAATAATTATAATACCAACAACAACAACCATCGTCAAAAGACAAACACAGAACAAGAATAAGAATAAGAAAAGGAAAGAAGAAGAAGCAGCAGCCAAGTAAAAAGTGTACGCTCGTATTTCCCAATTGATATTATAATTTATGAACTGTAGACACTTATTACAGCAAAGGTTTTGCAAAGATTCTGTTCACCATTTGTTACTCAGCTACTTCAATGTATGCAATTCAATACGAAATGAACTAGATGTCGCATATTCTGATAAAAATTGTTTCAGCACATTTGAATACGACGTGATCGAATACACGGATCGGATCGAATTGAATCGGATCAGACTAATAAACGAACAGAGACAGTGTAAAACATAAGAATAAATAAATAAAATATCGGATGTCAAGCTCGTAAAAAAGAACAATAAATTGCGTATTGCAATTGTACAAAATACTCGCAGCTGCCATCTGTGTGAGTGCATCATTGCATCGGTGTATTTGTGCTGTGAAAATAGTGAATCAATTCGACGGAACGATAAATCATACGTTAACCACATACTCATTAGCACGTAACATTCACAAATATTCTCGTTCATCCGTCTCTCTTCGCATAAGGTTTATGGTGTTTTATTTTCATTTCAACGCATATACTGGGACAACGTAGTATATGATTAATCTGCAACATCACCCGAAACATATTCCATTTACTTATGACTATCCAGATCGCGTACGGCTATAGCGGACATTCCAATTGACGAGATTTTTCATGTGTTGACTCTATCATCAATAGGCTAAAGAGAAACTGTGAGTAAATTTTGTCGTTGGATGTAATCAACGTGTAAAGTTCAAACGATCGATTGAACATAACCAACATATTTGGACTTTAATTCTCTTTTCTTATCTGTTTTCTCTTTCTCTTTTTCAATTCGTTTAGTAGAAATATGGCTTATTCACAATCACCGCGTGAAAGTGGTGAGGAATCGGAAGAAGATGAAATGATTGAGGAGAGTCCATGTGGGCGTTGGTCAAAACGTCTGGAAGTGGTTGATCAGAGAGATGTGCCCGGAATTGCACGCGCCCATCTGGCAATGGACAATGAGGAGGGCGTTGAAGTTGTGTGGAATGAATTGTTTTTTAATAGTCCACGGCATTTCAAGAACGAAGAAGCTAAATACCGGGAAATGTTCGATTGTATGTCGCAACTTGAACATCCAAACATTGTGAAATTCCATCGGTATTGGTCAGATATACATGATGAAAAGCCTAGAATAGTATTTATAACCGAATACATGTCGTCCGGCTCATGGAAACAATTCCTGAAGCGAACCAAGCGAAATGTTAAGAAATTATCGTTGCATGCATGGAAAAGATGGTGTACACAAATTTTGTCGGCATTGGGCTACTTGCACTCATCAAAGCCGCCAATTGTACACGCCAACCTGACCTGTGATACAATATTTATTCAGCATAATGGTTTAGTGAAAATTGGTAGCGTGTCACCGGAATCAATTCATCACTATGTGATATCGTCACCCGAATACAAGCAACACCATCCAAATGTTCGTATTCATGAGCACGGTCCACCGCCAACAGAAGCGATGGACGTGTATTCATTTGGCTTATGTTCACTTGAAATGGCAGCCGTCGATATGCAGGGTGACGATGATGCTGGTAAACTAGTCTCTGAAAAACAAATTCAACAAACCATTGCCAGTTTAGAGGATGCAAACCAAAGGGATTTTCTACAGAAATGTCTACACGAAGATCCAACAAAACGTAGCACAGTTCGTGAGCTATTGTTCCATCCGCTGTTGTTCGAGGTACCGTCACTAAAACTGCTTTCGGCTCACTCGATTGTCAATTCATCGCCTATATTCTCCGATACGATTATCGATGAACGTATGCAAACGTTGTACAAAAATGATTCGATATTGGCCTATATACTACGAGCTGATCAACCTGTTGAAGTGAGATTGCGTGATGTGCCGCCCGTTGAGAAATTGGAAAAACTCATTGAAGATGTCAAATATGGCATTTATCCGTTAACTGTATTCGCACCGAAGCGAATGGCGAACATTCGTATACGGGCACTGTCGCCGGATGCAGCCGAATCGGTGAAATCGACGACCCCTGAACCAGTTGACATTGAGACACGTGAAATAGTAAATATGATGTGCAGTGTAAAACCGCGAGAAACGGCTAGCAATGAATTAATTATGACCCTTCTGCTGCGAATGGATGACAAAATGAACAGGCAGTTAACGTGTCAAGTATCGCAGGACGATTCATCAACAACATTAACCAATGAGCTTGTACATTTAGGTTTTATACATGAAAATGATCGTGAGAAAATCGTCACTCTGATAGATAATACACTGCGAACATTCATGCAAAATCCATCACATCCAGGTCAGCAACAGGGAGCCCCACAACAGCAGCAGCATCAACAGCCAAGCAATCTGCAGCATGCCGATAATAAACCAAATCCGTTGCACTGATCAATCAGTATAATTCACTTACGAAAACAACCGCATATTTAGCTGTCGTTCTTATGCTTCCTAACTAATTTTATTTGTTTTAGATCATTCAATTAATAAATCAACAAAGCGACACAATTAGTGAGAAAATAAAACCAATGTCAACTACTCAATGCTATAACTAATTATTTTAACAGCCATTACACAGTAAACAATTTGGATACCGAGTCACAACTCATTGCAACAGGTCCAAAACAGTTCCTAGATATAGCAGGATAAAAGAATGAGTTGAAGCTAGGGCACCACTTCACGAGTGCATTTTTCAGCAACAGATTTGTGCTAAGAGAAAAAAAAAATTACACACGCTTCGTATATTTATAAAACAACAATGAGAATTAATGAACAGCGATGAAATGCATGCACACAATAAACGACAAAAAAATAGAAATGTAAATAAAAAATCGTATTTAAGGCAAATGTAAACAATTATTATGAAATGAGAATGATGAATTTAAGAGTTCAATGCAATTATTATGCTGGCAAATTTTGTCTTATGATCGATATGATATCTCTCATGAAGTCAATCCAATATAATCATCGATAACTGCTTTTGGGTCTGTGAACTGCGAGCGCATGGTATTCGAAACGGTTGCTTTCGACTTTCGTTCATCGCATAACAGCAGGCAAACAGATCAAATACCATTTATGTAAACAAAATATATCAGAAAATTTTAATTACTTTTATGCAAAAGACAAAAACAACGTGAACATAATGAATTGCAAGGCAGACGGCCAAGTTGCACTTTTCAGTACATTTGATATGGAACGTAAAGTGAAATCTTCGAGAGAGAAAATATTGAACATGAACATTGAACAACACACATATTATAATGCTGAAAAATTTAAGCATATAGCGATTGGATGAAAGTGAAAGAGAGTCAAAATTAGACATTTGTATCATTTTATTTATATAAACAATAAATCGTGTCAACAAAAAATGCAAAAACTCAACAACTCAACAATTTGAATTTCTTTGCCCAGAAAATTTCTTTCAGCAATCAGTGAGAGAAAAAAAAATGGAAATTAAAGAAGGTGAGAAAATCGATTTGTCTTACAGTATCATTATTCATATGTAAAATTAGCACACCAAACAGTAAAAAATGCTAAATTTTCTGAAAATTATACTCCATTTTCGACGAGACTCCTTTTTTTCATTAAATGAGCGATATTTCTATCTAGGTTTTAACTATTTACAACATTTTGACTGCTTTCATTATTTCTTTTCGAGAAATGGCCGGGCTTAATTCGCAGCTGGAAATATTTCTAATGTTACTATTTAAAGATAATGATTTTTGGAAGAACAAATTGAAAAGAGCGTATACCAAAATGAACTGAACCTAAAGTAAATCAATTCCGTTTTGCTTCGAAATAAAAGTAAGAATTAGTTTTAAATATGTATATTTAATTTTTGTTCTGTTTAATTTTTCCATTGTGTAAAATATGTTCACGGTAACGAGGGCTACCGCTTGAGCAAAAAACCAGTGGTACCATCGGGTCCTCGAGGTAATCGAATAACATTTTCATCGACTCTACGCATTTCTGGTGAAATTTGAAATGTAGGCTGTTGCTGTAGATGATGTGATGGTTGAAAAGAGTTATATTGCTGAGGCTGCGGGTTACGAACAAACGCTCTAGACGAGTTACCTACTGAATTTGCTTGGTTCATCAGATTCCTATTTGAAAAACCATTTACATTATTGTGATTGGTCGTTCCATTTTTTTCTACATGCGGCGTTGGTGTTCTAGAATAGAAATAAATTTATTTATTATGTTTTAATGTTGGATATTTTCGAATTCATGCCAAACTTACTCTTCTTCTTCCTCGCTCTTGGCCGAGCCCAATATCCGAAGCCGTGCTTCAGCATATTCCTGCTCACGTTGTTGAAGCGTTTTGATTGGCGCCTTTGGCTTTTGTTCAGCTAATAATTGTTGATTATTTTTGTCGTTGGTGGGTCGTTTGAGAATTTTAACTGTTGGCTCCGGTGGCACGTACTGTGTACGCATGCAATCTTCATCGTTCAATAACATTGCAGAAAATGGTCGACTGCACTCAAGTCCAGCATTCGATATCGTTGGATTGTTGGTGGCATTTTTCCTAATTTGGTTGACTTTCGTATTTAACTGTGTGACCATGAGAAAAAAAAGAATGTATTAGACAGAATGTAATCACAGAATCAAATCAGTTCAATCTAATTGATAACCATGATCTGATGGAAAACGTCAATTAAACGGTTAAAAATGTGCTCAATGTATAAATTCACACGCAAAAATTTGCACATTCTCACTTTACTATTCTCGCTATACATGTTAATTGACAAACATTTTTCGGACGTTCAAATATTGGTTGAACTATTTGTCAATATGTTTTTTTCGCAATCACTCACTGAAAACTTTAGGAAAAAACTAAAACATTTGCCACTACAAATCAATTTGGATGTTTTCTCATCCAAATATTTTTTATAATGCACAAATCGTTGCCTGTTAATTAAATAAAAATATATATATTTTAATTAGACTTCATATCACTTACTTCAGAATCATCAATGGCCTCCCAGTCGTCTACCACATTTTCATTTTTGGTTGACATTTTTTGGATCTCCAGATATGAAAATGCTCATGCACAAAAATATTCTACTAAATATAATTTGGAATTAAACATAAACTTGGACACCAAATGAAAAAAAATGCCAACAATTCTCAGCCATCCAATGAACAAGGAATCACTTTGAAGAAGAATTTTGGCATGTCGCTGAGTTAGCTTTTGTCACTACTACATACGAAATATTCAGACCATACATAGACAAAATTTTGAAGTTATTTCCACTCTACAACCTCATTTTTCGGTATTCAATATGAAGTAAAATGACAGTTCGGCTTAACTCGATATCATACCACCTCTTAGGTACAGAGTGTTCCCGTTTGTATGAAATTCACCTCTTCAAATGATTGTATATTCAACCATTTCTGCTATAATTAAATAGTTTTTTTGTAAGAAATGACTTGAAATATTTACAAATGCAAAAATATTACAAGTTTAAAACTTTTGGCTATAACCAACCCAGGATTTATAATAAAATATGTCATGTAGAGGGGAAACACGCTTGTGGTGGATTGACGGCCATATGGTAGCGAATTATGGGTGATTTTGCGGCTTTCGTTCCCGTTGAGCACAAGCAATAGCTTATATTCTCTTTTTGTCATACACGGCCTACAAACGAAAACGTCACAAAAAATAGATTAAATAATTCTCTTTCCCATTACGATAAAGTTGTATTAATTTGATTGGTTGAAAAGTGTGAGTTGAAAATATACATTTTTTGTGCTATTGTTGAGTAATCATTGACTGCCAGCACTCCAAAAATTAGTTGTAAAGATTATATCCTCTGTGGATGTTATTTTATTGATTTTTCAACATTCGTTCCATATTATATTTTTGTGTATTGATATACATAATATGATAAAATTGTATTTTGATTAGTTTTAACTTTTCTGCAAGCAATCAATTAAATTATTTAGTGACACACAATACCATCAATAGCTTTTTCCCATTTTAAATAGGAGTGGTGACAAAATGGATTTGAATGACGTGAGAATTATTAATGGGAATCTAAATCAGCAACAAATAGCCCAGTTGCACCAACAGCAGGTACGCAAAAATTGCCGTATAAATAGTGTCTGATTGAAAAAAAAGAGCTTTACTTTAGTTGGAACAGATTCATCAGGCTCAACAACAGCAGCATATGCAGCAACAAATCAATATCGACCAGCAAAAGCAGGGTCAAAATCAGAACCGCCGTCGAATCCGTAAGCAGAAAAACAATGTTCCTCAATCGGGCATTGCCGAAGGCGGCGAGGACAATACGTCCGAGAAAAGATCTTCGAAGAAAAAACCAGCTGATGAGAACGTTTCGATTGAAGATGCACTAAAAGCGCTAACGTTAACACCAGGCAAGTGGTCTAAAATATTTGTAAAAATCTTCTGCTTGAATTTTGTTTCAATTATAACAATTCAAACCAAGAACGTTTCCATATTACGGATGTTTAGAAGGTGCAAACAATGCTATGAAAACGCCAGTTTCCGTTCTTCAAGAACTTTTAAGCAGACGTGGAATTACTCCGACTTATGATTTAGTGCAAATTGAGGGGGCTATACATGAGCCGACTTTTCGCTATCGAGTCACTTATGGAAATAAGGATGCAATGGGCGCGGGCAAGTCCAAAAAGGAAGCCAAACATCAAGCTGCACGAAATTTGATCGACAAACTAACCGGAGTGCAAATTGCCGACCAAATTTTGCCACCAACTTCAAACGGAAATAAGGAGTAGGTGTTATTTGCGGTGTAAAAGAGTGTAAAAACTATTGCCAGTGGAAATTTTCATTTCATTTTTGTAATTCACAGTGTTGATGGGAAAGTTAATGGGAATCCAATCGGTTGGTTGCAAGAGCTATGCATGGCACGTCGCTGGCCACCACCATTCTATGAAACTCAATCTGAAGTAGGTTTACCGCACGAGAGACAATTTACAATCGCATGTCATGTATCATCGTATACTGAAACAGGTTCGTCAAATAATGAATTTGAATCAATACAAAAACACCTGTAATGTTCATATCATTTAAATGAATAAATGAATTTTCATATTGTTTCAAAAGGACGTGGCAAGAGTAAGAAAGAAGCCAAACGTTTAGCGGCTCATCAAATGTGGCAACGTTTGCAAGATTTACCCGTAGACAACCAAGATGATGCCACTGACGATGTAAGTAAAACTATAAAATATTTATGTCCCTAATTTAGACTTATCAATTCCATAGAAAGAATCTTTTTGGCAATTTTCTTTTTTTTCGACCCATATCTGGACGCACTTGTTCTAAATGTTTGCTAAGATTACATATAAATAAATGATAAATTGTTTCATTAAAATACGTATATTCACATAATTTGCAAGTTGTTATCGACAAGTTCACACAATTTTGTAAAAAAAAATTGTACAGATTAGAAAGAAAGAAAACTAAAAAGAAGATTCTTCATATCTGTTTGGTAAAAGCCGAGAAGTAAAAGACATAACTTTCGAAACCAACCACAATGTAATAAATACTAGAGTTTTTCCTTATCGAAACTTCTCAAAAAAAATAAAACCTGATTTAAATTGTGTGTATTTGTAGATCAACCGAGCAAATGTTTTGAATCGTTATGCCGATTTGAAGGAAAAACGTATTTCCACGTTGACTAATCAACACAGCTACAAAGTTTCACAATTCCATAAAACTTTGAAAGCTAATAGTGGCCAAAATTTGAGTAAACTCCAAGTAAGTATTAGAAACAAAAGAGTATTGCCATACAAGATGATTGAAAACAATAATTATAATGAAAAGAGTTCGTCCAGTAATTAGTATTATGATTAAAATCTGGCTCATTTTATCCTTATTTTAGACCACTTGCCTGAACGATCCCAACATGAATTTTGTTCAGTTTTTGCAAGAGATTGCTACCGAGCAACAATTCGAGGTAACATTTGTTGACATCGAAGAGAAAAATTATTCGGGTCAATTTCAATGTCTGGTTCAGTTATCAACGCTGCCCGTTGCAGTTTGCCAAGGTTCGGGCAAAACATCTAAAGTTGCTCAAACCTGTGCTGCTCGCAATGCCTTGGAGTATTTGAAAATTATGACCAAAGTCTAAATGCATTATCGTAAGTTTTGTTAATCAGTTCTCCAATACTGTTATATTTATAACTTATAATTTCCTCCTTTAATAAGCAGAACAAAACTTTGAGCCGCTTTTAACACGACCGATCTGCGAAAAATAATCGGCATCCCTTTTCGCTATTTGGATTAAAGTGTGAAATATTGATCTGTTTATAACGACTTGCATTACTCTATTGCCGATTCGACAAACACAAAACCGCTCCATAAGGATTCGGATTCAAATATGAATTTAGTAAGTGATGTCGATATGTTTATTGCAAAAACTAGTAGATTCATGTTGAAATATCTAATATATATTTCGTATATGATTATGCAAATGTATGCAAAATTTAATACCTACTCAAATACGCTCATACGATATTGATATTGGTTTTGCAAAATAATATAATAATACATCACTTATTGTAATCATAGATTAATAACGAAGACATCGCAGTAATGAATTTGATGTTATAAAACACACATTACTAAATGCATAAATAACTAGTAATAGATTTGTAAAACGGACAACAAACAGCACGGGTTCCAAAGTTTACAAAACTTTTTAATTATGGAATATTTCATGTTTATGTGGCTTTGAATATCATTTTTTTTTCTTCTTTCAATTGATTTGAACATTAGTCCTTTAACAATTTTCATGCACGCCGCTAATACTAATCGTTATTCAAGTTATTTATGGATGTAGTAGTATATAAGTTTATGTAAGCAAACGACAAACCCAAGGCAAGAAAAAACCATCTGCAATTGTGAAAATATCAAATTATTTTGATATGAATTGACCTTCGATTTAGTTTGCGTAAAAATAGCGATTGTAATTTTAATGTTTACAAAATTACTGTATCGCCAGCTAAAATACAAGCTATACTTTGCATTGTTCTCTCGGGACGAACTTGGTTTTATTATCATCTCTCATCTCTACTAAATGGCAATGCCTAAATTTTAGTGGTTGGAGAAGCGTTGAGAATAAATTGAGTTCTATTCGCCGAAGTCCGATGCAAAGTGTGGAGGTTGTATTGTATACTAGCAATTTGTAATTGTATTTTTCAATCTAATTTTCTCTTTAAAGTAACGAATAAAAAATCAAATTGTATCTAGCGAAAAACTAGCAAAAAATAAAGCAAAGTTACAACAAACTGTTTGTGTACCACGATGGGATTATCATCGATTTTTTTAAGTACAATCTTGAGGAGACAGTTCAGAATGAAATACTTGTCCAACCAATAGTCCAAGTTCTCGGCATCAAATTTTCCACTTGAATCACTCTAAAATCGAATTCAGTGACTTCAAATCGAAAAGTCCCTCCCTTTTCGATAAAAACCATCGGTAAGTGTCACAAATACAAGTGCTGTTTTTAAGAACATTTTATGAAGAGACCTATATATTTTGAAAAAGGAAAAAAAATCATTATTATATTTTGTGTCCAAATCATTTACTATTTAAGTTTTTGAAGAAACTGAGTTATCATATGCATACATATCGGTTTTGTGTGACATCATTTATATTCACTTAGTCAGACGATTGATAAACTCACTTCGAAATTGAAATTCGTAAGTCCGGCCCTTTCATGCAGCGGAACGGCGATTCGAGGGTATGCAATACCCAAATTTCAGTTGTGAACAAAAACCAAGGAAGGGAACTCAAATGCCGTTTGCTCAAATGCTCAAAATCGACATGCCACACACATATAGTTTCATATTCAAGTCCAAATACTCTGTGTAATCGCACGAACAACAACAATAACAATAACATTCATGTGGTGAACACTGCGCCAACGAAATATACGTTTCGCGTCAATGTGCCTGTTGGTGGAAAAAGAAGAGAAACATTTCGAAACGACCATTGATACGAATGAAAGCGAAGGAGTTGTACAACAAATGTGTGTACAAAATTTAGGCCCCGCCAAAGAGTTTTAGCTTCCCTCTATTCTATCAGGAGAGCAGGAACACGAGCAAGCAGCTTCAATGTAGATGTGTTGGATTTGACGTAGAATACGAATTGCGCGTTTTATACAACATCATTCAGAGCGTATCATTTGTTAACACAGTGGGTGTGTTTGTGCGTACAAGTCTGACGTGAGAGATATGTGTGAGTCAGCGTCGCAACAGTATTAGTTAGCTCGCTTCAGAAACGGGGAAATGCAAGAAAATTAAAATATTTTTGCAATTAACTATTAGAATACTTACAATAAATATAAAACAGGGTTTCGAATTACCAGATTAATTGTTACAATAATATTGAAATACTCATTTTAATTCCATCAAATTGGATATCAATGCAATGCGACTATGAGGGAGGGTTGTGCAGCGATGGAAGGCATGGATTTCGTATTTCACATTGAACTGTAGGTTACAAAAGCTGCGTTGTCTTATTGGGCCTCTTCCGATGTGTCGAGTGTACAATACACGACATTTAGAGAATGAAAAAAAAAAACAGATAATAAATGATGATGATCGAATAAAATGGTCGAACCTAATGATATTTTAATAGTAACAAAAACAAAGTTACCACAATTTTTATTTATAAATAAGAGCTAGTTTTCTTTATTATCACAAAAAATTGACGAATTTTGGATTATTATATTGAAAGAGCGAAAATTGTTCATGATGAAAATTGTGATAGATTATTAGTAAAACGTCAGTATGATTAGCGAAAATGATGCTCGTCATTTCTCTAAACTGATGTATTTTGATGCGGCTCGCAGAAACCAAAGCATATTATATAGTATTTTACCGCATGCTCATGCTCATGCTCACTTTTACTGTGCGCCTCTCCACACAGTGGCAAGCACTGTGGATCAGTTCGTACCTGCATTCAGTGTTAATACAAACTATTTAAGCTTTGTGGTTACCAACTTATGGGTTGTAGCTTGTACTATCGCAATAAAGCGATGTGACACAGGAATCAAGTGGAAAAATTAATAGCCTGTTGCATTATTGTGGGCGTACAAGTTTACCCGAGTGTATGAACGAACAGGCGATCATGCACATTGACGACAGTGCATTCGGTTGGTTTTCGTATTCACATTCGAAAATGGTTACTGTTGTTGTTCATTGCGACTAAGTCTTGTGCTAGTTTTATTCATATTCAAATCAAATTGTTGATTTGTTTTCTTTTCATTATTATTATTTTATTCTAGGGTAAATCCATATGAGTTTTTTTTATTTTATTTTTTTTTCCAAAATGCGTGTCTTGTTTAACATGAAAGGTAGAGAAAAAAACAGAAAATCACTGAAGAACGTAGTGCGTTTTACGCAAGTGAAGATATTTGGAGAATTCCAAAATTGCAAAGAATGGTTGAATGCTATGTCATTTTTATTAAGAGCGCAGAAATCAGTGAACGTTTAACTGAAAGCGCATATTCTTTAAATGAAGTCGCAGTGTTCGGCATACAAGAGGTTTCAATGAATTTTTAAATGAACACACCGAAAAAATTCTGAAACCCAATCGTTCATTTCGAAACAAAATATGAATTCAAAAGTTTTGTTCAAGAATATTTGATTGCTTGCAGTCAAAATATTCCGTCAAAATGTAACCAATGAATTTGAAACAGCTATCGTTCTCTACGTACGTACCACTTTCAGTTGAACAACAACATACTTCGGTCACGCAAACATGCAAAACACACACTCTGTCGTATTTCATGAACGCCTGTTCATCGTCGATTAGTTTGCCGATTCAGTTAATCATTTGGTTTGTTCAGCTCATATTCAAACTTGTGTAATTGATGAAGGTAGCAGCAGCCTCTGTGTACAAAATCTTCTGGTTGAGAATTAGTTGCGAGGCCAAGTGCGAAAAGTGAGAAACAGCAGCGAACAGCACATCTAAGCAGTTTCTAATGCATTTTCTAATTCAGTCGACATTTCAATATAACGGGCAAACACAGCTCATCACACGGTTGTATCTGGCATATTTGGCATACCAGCTAGTCAGCTGCTACTATCCGCTATTTCTATCGTATAAATATATATACATATATATATATATGTGTGTGTGTGTGTTTGTGTGTTTTTTTTCCATTACTTCTTTCCTACTTGTCTATGATAGAAGTTTGTCTAGTTTCACACATATATGCACAGTGCACACAATTTAGCTTATGTTTCATTGTGTGTAAAATGCTTGTCGGACCAACTCTCACCATGCAGAGGCTTCATGAGCGCCTGGTAAAATTGTTGCTTAGAATTATCCTCATTTTAAAATAACGCTGTGCACCTCGATTTTCAAGCCATTTGACGTTCGTAGTAAAGTCAACCGTGTTCCAATGTAAAAGCACTACTCACGAATCACATTCGTTGAGAATTTATTGTGGAGTTGCTCTGGCCGTATGCATTTCCTTCGTATGTACGTGTAACAAACAAACACACACACACACACACTGTGCGACATCATCGATGCGTACGAACAGAGTCGTCAGAGTCGTTCATATATATACAAGACACCCATGCGAATGTGTGTACCCATACCTGTCACATGTTATGTGTGCCTGTTTTTCAATGGAATATTAGAACTAAATAGGAAATATAAATGAACAGACAGCTGCGACCAGCGCAATAAGTGAAAGCGCTCATCGTCAGTCTATTGTTGCCGTTGTCATAGTTGTCGTCATCATCACATTAAGTGTATGTACAGATATGGTGTACGAAGCGGATGATTTCAGTTTTTATTCGTTTCCGTCTGTCAGCAATTTTTGTTCATCAGCAAAATGAATTTCAATACAGGTGTTGAATTTTCGCCTTTGTTATAAACATTTTCATGTAGATTATTTTCCAGATCTTTTTGAATTCATAAATACAATTTTCCTCTTTGTATTTTCATTCACCTTAAATACATATATTATTTTCAGTTTACTTGACCTTGAACGTTGAAGCTCTGGTGTTTTTTTTTTTTCAGCTAAAATTCATTGTCTGTTGTTGCTTTAATTCATTTCATTCATGCTAATTTTAATTGCTCGCTAACGTGGTTGTGTTCAAGTTCATGTGATTTCAATGTATTCGAAGAAGATATATGCGACTGTTTATGTATGAAATAAATGGATTGGTCAAAGAAAAGACAGATAAAAAACAAGTATAGCGAATGCGTTGTGCGAATATAAATTTGGCAAAATGTGTATGGGTTGGTAAAACATGGTATGTTCGTCGGTAGCGACGGAAAAAGCATGTATACGGTATTGTGTAAATTTTTATAGTATATCGCGTCGTTTTTGTGCGACATGCATCGTCTGTGCGATTAAATTTTATTTCCGTGAATGATATATTTTGGCTGCTGAAACTTCTGAACGCTTGATACGGAGAGGATTGTCGAGGACAATGTTGGATGAAAACATTGACACACGCATGTGCAGACATTTTGCATCATTGAATTTCAAAGAAGTTTTCATTGATATTTACCGTCACCGATAAAATATATGCTCAAAAATAAAGCTAATATTATAAAATTTGCAGCAAAATTTCATTGAAATTAGCTTTCACTTTTTTAATTGATTAGAAAATAAAAGTGAAAATTGGCAATTATCTACAGAGACGAGCATTCGTCATTGACGACAACAGAGACACGTGAACGCTTGAAAGGTGGTTGAACTGTGGTACGGATTAGACATAGACATTGGACACATCAAAATAACATGCATTCTAAATTCACAACTGTTGATAAAGTCAGTTAATTTTGATATTTGCAATAGTTTTTATTCTAGTGTAAATCTTGTACAATTTTTATTCTCTGGTTTGTTTTTGCCTGTAATACAGACGTTGTAATATCACTAAAGTAGGTAGGAAATATTACTTTGGCTTTCAGGGAATTATAAATCTTTGATATTAACCTAAATTGATAGAAAAGGATTCATGAACCAAATATACAAATAATAAAAAAGGCAAACAAATATCTTCATGGTTGAGTTATGGAATGAAATAAAAAGAATAAAAATGAAACGAACAAATAGAGAGATATTCAATCTTAACACAATAAACTAATGTTTCCACTGTCGCCGCCAACAAGCAGCATGCGATTCAATGGAAGTACTGCCATACTCGTTAAAACACCTTTGAAACTTTCGGTTCGCAATTTTGTAATTGAGTACGTTGATTCCGGTGAAGCATTCCCGTATACCCCGATTCTATTTGCTGGTGTTCCAAATATCAATTCGTTTTGATTATTTCTGAGCACATGAACCGGCTCATTGGGGCTCCTAATTTTTTTTTTTCAAAGGGAAATGATTTGTATTACTTTGGATTGGACTATTGAACAAACAATAATAATGAATATATATCTTACTTGATATAATATAAAAGTGAACCATCATTGGCACTCCATACACAAATGCTATGGTCTAAGCTGGTGCTGATCAGTTGATCTTCATTGATAGCAAGCAGTTGAAGTAATTCACCGTCAGTTGCTTTCCAGCTGGCTATTATCATGCCTGTGCGACCATCACACAAAATCAGTTGGCCTGAACTCAATCCCACAGCGACCCAACGACTTGATGGTGATATAGCTAAAACAAAACAGTATGAATATGTTAATGGAATATGATTGTTAATATGTTGATGTTAATGTTAATATTAATATGATAAAAATATTACCATCTTCTGGTATATTATTCAATATTATTCTATTAACATATTCATATTATTTCAATATTAAAATTTTTTTTAATATCTATCTATTAACATCGGATGTTAATATCGGTCTTTTTTTGTCAGTAATGACCGATATTACTCTTGCGTGGCACCTCATGAGTAATCCACTTCTCTCCGTACACCGAAGTGTACATCAACGAGCAGTATGTTGCACCGACCGTGAGTCGGCTTAATATATACTGCATTCAGAATGTATATATACTTTTCTTTGTGAATTCATGTTTATGCGAATTATAAGAATCAGCCAAAATGAAAAATCCAGAATGCCAGTTAGTGTGTGTTTGAGCGCGACAGCTAGCTGTTACGTTCATATATACATATCTCACTCTAACAAGAAAGACGAACGAAGCGACAGCAACACCAATACTCAAGTGATTCTGTTTCGATCTGCATCGGTGATGATTTAGCGTGAGTCTACATTGCAAATGTAGTTCGTTTGGCCAATTTTACTTTTTTCGTTAATATTAAAATATGAATATGTATTATGTGTAATATTCTAATCATATTAATATCGATATTAACAGAAATGTTATAATATAAGCATTTCGATTTTGCGCAGCTATAGATGGTGACATACATATACATCGCACACTTCCACTTGTCTGATTCAATGAGAACTTCCATTCATTTACATAGGAAAATGTGCGAGAATCTATTACTTTTACGCTTGATTCTGCCGTTCCAGCTAATATTAATGCACTTGGAGATGGAAATGTTTTCACAATGCTAATTGGTGTCAATCTATTTGATTCAAGTTGTCCGATGTCACCGCCAACGAACGGATCCCTTTAGAAAGATGTAAGCGTAAGTGTGATATTCTAGAATTTTTAGAGCAATAATACACAAATTAAACTCAAAATGAGAAAGAAAACCTACCAAATGTGAACACCAGAATCGCATGAAACAGCTAAACGTAGAGATTCGAGGAAGGCAAGAGAGTGAACGGACTTGCGATGGTTTGCATATGTAAACTGACAGGAATGGATCTTGGAGCCGTCACCTTCACTGCGCAATGACCACAATTTAACTGTCTTATCTTTCGAAGCCGAAGCAAAACTATTCTCATTGTCTAAACAGAGTAATGAACGTACGGCATTTGTATGCCCGGCGAAGGTTTGCAATTTTATCTGTTTAAAATTGAAGTGATGCTTTTCGGGTCTGCCAATTTCGTGTTCCCAGTAGGCAAGCCAATTTCCACGCAAATGCCGTGTTGTATTTATCTGATCGTATTTATGAGAAATCGTATCTAAGAGCTCCATGTGACCAATTTCATTCTTTTCGTTCTCTTTGTACACTTCGATTCGGTTGCCAATCATTGCGGTACCAAAGCTGCTCGAAGGAAAGTCAATACCGTCCGTGGCTGAGTCATCGTTGGGAGTCATATCACTTGAGTCTTTGCGATAGCTATATCCAATAGATGCATATTCTGGTTGCTCGAACTCATGACACAGTGTCAAAATCAATGGTAAATTTTTTATAAATTGCTTCATAGTATAGTCACCTAAATATTTCAAGAATGGTACATATACATGAGCTAATTGAGGTGTAAAAACTTCTTTTATTTCCTCTAAAGCTCTCTCACGTAAACTATTTGTCGACGTGGTTTCGGTTGAGTCTTCCGATTGCTGTTTAGGCGGTGTAATACTATCGATCGAATTATCGTCTTTGGACCTGGCTGTAGTTATTTGTATAGGTGAGCCTTTAATTGACCATTCTTTTGTACCACCGTCTCGGCGAATCTCAATAAAGTTTGCATCCTCAAAAGTCGGGCTATTCCTACTAGACTCTTCATTTAAATTGTCGCTGATACCATGAGCTTTGTCGAATATTAAAAAGAATCTACAAAAGGAAATAATTATTGTTAAACATATCATTGGAATGTTGGTTTCATTTTTGCATACCGTTGTAGTGCTGGAACGCACAAATGATTTTTGGTCATTTCGGGACCAATTCGAACGGCAAGCACATACAATGCGTCAACTAATTTTCTGGCTATCGTGCTTCGTGCCAGAAAACCATTCGGCATTATGATACGTGTTGATGCAATCAGTCTAATGATTGGGTGTATAATGCTTTTCAAGATTGTGTCCTATGGTTGTGTTTTTATTATTATTATTATCATTTCATTATTTGAACATGAATTTTTATGCGCTTACGTGCAACTGATCCATGATAGTTGTGTCACTAAGACATGGTACTAAATACTTCAGGAGTTGCAATGAACTTATGAGTCCACCCTCAAGGCTGGAAGTAATGCGCTTTTTACACAATGCAATCAGTTCAGTTATGTGTGGAAAATATTGAAGCAGGATAAAATGATCACCGTAAATCGCAGTTACTGATGTTAGGCACTCTGTGCACAAATACAAATTATTATTATAAATATAGAAAGTTTTTCCATCAAATAGAACAAATTACCAAGCACTTTAACGGCACTTCGATCCCCCACCACTCGTCCATCGGCGACCGTGAATAGTAATAGATTATCATGCAGATTTTTCACATTATCGTCGTTCTGGATATTATCTGGTAAAAGGTACTCTTGTCCTACGTAGCACAATGTGAGCATTTTCAGAAGATTCCTCGTTAAATGCCGTGCTGTCAAAACGGGGCCCAATCGATGCGATAGCCAAATGAGACTTTCCGCACACATATCAGATATTTGGTATTGTGTTTGTTGATCACCCCAATTGGATGGCTTTGTTGATGATGCAACACTCGGGGCTGTAACTGATTTTTCTCGACTGGCCTTTTGAGCCATAGATGCTTCAAGAAAATCAGCATCTTCTGTACTAATTTTACTGCCTATTTCACAATCAATTGTATTTAGTTGATTACGTTTCGATGAAGATGGAATGGGGATTGTCGGAGACATCAAATTACTGCTTTCCTTAGACTCTTTAGACGTTGAGTTCTCGGAAATATTATGCTGATTGGCTTGAGTTTGATCCTCTTCAAAACTTAATCCAGATAAACTGGACAACCGCAAACCGGATTCAGAAAGTGTGGTTTCTTCTGTAACTTCCATTGCATTTGAATGATTCAATCTCAAATCAATGTGATCTGTAAAATGCAAACATTGTTTTTTTGTATTCGATGTGTATAGTCTTAGATTTGAATTCTTACCATCGTTGGAATTGGTTTCAAATTGATCGATAATTCTACTAATGGTGTCCGCATCATTATCGCTTGAATCGGTTAATTGAATATTCACTGTTGCCACCTTCTGTAAATCATCGCCCTCATTTTCGAACGTGAACATTTCGTCGGATTCATTTACTTTCTTCGAAATAGCTTCATTAGTAGATGGAATGTTGTATGTTACATTGCTCTTGTTTGATTGTTTCGTTGTGTCAACCAGACTGTGTTCATGGTTCTCATGACAATGATAAAATGAATGTTGAACTGTCTCTTTGCAGCAACCCCCTATTGCCTCAATCAGTGGTGGTACAAAGTTTTCCAAAAAGCAGCTCAGCCCGAAACGGACGATCAAACGCAGTAGAAAACTATGATGGTACAATTTGATAGTTTTTCGACTTTTGAACGACGACGACGTTGATCCGGCGAACCTCATCGACGAATCAAAGTTGCTATTCAAAAAAGTCAAACGCTCATCACTTTCAGCATCGTACAATTTTAAGATGGGCTCCAAGAGATATGTTTGTGTTTTGTTTTGGCCAAGTGCCACTGCTGCACTATCGAATAAGAACCAAGCAGCCAGAATAGAAGTATTTTCCGATTTTAGCAAATCGATAATATGTGGAAGAATGAGTTCAACCACGTTAAATTGTTCGTATCCACGCGGAACCAGAAGCTTTTCGATTTGAGCAGCACATGCCATCACTTTGCATTCAGCAATTTTCCGTTTGAACAGTGTTCGTTGTTTGCTCAACGCATCGAACTTTTTACAATCCGTGGAACTTGGGTCACATTCGAAATATGTAAGAAGGTCCAACAGCTCGTTTGCCGACTCATACTGATATAGTGTCTTCAGTAGCGTATAGACGTTCAAATATTCGTAAGGAAATGGAAACAAGAAGTTGCTCAAAAATGGTTGCAACATTTGAGCAGCTGACATTTTTGGCAGGCCAATGTCGGTGATTGTTTGATTGGACCCATCTCCGTATGAGAACAACAGTTTTATCGGGTACTGAACACACGTTGGCAACAAATCAAAATCAATCTTCAATACATCTTTGCATGCGTCAATTCGATCGTTCAGTTTTTGCATGGATCCAATACCCAGCGGTCGTAGTTTATTTGCCAGAAATAGTTCTACAATAATGCAAGCAACCACTTGAAGTTCACGCTGACGATGATTACTAATCATCTGCTTATAATTTCGCGTAGAGCTTTGAACCACTAAATTCTTGTGGTTTAAATTATGCAACCGTTTCGTATCTTTCATTAAATTCTCTTCGAAACGATCCGAGAATATTTTGTTTGTAAAAGCATTGATACCCTCGTCAGATGTTGCCGCCGCCGCCGTCGTCGCTGTTGCTGGCGTCGCTGTTGCCGTATTATATTCAACATTCTTTCGTGATAAATTGGCACTTTTTACATTTTTATAAAAGGTCTTTGACAGAAATACTTCCATATTCTCAACGGCATGCAGTGCTGCAATCGGATTGTAATCTTTCGGGAGAATGATTTGGTTTTGAGACTTTAGTACGTTGGAATGTAAACTAGTTGATCGTTCAATAGAAGAAGTACAGGTAGCGTCCTCTGGAATATTTTGCTGTTGTATTCGATTTTTCGACGACGAACGTGATACACGGAATGACAAATCTTGTGTAGAGCTCAATCCTCCAGCCGAATCACCAACATCATTTTCATTTCGATATTTATTGGAGAGATCTTCTGTACTGCGAGTCATACGTTGACGTATATCATTCTGAGAATAAATTCTTGGCGGAGTTTTTGACGTAAAAATGGTTTGATATTGTTTTGGAGGATGGGGATGATTAAAAAGTTGTACGATACCCCGTCTACAGAGCGTTTGATGGTTATCGACAATCGAAAGATGCACATTCTTTGATTTGATTGCTGCGTTCCCAGACAGTTTAAACCTTTGGAAATCGATAAATTAATTTCATTTGTTCTTTTTTTTTCATTTTCTACCAAAGATAGAAGTCGTACAATCAAGTCATTTACCCGAAATTCAAATCAATCCAGTGATGTAGTTTTTCCGAAACGGTTTGACTCTCCAATGCCTCTCTATGTCTTGCAATAAAATCTTCTGGGCAACTTGACCAGCTAGGTATTTCCAGATCTGGTAAATCTTCGTGTATGCTTTTGAAAACCAATGGATCCGAAAAGAACTCGGGAATGCATTCATCTGGTGTCCAATCATACAGTCGCTGGATTGATGCAGGATATTCCGCTGGAACCCTGTTTGTTGTTCCAGTAAATCAGATGATCAAATAACGAATATTATCTAATATAAATATAAAATTTTACCATATAGGGCGAACGTGCTTGCAGAGCACGGATTTTGGTGTTCTTCTTGCCATATAAACCATATATGTAATTTCAGAAAGCGCATCGGAGACATGATGAGGGACCATATTTGCTGCCCCGATCGGTGCAAACATTAAATCTAATTGGGTATCTCCTTTATTTAAACGGTATTTCGATTTGGTCAGATCTCGCCAATTCATTCCATTTCTTGAAACAAAGTCAGTAACCCATGGGAAAATGTGGTGAAATGAGGGATCTCCCTTTCGTCGGCCCGATAAGTCATTCAAAATGGTTAAATAGATGAAATTGGATATTGTCTGTTCGAGAGGGATCGAAAAGGGTAAGAAAAAATTCATGTGATGGAAACAAAAGTGTGTCAAAACAAGTGTAATGGTTGAAAACTTACATGACCGTTGCACCACATTTCACAGTAATCTCTCAAAGAGTACGACAGGTCATCCAATAACGACACCGTGGGATGTTTTCTTTGTATCACATTTTCAATGGATGTTTCGGTTACATTTTCTTCCGCGCTTTGTAAAATATTTAAATCGATTTGTGGTATTACTTGAAGCCAAAGATTTTCGGTAACGAAAATGTCATCTAGACCGATATTCCCAAGTAAAAGACCACGATCGTGCAAAGTTTTCATTAATTGCCACAACTGATATATTACGAATAATGGTTTGTTATGAGATTTATCAAGTACACCAGGGCTGTATGTAACGCAATCGTTCAGAGTGTTTTCCAGGAATTTGCCATAGATAAGCACAAAGTGTGAGCTCGTTTCGATTACGGCAGTTATTGGATATAAATTTGGATGTGGTTCAAAACGCTCATGTGTTTCGATAGAACGTTTTTTATCAGTACGAGCTTCATCCATTTGATTGACCTTGTCCAATTTTACGTGCAGTATGCTACAACCATACGTGCGTGTTATTGCTTCAAGTAACACTGTGTCGTATGCTAATAAATTCACCGTGTTTCTTTCATTTCGACTGAGGTTTTCTTTCAATGGAACTTTGGCACGTTGGCCAGAGTATTTGTTGTAAGCATCCTTCCATAAATTTCTGTGATTTGACGCTGATATATTCTGAAGCAGTTGAGCAAAGTTCAGGACGAAATCCGTGTCAGTTTCCTTTCGACAATTTGGCAATGGAACTACTTTATGGGTGAATTTTTTATAAGTCTAGCAAAATAGAAAATAAAAAAAATATTGAATCAACGAATCCAATCAATATCAATTTTTCTTCATCTGAATGGAATTTAGACTACCGTAAAATAAGCTAAAGACCAATCCTGTCCAATATTTTCTTCATTATTTGGCCATTCCTCGAATCCAGGGTGAGTTGGAAACTTCACCACATTGTTCTCTTGAACTAAGCACTTCAACCAATTTTTATGCGCGACAACAATAAATCGATTCAGACGCTTAGTTTCTTTTATCTGCTTTCGGGGAATACCCAGCTCTTGACATAATGTCTCCATGCTTTCCTTGCGTTGTTCTATTTGTAACTGAAAATACGCAATTTATGATCAAGTAAACAACTGTGTCAAATGGCAAAAAACCAATCATTTCAAGCTTGATTGACTCACTCAAATATCTCAGTTTGAGAATTTCTCTCCAAATACTTCATCAAATATCATGCTATGCTATATTCGCCAAAAACTTACGAATAATCTATAACCGAAATGATATCTGTGTATTCATGTTGAAAAAAAAAGGTTATTCATATTGCGACCAATTTTACTCACTATAAGAATGACAACAATTTTGATTTTATCAGAAATACAACATTTTATTATAATTTTTTAATCTTTCACTTTCTTATTTTCATTGTGACAGCTGACAAGCTACTTTCGAATATAAGTAAGTTATGGCTGTGTGCGTTCTTCGGATTTAGATTGATAGATGGTAGTTACAAGTCTCGTCGTCGCGTGGCGCTGACAAACAATAACAATAAATTGCATTCGTATGTGCCGGTGGAGAAGAGTAATTTTTTGATTCATAAGAAAAATCAGCTGATTCACGGCTATTTTAATTTAGTGCAGTCCAACTATATGCCATTCGCTAGTGAATAAATTCCAAATATTTATAATACTAAAGCACACATAGAATATTGAATATAGCGATTGTAGTCACATTCATGGTTTAGATTTTTGAATCGCTTCTTCTTTGTTCAGTATAATTTTGACCTCATTTTTTTCTCAAATGAAATGCAATTCAAAAAAATTCTTTTAAGACCAACAAGATAAACAATACCATAGATAAAAACAAATCCTTGTTGATATCAAATGTAAATCATTATTAAAGATTTCGAAACAAAGCAGCCAAGGAGAATCATTGCAAAAGTACATTGTGTTTTATCATTTGTTTTAATTTTTTGTTTTTATCTACACAGCAAAGTGCGTGTAAATATTTCAATGACTTTTTAAAGCTTGACATTTTCATGTGGTCTAGATTAATGCAGCAGTTATGTCGCATTGTATGACGTCAACACCGTCATACGGACGTACCTACTTTTATTGCTATTGTCTCTTTCGTTGCATGTTTGAACAAATTGTTTGCATCGTTCGCCAAAGCGGGAGAGACTGCTGGTGAATGCGTTTCAAAATAAGATTTCAATCACTAGTTCCGTTATTTTCAAATTCGCAGACCTTAACAACATGATTTTCTAATTGAGAAACGATAGTAGTAGCGATGAATGCGAAAAATAAACGAAATTGCAACTCATCATTACCAATATTGAAAAAAATTATTCTGTAATGTGAATCTAATTATTTTTTTGGTTCATTTGGAATATTTTTTGGAAATGATTTCTGTTTATTACGGTTCATTGATTTATTCGTTTCCATCTTTCGTTAATTTATGGTGTGATAATTGGTGCACGACTCACAACCGAGTTTCACAAACAAACACTTCGAGTGGAAATTTTCAAATTCCAGAATACTTGTGTTTGGGTTACGGATACCGATATTAATAAATTATATTAGCATCAATTATGCCTTTCTGTGTACAGATTGTGGGCTCTGTTTTAATTTTATTCCGTAGGAGTTATTCAGCAAAAATAGTTGAAATAAATTGATGTCTTCAGTTTAGCTTTCAGGTTTTCGATAATGAAACTTAGTGTGTGCACAAAAATTGATTTTTATTTCATTATATTATCAAATATTTCTTTGCGTAGCCTAGAAACAGAATTTAAATGGTTTATTTTATGTCGACTGATAATAAGTTGGTGGATATATTCGTTCACTGTATATGTACCCTTCAAATGATACAAATTAAAATTTCTATCAGTAAGCTCGAAAATAGATTCTCGTGTCAAACAAAACCGAATGATACGAGAAATAAATAGTTGACGGACATTCACATCGGTCGACTGACTAAAGACAATGTATTATTTATGTACACAAAGTGTGACGACACTTCGGTGTATTGAATTTCAAATTGAAATTCGATAAATAAGTCGACAAACCAGACGTAGAGGTAGAAAAATTCAATTTGGAAGTACGGAATTTCTGACGTGCAAATTGTGGGCGATGACCATAAAACAAAATGAAACAAAAAAATGGCAAAAATTTAATCGCTTGGTGAAAACGCGACGGTCTTAAACCTTTGGTATCAACTCGTTGATGCAATTTCACAATAAAGCAAAAAAAAGTGAAGCGTATCGAAAACGCTAGACATCCAGAGATGATAGTGCTGTCGACGTAAGTGCGTCGTTCAAGACGGCACGTCGTATTGAATGCTATCGTTATTGTTTCGACTACTTGAACAGCAGTACAACGGTGTTTGTTGAGTCGCATGTTTATAGCGGCTTACGTTTCGGTTTCCATTGTATATGCTCATTCTTTATAGTGAACGGATCAGGCTTCATCTTTTGTTGATCGCATTCGCTACGTTTCAGTACCACGGCAACGTAGTGTACTCGTTTCTCTCTATATACAACTTCGTTTCATGCTACTTGGTTCAGTCGTGAGTAATACATTCATCGAAATCGGACGTCGGCCGTGTCAAATCCAACCACATTTATTCGGAACGTCAAACAAAACTAAATAGGAGAAAAGAGATTTCCTATATTCAAAAATATTACACTTTACTTATTTCGTTAAAATAATTTTCTATTATTAGAAAGGACTACTTAGGAGCATTTCAAGTGCAAAAAGCAGTGAAACGTTTTCAATGAGAAAGAACACGATTTGATTGAACTCAAACAGAAAGTAAAGGGAAAAAAGAATCATCACAGAAGTATGTTTAGTTGAATATACTGTGAATTAAACGAGGAAACAAAAACAACGCACTCATTAAATTTATTAAGTAGTATTGCTGGGAGAAAAAATCTAATGATTTGTGTGACGGCTCACATCAGAGATCAAATCAATCAGAAAACAAAATAAAACGGTTTGAATCAGTGTTTCATGAAAGAAACAAATGATCGATTGAAAAAACTTTTCTACTTTAGATAAAGTGTAACAATTTCTAACGAATAACAACGACTGTTGTGCGCTAATAAATGTGTTTTCAGTTGCAAATAGACACTTTCTTGAATAACTGTTAATGTGGCCAAAACAATCGACAGTGTGTGTTATTTTATTTCCAAATCGCAACAAAGGGAAAACTACCTACACCCTTCGCACCTTAACTGTGGATAATGACTACGACTTTCATTAATCGACCGATGGCTTGGACCAATCAACGTTTGAAATATACACAAAACGACTGTATCAATTTAAAAGCTTTGTGGAAAATGCTAATTTTAAACGATAACCATGAAAAAGAAGACATCAAAAGCAATAAGGTGTGTTTTATCTTTTTATTCTATTTTTCTTCAACAAATGTTTCTTCGACCTTTCCAATAGCCTTGTTGTACTGAAGACTGAAACGAAAAAAAGAAGAAGAAAACGCCTCAAAAGAACATCGAAGCGGCCAATTTGGAAATCGTGGTGCGTGCATTTGCGTCATCGATCAGCACTGTTGAACTGATCGAACACGTTGTTTTTCTGATACAACCGCAATTTTAGAAGATTATGCGACCATCGATTATTATTTGTTTAATTTTTACAGTAATTCATTACAATTTTATGAACGGAATCGTATCTAGGGCTTGATATGAAAACGACATCTCACATTTCTGGTGGATAGATTTCTTTTTTTTTTTTTCGTTCAGTTTGCATTTAAAGGTTACATTGACGTCATTTTAATGTTGGTACCGGAAAGAAGCAAATTTAAACAAAAAAAAGCGGAGAGGTTGTATATAAAATAACACAAAAAGAAGAAAGAAGCATATGTCAAAAAATCTCACTTGTGCAATACCAGTACGCGTTTCTTTTTATTTGTATGTATCGAATATGGAAACGTTGGAATAATATATCGTTGGCAGCAACAAAACTATGAATTGAACGAACAGGAACTACTATTGGCAATTATTTAGATGTGTTTTTTTTCTGCCTGAGCAATGTCACATTATTCTGTCAAATCAGTTTCACTTTGGTTGTTAATTCCGATTTTCATCCATCTGTATGTGCTACATTTTTATTTCGTCTTTGTCATATAATCGACGACGATAAATACATGATTTGAGTAGTCACGACTTTTCAACATATGTCAACCCGTAATCCATCCATCCACTTTTACTATGTATGTACATTGTACAAATATGGCAAATAAACAATCAGTAGTTTAGTATTTCAAAGAAAAGTGAATTTACTAAACAATTTTTATGAATATGCTTATATTGCCATTTTTGTTGATAAGAAGCGGGGAAACTATAGTAATGATTACTGACAAACCATTGAACGTTGTTTTAGTTTTTTTTTGACAAAATGATAGTTGTGCATGGTTGTACTACTTAGATGAAGCGTTTTCAAGTTCAAAGGTATGTTCAGCGATGAATATTGTATAATTTATGTTCTGAGTGTGTAATATAATATTATGTTTTCATCATCGACCCTCGTTTTGCGCACTGATAATGAATAGGTCACAAATGTAGTTTGGTGCTGTTATTTCGATTTCAACGTATTTGAATGATCTATGACGTAGATAACATGCTTGCAGGAACATGCGTTACACAATTGTGTACAAAAAATTGCATGTTTCAACTTTTTTATTCTCTCCCAGAAATGACACTTAAGTTATGATTACCGCATGATTTTGTTATCGACCTCGAGCAATTCATTCATATACGCTCAACTTGACTTTATAATGATTCGACATTTTAATTACCGCGAATTGTTTTAAGGGAGTTTCTTTTCTTTAGTATAATATTGTCTGTTAGTAAGCATTTTATTAGCGATTAAATGAATAAACACCCATATGTTATAATGACAGAGCTTTTTTTTAAAAGGAGCAAGGCAAATTGCAACAAAAAATGCTATGAATGGAATTATGAGTGTTTTTTTGTTCAGACATTTACAAAAAATTTTTTTTTAAGGCTGTTCGAATTACGTCATCGATAAATTTACACATTTACTCAGCCTCTCTGATCGTCTGTATAAACAGATAGGAAACGTCAAACAAGAAAACTAAAGCGGCACCTGGAGAATGGTTGAAATAGAGAATCATGCATATAGTTTGCTATAACAAATACATATGCATCTGTGTTAGTGCGTCTGTGTTAGTTCGAACGTTGGAAGTATGACACATTACACTTAGTCCCCAGGCGGCGCTGTATTGTTTATTATTTTCATGATCAGAAAGGCTGCTTACCTAAGAACTCAAGACCAAAATGAATCAATAAACTTTTTCTCAATATAGTAATCAGCCATTCTTTGTAGACCGAACGACTACAATTTTACCACTCAAATAGATTCGAACATTAGCATCAGGCTAGAAATATTTCTATCAATTTCTAACATTTTATGCGAATGAATGCTAAGTTTCACTAGCATGTCGAAATGATTTAATGTCAAAAAATTGCTACAAATTCAAAAATTTATATTTGAATCAGTTTTCATTTTATTAGCACGAATAAACAAATTGTCCGAACAAAATGTTTAGCTTCAATAAGTTCAAACTCGAAACAAAATCATATACGAAGTATGAGAAGTATACGTGACGTCATGATTTTCAGATAAATATCCAGTCTGAAATGCATGTCTCAAATTAGTTTCTTAGATGTTGTGATTACTGCTCATCTCGCATATTGAGATCAAGTTCTTCACATTCATCCTAATTCATACATCTCAAAGCAAAACGAATGGAGGTCTTCATTCTTTATGTTTTCTTGTTGTCATGTCAAAAGATTGTCACAGTGACATAGTAGAAGTTCCCACACCATTGCGTTCCCCTAACGCATAGAATGATGTGAAACAAACGTAACCTTCTACGCATTCAAACGGTTACGGCAAAATGAATTGTCGCTGAAAAGACGTAATGGCTGAATAATCTTTATGTGTTGTATTATCGCTTATAATATGCGAAAAAACTTCGATAAAGTGCTAAAAGAATGATTTTCTTTTCGAAATTAATATTTTTCAGCCCTTTGAATAAATTTTCATCTTTTAAATTATAAAAAATTATATTCAAATAGTTGCTGGGCATTGTATTTTTGACCGGTTTTTAAAAACTGATTGATGCACGTGCCAAAACATCGAAACAGACGAATATTATGCGAATTGATAATATTTACAAAAAAATGTTGAACATGTCGAACAGATATATCGCGATATATGGCAATGTTTAAGTATATATTATAATAATAATTATGTCTGAATGTATTCATGATTTCATTTGGCAATTTTTTCTCGCCGATGTTCGTAGTCGATCCTACTTGGCATTCATCCGACAACGTCACTATTATTCAGAGGCTTTGAATTTATTCAGTCAGCAATGTTGAGCTTGGAAATAAAGTATTTTAATCATTATACTATTTATAAATCGATCGAATCATTTGTTGATGAATCTGATCAAATCAATTTACTGAATTTACCTGTTAATTTATTTTCTACATTTTTCAAAATTAAAAATATGCAAAAGAATTTCAAGTAAAACGTAAGCAATGTCCATTAACGTCATTCGGCACTGACGTACGGATAATATGTCTGCACGCAACACTTGAGTCAAACTGAAGAAAAATGGTTGGAATATTATTATCGAATGAAGAAAATAAATAAAAAATGCCATACGCAAGAAAAGGCTACATCAAAGCAACAACACAGTCAAGACTCAGCAGTAGCTTTATATTAATTCAACAGTGTTGAATCAACACAAAAGATGTTACTAATTTATCTTTTTTATTGGAAGTAAAGAGAGAAAAAAAAGTAAGCAAATAAATGAAATTGAGTACTACATAGTAATGCCGTACAGATGCACTACATTACGAAAATACGATATGAATATATTTTAGAAACGATTTTCAATTTCCGAAACCCGATGTTTAGTTTTTGCAATTCAATCATCTTCATTCTGCGGATAAAATGTTAAAGTATGAGTTGGTATTGTTTTTAAGACTAAAATGGATCGATCTAGTGATTTAATAGCTTTCAATAAGCTATTTTGTACAAAAAGTACAAAATATGACAAACGAAATGAAAATAATCGAAAAACAGTCAGCAATTGTCGAAATGTCAGCAATTGACCCGCCATACTTCAGCTTCCTTTGATTTTGCTGCTAAGTTTCGCTTTTGTTCAGCAACAAAAAAACTAAGAAATATACTGTTTTTTTGTCTTTCATTAATAATAAATTTAGGTTTTGAGTCTCCATTTTCAGTTGACACTGTACATTTTCCTTTCTCAAAATTTGGAATTTTCAGATTAGCGGTAGAAAATGTGTGATTTAAAAGGTCTCAACATTCATTTGAACCCGTGAGCATAAAAACAACGTATTGACTCTTCGCCGATGAATACGAAACGCAAAAAAATCGCCGAACAAAGTGAAACACCAATCTGTTATTGGATCAATATGAAACATGAAATCGTTGGCCACTATTTTATTTACGTTGCGCTTTGTTTCGAAGCGCGGCAAGTGTTTCATTTTGTTCCAGTAACAGAACGTTGTATCACTTTGTTCGGCGACGCGCTCAATGTACTGTCTTGAAAAAATATGCATGATTTGATAAATTTTTGTGCGAGTGCAACATAAATTCTGTTCGCTTGAAAGTGAATCGTGAAATATCGGCTGACTATAGAAATTGTGTTTCACTTTAATTGAAACAAAAATGTTTGATACACTTTTGAGTCCATTGGTATGATGATTCATTTTAATGGTGGTTTTGGTCGTGATTTGTCTATGAAGTGAAAATTAACTGATAAGTAGCGCGAATTTCGATGTGCCGATAACACCAATAGAGCAGAAAAAAATACTATATGAAAATCGAAAAAAAAATTAAACTTTTTTTTCGACTGTTGCCTATTTCGGATCGTCTACATGGGAAGTTTGTATGAAATCCTCGGAACGCGGGTTCACGCCGCTGTGAATACATTGGTTTATATAGTGAAATCTATACATGGCCAAAACACGAACGCACAACACCCATTCTATTTCGCTCACACTTACGTGCAATTTTTACCCGTATAACAAAGAAGTCTGCTTTACTGTTAAAAAGATGTGCGCAGTAAAGAAACAAGAACGTACATGTTTCAGCAACGTTAAAGTGCACGTAAGTGTGAGCGAAATAGAATGGGTGTTGTGTTAAAATGAATCATCATACCAATGGACTCAAAACTGTATCAAATCATGCATATTTTTCCGAAACAGTACATTGAGCGCGTCGCCGAACAAAGTGATACAACGTTCTGTTACTGGAACAAAATGAAACACTTGCCGCGCTTCGAAACAAAGCGCAACGTGAATAAAATAGTAGCCAACGATTTCATGCTTCATATTGATCCAATAACAGATTGGTGTTTCACTTTGTTCGGCGATTTTTTTGCGTTTCGTATTCATCGGCGAAGAGTCAATACGTTGTTTTTATGCTCACGGGTTCATTTGTCAAAACTGATATGAGATGTAATACGTCAAATGAAAGATGCTTTGAATGCCCATTTTGCGTATCAGAGTCAAGTTGCATTGGAAACAATGGGAACAACGCAATAAGTTAAGGCTAATTTGAAAACGCAACGAAAAGATAAAATTGATAGCAACAGGTTACAATTTATGATTCGTGATGAACATCGTAATAATAATACCTACAATTATAAAAAATAACACGAAAAATCAACAAATTATGAATGATTTGCAAGGCTACCAGCAGATAAAAAAAAATTCAACACGCTATTGTTAACAATTGTTCGCATTCTGAATACCCTCACACAAACATTGAAATATCTTTCATTCAAATATAATCAATCTTAAATTGATTTAATTTCCATTCAAACGAATACACTTGGCTATGTACAACGACCGAAGCTTGCGATTGTTCTGTCAGTTAAGAAAAAGATTATTATTTTGAGTGTTCTTGCCTTTGGACCCCGATCAAAGCCTATGTTACAAACACCTTATAACATCTCAGATAGATGGCACGTGATTTGCAGAAAAAACAAAAGGGTTGGTTACAGATCGCCCAACTCGTTTTTATCTTGTCATTGCATATAACCGATCTGTTATTATCGCGCAAATATGAGCTCTTCGAGAACACAGTTTCTTGTGTTAAACAGATGAGGATTTATTGTGGTTGCAATTATATCTTACAACATTTTTTTTGTCTCAGTTCTAAATGGAATGTATTTTACTTTGTCCAGAATAATTGAATCATTGTTGATTATTGTTCTCAAAAATAATGCCAATTGATTGATTTTAATATTAAAATGACATATTTCATGTGTTTACTTAAACGTTCAGTGTATTTGTCGTTCAACATGAATCGCCTTCACAAGCCATGAAAAAAGTGTATGAAAATTAAATAAAAGTGAATAACGCAATAAAAATATGCCAATGGGTTATTGCTCGCCTATCACAGGTTGACTCACATTCGTATGCTTCTCAAATTATAAAATAAGAATAACAACAGCATCTTTGTTTTTCTTACTAAATGTGATTTACGTTTCGCTACCTCTCAGACGCGTGCACAACGATTGATTGGTGCACAACGATTGATCAATTTTTTTAAAACTGGTTTGGTATTCAGTATTTGGTAGTTGAAAGAAACTTTTTTGTGCATGTCACCTTCCTATTCACATCGTGATCAAATCTAACGAAAGATGGACAAATCATCTTGACTATGTATATACATAATTTTACAAGGCTTTGATTTTCTTTAAAACCAATTAACCACCAAACGTAGGCTACGTAGCACAATGGTTTTTCTTCTAATTCCATTTTTTCTTCTTTTCCCTTGCAGAGCTTAGGACTGATTCCACATTCGATAAGCGACAAAAACTCGGAAAATGATATGTCATTATTAAAATTCTTCGCCATTGTAAGTATTGTAAATCAAATGATGATTATTTAGTGTGAATAGAAGATTTGGAAAATTCTGTCCTTAAAATCTGTGATACGTTTACAAAGATAGGGCTGAGTTCTTGTAGATTATAAATTTGTTGTAGTAATCTGTACGAATTTTAGAGTTTTTAGAGGAATTTTAGAGTTTTAATCAAATTTTTAATACGTAACTGCACAACGTACGAGATGCGAGTCACTTTATCAATTGCTAACCATTTGGCGAGTAGGATAAAAAAAACGTACTGAAACCAGCATAATTATATGTGTATATAGACAACTTGATTTGATCTTTAGTGTTTTATAATTTATACAATCACACTTCGTGTTTCATTTGACAATAGAACACAAAATGGTCATTATTCCCACTTCCACGATGATATGCAGAAACAGAGAATGGTATGGCAACAGAGGTGGTTCTATTATCGAAATATGGTAGATTGAATGAAAAGATTCGCTATGCACAGTATGAAAAAAAAACTTCAGCTTAACCCAATTACGTAGACAAGACGCGTTTTGTTTTCTAGCAGAATTTTGATATACGATCAGTGGTATAGCAGCAAAGTAGTTTTGAATCCACAATTTTTTCGAGAAATAATTTTTTCTACATTGAAATTTTCATTAGGAAAAAATATTATAATTTATGATCATTCTACATTATAGAATACCTACGTCAATTGATTACTTTCGATAACACGTTTTTCAAAACTCCACTTGATTATTATTTGGTTACTTGGTTTTTCCAATTTTTTTTGAGTAATTTCAAAATACTATTAATGTTACGACATCTGGCAAAATTGCTATGATTATTTCCCTTATTATATATACTGTAACGCAAAGCTTACATACAACACAGCAAATAAAATGAGAACTACTGAGACAAAGCCCAGTCTCTTGAAAGTGTTTGTAAAAGTAAGATTTAAATCTGAGGTACGTAAAAAAGATACCTCCAATTTCACAGCCGTAGTTCCCATTACAACTCTCTTTTGCTTACGTTAAATTCAATCTCCCTTTTTTACATTTTCAGAAACCTCTATAATGTCTGAGAATTATTATCTGTGTAGTAATTTCGATGGTAAAAAAATATGATTCTCAGTGTAAAATTGAGTAAGTGTAATCTGTAGTTGATAAGGAGAAAGCCGTCATTAAACTGTGCATACTGTTTGCTTTCTGAAATGAACCCATGTTAATGATGAATTTCAATTCAGAACTGTTCGAATGCTAACTATTTCAAAATAGATTTGATTTTAAACAGCGCCTTCATCATTTCACAAGGTACTCGAACCATGAAAGTTCCCTACGGGCGACCGACCTCTGAATAGGTCAACAGGTCAACATCATTTTTAAGGCATTTGCTTATAATATCTTTCGTATGTCTTTGTTTGTACGTACATTAATAAAGAAGTTTTTCGACTTTTGTTTTCAAAGACGCTAGTCATGCCGTCATATCGTTCTCTTGTATTTGAGACTGGTTGCGGTTTGTGCCGAAAATCTGACAAAATCGAAATAATCATAATGGAGGTGGCCGCAATTTGTTATGAAAGGAATGACAGAGACAACAATACACCTAAAACGTACATACCATTGATGGTTCGGAAACAATGTGAACACAAGTCAAGTGCAAAACTCAACCACAAATGCACAAAAAACCTGAATAATTTGAACGTACAATAATGAAGAATACGTCAAAGTTCGACCCAAAAATGTTGAACAAAATTGAACTATTAGAATTAGTCAAGAGAAATGTAGAATGTCTATTCGCAAGTGCATATTGGTTACTTATACGTTGAATAATTAGAGCAGAAAACTTCATCGCGTACGTGACAAACAACACGGCGTTCACTTGTACGAGATTAGATACAAACCGTTTTCCACTGAAATTCTTATATCGAGTATTTTTGTGAAGGTGTTTTAGTGCAATCGAATCAGCATCCGAGGCAAATCACAATAAACCTTTTTATTAATCATGATAAATCGTGGGCATTCAGGGTGGGGAATTCAATAGTATGTACCCCAAAACGTGTCTGTATCGATTTTAATTAGTCTAATATACCGCCATGATTGAATCGTAAGCTATTCCATTCGAGTTATGATAAGTTAAATTAACTAAGTCTCAATCGAAACCAGAATTTAAGCACAGAGACGAACATTAGTGAATTATGCATGGTTGGTGTTTGTTGCAGTCACCAATTGACGTCACAGACGTTCGATCATGAAATGCGCGAACGCGCACGTTCTCTGATAGATTCAAAATGAACAGAAAATAAAAGATAAAACCAATAACAGTAAAAGTGTGTGAGAGTGAAACAAAATAAGATAACGCAAAAACAATATAAAAAATATAGTACAAACATAGAGGGAATGAATGATTTACAAATCTGTCGGACAGCTACCGCAAACGCAATCGTAAACGCAGCAGTATGCTAATAAGAGCAACGTCGCACGAGCGTTTCAGCCGCACTGATAAGCAATAAAACGAGGAAAAAATGAACAAAATATGCCTTCCGTTCCATTTAAACTATTGGTTCTCTTCTTGTATCCAAATTTATTCATCAAATTTTTGTTTCAATATGTTCATAAATATGATTTGTTTTTTTTTTTTCATAGAACGCATTGGAATTAAGCGCTCCAGCCTCACCTGTGTTATTACTACAGCAACAAAAAAGTATACCATCAGGAACTTGGTTACAACTAGCTGGACATCCAGAAAGGTAAAATAAAACGAATCCCGCAAATTTTTTAATAAATTTTTTTATTATTGCATTGGCCGTTGGTATTCAATGAATTTCATACGTGATCTCACTCGTTTGAATTGCCTGACTTGTAGGAAATATCATTTTTCAACTGCGAAAATATAATGCAATAATATAATATAATATTTACACATAAATTATGACTTCAACAAGTGATAAAAATTGGACAATATATGAAAAAAAACTGGACAAACTTGGAAGTCATAAATTTCTTTGAAAATATACATTTTGAAGGTAAAGTCTTCAGGTTAAAATGTTTTTTTTTCTCAATAATCACTCTTATCAAGTGTTATCTAATTGTATCTGCAATGTACAATACAATAAAACATTTCTTTATCCATGTTCCATCGGTATAAAAAGAGACATGCTGGCAGAATACACAAAGAAAACCAGAAAATATAAAATGAAGAGTCGAATCAATATAAGAAAAGAAAGTTCAGTGTCGTTTGCATCACGATGGGGGAGATACCTATATAATAAGAGGTATAGCACAACTGTTCACTTCAAATTCAGCTCGAGCCATTTTCAGCGCTTTAAACACAGACTTGCGGAATTTAAGCCAAATGGAAGCTACGTACAAATCACACCGTTTTATAAGAATACGTTGGTGTTTTCCATCGTTATCTGTCTCTACTCTTGTCCATGATTCCGTATAAAATATTGTTTCGATGAAGAAACGATATTTTTATTGCATAAAATTGTGCGTCATATGAATAAATTTAAAATATTTAATTATTACATACGTATAAATCTACGTATAAAAAGCAAATAAGAATGATTCGTGTATGCATACACAAATACGAATTTTATTTATGTTATGCAGAAGTTGGTGTAGCTCAAACATTGATATCAAGAAAATCAGTATTTATAAACAGAGCCTGAATAAGGAAATCGCATATATATGAACCATTAGGAATAAAACTCAGACTTGATCACAGTGTTACCGAAAGTGGAACTTGATTCCGTTGCACGCAGAAAAAGAGTAAATTTGTTGCTGTAATAATGGCCTAAAATTCGAAGTTGAACAGTATGATGTATGAAGATTCACATTTGCGTATTAACGCTTAAAGCACCAATTTTGCATATTGCGTTTTGAGTCTTACCTTTGCGAACATTTCAATAAAGTTTGTGATTTACTCTCGGAGGTTCACACGATACTCGCAAAGCGAAGATAACGAATGAGACTACTACGACATATTTATTGTGATACGATTTATACAAACCACATGAGGGGATTAGAAAATCGTCATCGTCATCATTATTTTCTGATGATGTACCGAATTGTAAATGTTGAGCTGTTAATTTGCAATTCAAATGCACTGTAAATCAATAAAGCCGCACATTAACCTACGTAAGCACAGGGTTTCCATTCAGTTCAAATTCAGACAAGCTATGTTGATAAGTGATAGAAGAAGAAATGTCACACTAACCGAGATTTCTTGACTCGCCCATACTACAAACTATACAGTATTTATCTTTTCGTATAACTTAATGATTAACATTCATTTCGATACATTTGTCAAATAAAATATTCACATTGCATTTGTGCAATTTGTTCTGATAAAGTCCAATGGCGATAACTCATTCGATGCCGTACTTTCCTAAATCCTATTCAGGAATATATCAAAGAAATGTTTATATTTATATTTTAAAAGCTAAATATAGCAAGCTCATGCGACAACAAAAAATGAAAACGAGCAAAATAAGCGAAGAAATCGAAACAAATAGAGTGACAGCTAGAGCTGATCCATGCTGCTAATAAATACGACAATGTGCGCACGTATGTTCGCACAATCAGAGTAAATGAACTGCCAATATGCGTCAATCAAACGTTGTTTTTTTTCTTTTTCTTCGATATTGTCTCTGTTCATCTGTCTCTATCACAATCTTAGCCCAATACGCGAGAATAAATATTCAAGCTTTGAAATTCGTAGCTTGATCGAATATTTCAACAATAAACATATTCAAAATCAATTTATTAGCATGTAGACCTCTATAAAAAAATAGACACAAAAAAAATGTGTGAATATATCATACCCCAGAGCTTTTGTACCAAAATGATTTTGACAAACGAAGTTGAATGATTAAATGCAATCGATTAATGGCGAATGAGTATCAAAATAGATATATTGTAAATTGATTGTAAAAAAAATGTTTATTTATTGGGTGTGTGAATTAATAACCGGTTTTTCACGTCAGACTGTACCGCTCACATATGCGCAATAGCATTTCAATGACATATATGTCATTTTGAAGTGTTATTTGTCAGCTTTCTAAATCAGTCGGGAAAAATATTCTATCTTGTGTGCATCATGTTTTTTCCAACAATGCAAAATTTTGAAAATTGGAGAAAAAACGGCATTTGCTTTGGGGGCTGTTTTTTCACACGGAAAAAAATTGAAAAAAAGATTATTCTTGTATCGGGTTGGCGCTGTATATCGACAATGGACCCTTCTCGATAGACTCATGCAGAAAAAACCATATTTTGATCATTGCTCCTTTTCATTATAGAGGGCGCCGCAATCGCTCCCTCGAAAATGCTTGTTTTGCCATATATGCGTAGGTGGGAAAGATATGGTCCGTTATGCGGAGATGAAATCATATCAAAATGTTAGATTTGATCGTTCCCAACAATAACTAATCGTTATATATCAATTTGAGACAGCAGAATCGAAAAATTTGCTCATTGTCTCAAAAAAGTGGTTTTTCGAGGAAAAATTTTTCAGTGACTTTTCACACATCGAGACAAAAATTTCTAAGGAGCAATTGAATAAAAACACACGCTATGCCCCCGCTGTATACTCCAGACATCGCCACTTCTTACAACCATAGGTTTCAGACAATTCAAAATCTCCTAAGTGGAGAACGGTTTACTTATTTTCAAAAAAGTAAAAAAAAGTAAAAAAAATGGGTTAATTCATTTATGACGTCAGAAGTACCGTTATTTTTTCGAGATGTTTTCTGTAAATCGCCTGGAATTAAGGCAAAGAATGTCGCTTCCGATGGAAAATACTTTGAACAAAATATATTGTACCATTTTCTTTAAATGAAGATTCAAATTTCACAAAAAAAAACGGTTTTAATTCACACACCCAATATAAATCCGTTTTTGTCTTCTTTGGTATTTACAGCATTGCACCCGGGGCCAATGGGATTGTACGAAAGCGAATTTCAGGCGTTGATGATTCCGAAGCCATTGCATATCGTGGAATCAGTAAAGATGCTTATGCATCGAAAATTGTACCAAAATTTTTAGGCGTAACTGAGTCGAATGGAGACACATATTTGGAACTACAAGATTTATTGCATGGCTTCAGAGATCCAGCAGTAATGGATATTAAGATGGGGAGGCGCACATTTCTTGAGAGTGAAGTAAAAAATACCAAATTACGTAATGACTTATACAAAAAAATGATAGCTGTAGCGCCAACAGAGCCAACCGACGAGGAGCATAAGCAAGAAGCTGTCACAAAACTACGTTACATGCTGTTTCGAGAACGCATGTCGAGCTCTGAATCGAAAGGATTTCGCATTGAAGCACTGAGAATGAAAGGTTCTTCGCCGATTACAGATCTCAAGACTGTCAAAAGCGATACTGATGTGTATAACACCATCGCCCGATTTTTATGCCGTAAACAAAATGTGACCAAACAGTTATTGGAACGACTCAAACAAATTCGCGGCTACATTGAAAAGTCCCATTTTTTTCAACGTCATGAAATTGTCGGCAGTAGTATATTTATTGTTTATGATGAAGATCGAGTGGGCGCTTGGCTTATTGATTTTGCAAAATCGCGTAGACTAGATGAACACGTTAAAATTGACCACCGTTCACAATGGGAAATTGGAAATTTTGAAGAAGGAATTCTATATGGTGTCGATCAACTTATTAGTATATTTGAAGATATTTCTGCAGAATCAAATTCAACGTAACGAAGTCGTAAAAAAACATCGAGAACAATCGAGGAAAAATATAGAAAAACAAAACTCTAACTCCACGGCCAGGGCTACAGGAGATAATGATTGTTTATTTACAAAAATTTGTTATTCTATGAATTGAATAATAAACAGACGCCAAGAATGGGGGCAACAAAAACATTTTTCACAACATCTAGATTACGGCTGTCTAAATCGTTTGCTAATGAATGTTGTCCAAACAAATCAACTATTGCTGGTAACCTTTAAATATAATGGTTTAAATAAACAGAAAGGAAAGTTATTGATTGTAAACATGTGAACAAATATACACTACCGTGCAAAAGTTTGGAACCACTAGGTATTTTTCATACGAATTGACCATTTTTGGTGGACCCAAATTAACATATTTCGGAAACACCTGCACTCTTGATATTTTGTGCATAGTTTCTACAACGTTTCAATAGTAAATCACAGAGGTTTCATCAAAAAATATTCACGTATTTAAAAACTATATCAATTTGAATTTGATTTGTTTTAATCTTCATACAAATTTGATCATTTGTCGCCTCAAATTCGAAATTTTTCGGTCAAATTTTGGTATAATATATCTGCCCAAATCGGACATTTTGTCTGCTCATTTTAGAAATTCATCTGGCCAATTTAGACTTTGTCTGACCATATTAGATTTATCCCATTTTTCACACATTACAAATTCAAATTGCTATATTTTCGAAATGCATGAATATTTTTTGATGAAACCTCTGTGTGTTTACTATTGAAACGTTGTAGAAACTATGCACAAAATATCAAGAGTGCAGGTGTTTCCGAAATATGTTAATGAGTCCACCAAAAATGGTCAATTTGTATGAAAAATACCCAGTGGTTCTAAACTTTTGCACGGTAGTGTATTTCAAAGCAATATTATTTAAAATACTTTTAAAAGAATAAGTTGTTCTCGAAAAATTGAATTGAAACATTTTCTATGTAAAAGAAGTTCAAAATGAATTTTCCAAACAAATTTAAGACTGATGTTTAAGAGTATAAACTTAGAAAATTAAAGGAAAAACGTATCTTATATTATTTAAAATTATATTTTTACACAATGGGCGAACATAAATTACAAGAAAAAAATACTAAAAACTAATATTCAATCGTTTTATTTTCATTTCATTCTGATGTTTGCATATAAGAACATTTCTATTAAAGTTGCAATATTAAATGATTCTTTTACAATTTTTTTTTACTGTCTCATAAATCCACGTTAACCAAAGCAAATATTGTATGAAAAATGTGATAAGAAAACATTGTTATCGTAAAATGCGCCAATAACAAAATAGGACAAATTATAATTGTGTTAGGTAATATAGTGCAGAGATTTTGAATTCACTTCGAACATTTTGCCGTTATGCAACATATTTATTAAAATGTTGCGTAATTTTTATTTCACACCGGCGAAATATTAATGGTAACGAGAATTACTTTAGATCACAAAATGAAAAAAAGAAATTTCTAAGAAAATTATATGTTCACAAATAATTGCAGCAAATTTAGTAGAAAATATGTAGGAAATGCTATTCACCCATCAAATTTTCAGAAACATTTGATTTGATTTATCAAAGCCATAAATAGATACTGAATATTTCGATATCTGTGCGTTTTTTTAAATCGATTATGAGAAATTTTCTAGAAAAAAAAGTTTCAAACACTAGAGTCAAGTCGATTCAATGTCTTCTTTAAAAATGAAGTTTTGAAATTGCTTCATATGAAATTATGCAAATATTCTAATAATAGAAGACATACAAAAGAGGTAATGTATATTGACATTGCACGATTTGAATTTTCTGCGTTATTTCGTTCTCATAATAATTTCAAAGACAGCTAATTTGACCATCAATTTCAATGTCGATTCATTTGATTTCCTTTGCAAAACGTATGCAACGCACGCAATACATTTCATAGCTAATTCAAATGTATTTTGATTGTTAAACTCAGTGGCTGTCTATTACCTATTGCTCTACATTGAACATTATTGAGAATTCCGAAGGGTTATTTGGGATTATTTTTGTACTAGATTGCATTATTTGAATTATTCAAATCTAGTTTCTACTTTCCCCCTTGCATTTACCATTTCAGCTACCGAAATTTGAAGGGTTTAAATCAAACGAAGCAAGAATCACATCGACCATTCCATACGAAATCAACGAGATTCTGTATTGGGGTCTCAAGATTGGCTCGGGACAAGTGCCATTGTTGGGGAAACGTCCACATTTCCTAACAAAACCGAAATATTTTTGCTGATATTGGATGTCCTTATGGAGATATGGTGGTCCAAAGTTGAGCAGATCGTGAAAAAATCGAGTTTTTAGGAAGCTGTATCTCGTCATGGCGTTGAAGTTTTAGTATGAATTTTTCAGAGTTTGTAGATTTTGACGATCTCTATCGATTGAGAATTATAGCCATCAGATCTGGGACCCATACAAAAAAATGATTTTGAAGTTTAAGAGTGGGTCTAACTTTTGAGCCCGTGTTGGTTCGACCATCGGAATTGTGTCATTTTGATGGGAATCCAATCTCCCTTGGTGCGGTTTACGTATACTTGAGTCAAAAAATCGCACAAATTTCGCGTTTTCACCCAAAAACGTCTATTTATCGGCCAGATACAGCATTGAAACAAGTTTAAACGGCTTTTTCACGTCAAAATTATGGGGAAACCGATATTTTAACACTCATTTTAGCATATTTTGGATGCAAAAGACATTTTAATGCCAACATGACGAAATGTTTTCGAAGGGTCAAATTATGCATACTTAATCATCTAACGCATAATCATACGCTTATAATGATCATTGACAAGTCTTTTTCTACGTATTTTTGGACAAGGAATCGGTTCAGACTTACTACCAACCCATTTGATCGCTTTAAAATGTCGAAAAGTGCATCTGTTCAAAAATCGCAATATTTCGTAGAAAAATCAGTTGTTTTGACACCAGATATGCCTTTTTATGAGTTTTCACATCATCAGACTCATATTTTTTTGTGAAAATATTGATGTTTAAGAACAATTAAATATCTTATCGTTCCCAAATCGGCATTTTGTCTAAAAAACGGTCAATTTTTACAAGAGGTACCCGAAAAATACCTTAAACTGTACTGTTATAACCATATTCGGCAACGCCCCGGGGCGCCGAACGCCGAAGGGCGCTGAAAAGGCGCTCGAGCGCATTTTTTTTCATAGCCACGAGAGCGCCGAAGGCGCTCGAGCGCATATATTCTCCATAGAAAAGGCGCAGGAAAAATAGAAAAGAGCGCATTTCTCATAGAAAAAAATTGTTGCGAGACCGCCGATATAGCACGAAAAAGGCGCAAACACTGATGTGATTCTTATATTACACTAAGAAAAACATGCGAACAGTCTTTTTGTAAATATTCAAAGCAGAACAAAATAAAAGTGAGAGAACTATAAATTCTTAGTCTCAAAAATGATCGAAATATTAATCAACGTTTGCACCACATATTAAACGAATAATTGCTCCTTGCCAATGTTAGCAGTTTTACGGCTTCTGTTTATTATTTGTGAGATAGAATAAACAAAACGCGGTACGTCGCTAAAACCGAAAAATACTATGCATCAAGTATATGTTCCGTCACTCGCGCCTGCTGTCGCCGGCTGTGATACTGTTTTCCAATAATTTTAGCTGCTGAAATCGATAAATTGCCATTTATTCGGGACTTTGTCATTTGAAAATTTAACTCTGGCTTAATACTTTTTACCAACGAATTGTTTACGAAAACGTGTAACGATTAAAACAAAAAATACTGCAGTACGTTTCAAGCGAAACAGAAAATGATTTGGTCATCGGTTTTTGGTGTTTTGATATAATGTACAGTCACAATTCGTCGTCGAGTCTCACTTTCCAAATCCGATCAATATATCAATGGCACAAGAGCGCCTTAATGGTCTTGCAATTACATCTATCGAACATGAAGTTGCAGAAAAAATTGATTACAATGATATTATCGAAAGTTTTACAGATTCTAAAGCACGAAAAATGAAGTTAACTTGAACAGATTTTGTTGTACTTTGAATAATTTCTTTAAAATATATATCACACCTCAAATTCGATGCATTTTTATTTTATTGAAAAAAATTATCCTCTTTTTCTTTCTAAGTAAAAGGTGCTGCGACATATCTTGCCCCGAGGCGCCGAAGGCGCTCGCGGAGGCCCTGCATATTCGTCTATTTTGAGGGCTGAAAATCGAAAATTTATTGTCTCCGAACAATAAAATACAATATCTCTTATCATTTTGGTGTGAAATTGGTATGTTATTTATTAACTTTGCGCCCAAACAACGATATCTTGGATCAAACGCATAAAGTACGCATTTTGAAGGGATTCTGTGATATATTTAGCCTTATTTAGCTCTGTAACTTTTTACGGACGACAAAAATTCGGTGAGACATAATCCGACCATCATCAATTTGAAATTCGGCTTTAATTCCAACGAACTCAATCGTAAATCATTGAAAGCTACTTTGCCTACAACATTTTATTTGGAATTTTCAAAGTTTATTAAATAAAAAAATCGTATCTTGTCATTTCCATCGATTCAACGCTTCGGATCATACCTTTATACTTCAGATTCAACAGCTTTTATCGTTTGGGCCGACCATTTGTAAGTTTGCAAATTTTATGCTTATTCCGTTATCGGATACTCTTTTCCATTCCATTTCACAATGATTGACACGTCCTTAGGCGTGCTCATTATTTGAGTTCAAACTTTTTGCAGTTGTCAATATTTTCCTAATCACAAACAATCTCACCAGGTTATATGCAGGTACGTGACTGAAAATCAAATGGAATTGATACAACATAGAACCTAACTATTTAACTGGATGTATTTTTACACAAAAAAATGCTTCACTATATTTGGCAGACAAGCGTAAAAAGAAGTCGCAACCTATGCATAACACTAACAAAACAAAGTAAAACACGAATTTCCGATGAGCGCATTCAGTGAAGTTCATTCCAATTTGTGCACGTCGTTAGACGCACTCATGAACGCGACTAAACGAACTCATCAACTTCCGTAAATGTTCCGTAATGAAAACCAAATTTTACTTTTCCGTACACAACGTGTCAAGGGAAAGTATAGGAATTGGTCCCGAAAACTTTTTTCGCAAAATTGGTTTAGATCATCATAAAAACTCATGAAACGCGTAGAAAACCACTTTTTGAGACACTTTTCCGTTCGTGTGCCGTCGTCGTCGTTGTCGTCGTTGTCGTCGTTGTCGTCGTCGTCGTAGCTGTTTGTAAACACGATAACTCAAAAAATAATTGAGATAATCAAAATCTGGAAATGCCAAAAGTTTTGTATTCGAAAAACTTAGTTTAAGTTCGAAGATGAGCCATTTTCGATTTGATCCTGGGGTACTTGCCCTAAGAAAAACCTCAAAAAATTTACACTTTTGTATGGGAGGTACCCGTAAATCGACTTCGATTGGCTTCAAACTTTCTGGGATTTCATTTTTCGGAAGAAAAATAAGATTCTGAAAGTTTGAAACCAATCGGAATCGATTTACGGGTACCTCCCATACAAATTTTTTGAAATTTCGACTAAAATTACCGATTTTTGGACAATTTTGTATGGGAGGTACCCGTTAATCGATTCTGATTGGCTTCAAACTTTCTGTGGTTTCATTTTTTGGAGAAAAAATAAGATTCTGAAAGTTTCATGTTGATCGCATTTGCAGAAGTTTGATTTTTTGTCCTCAATTTTTGTCGACATTTTTTTGGAAAAAAATTAAGGGCCAAAAACCAAACTTCTGCAAATGCGAT